TGAGATTACTTTCTACCTGTAAATCTGTCTGTTTGAGGCAATTCTACCTGTAAATCTGGCTGTTCGAGGCAACTCTCTACCTGATAATCTGCCTGTATGCAATAACTCTCTATCTGTAAATCTGTCTGCATGAGGCAACTCTCTACCTGTAAATCTGCCTGTATATATGAGATAACTTTCTACCCGTAAATCTGTCTGCACGAGGCACATCTACCTGTAAATCTGGCTTTATGAGGCAGATCTGATTAAGTCCCTGAACTTGCTGACAAACTACCAGCTGAAAGCTGCAGCTTGTATCTCAAGATCATTACCATTAATTGGTACGGAAACCGCGCCTGAGGGTTGTGAGTTTGAACAACAATGAAATAATCAAGACTGGCATTGATGTTGCCATCTATTCCTGGGCTGGAGTTTGTCTTTAGGTTGTGTTAGATCTTCAGACCATCGTCCTCAAAGAAGCCATTGTTTGACATCCTGAAGCCAGTCCAGATGAACCAATGGCTGATATCCTTGTCAGAAAGAATTCCATTTATAAGTCGGCCTTTCTGCTGAACTCGTCCGTGCAGGGCCGCGTGGGCAGCAAGTTGATCCTATTTTGGGATAATTGTATTAGAGTCGGAGTCTTTATTAAGTGAGTGTTTGATCAGATGAGAAGTAAGCTTGATACTGCTGGCAACATTTATGAGCCAAACTTCTGCAGCTGCTAATGCTGTTTCTATGTGGGATGGTTATGTCTTCTTCCCTTGATTGTATCATTGCGTGTGCTCGGACTGAGCACACCTGGGAAGTAGGGTGGCACCATGGGTACATATTCGTTTGAGCCTTTGTAACAAGGATTTGATTCCCACAGTTTGTAATAACCATCTCTTGATCATTCAGGTAATGAGTGAATGAGTGAGTTAAATTTCCATAATCATGATTCAAATCCATGAAATGCAGATCCAGGCGCTCCCAAGGGATGCAACTCTGTACATACTACCAGGCCCCTCTACACAAAATGTTATTATGAAACTAAAAATTACATTTCAATCTAATGCAGTGTTTTCCTATGAGAGCCTCGTGCCATTTTGATGATTAGTTGCAGGGAAGATGGTTCGAAGAACACAGTCTCATGAAAAATGTAGGAACGTCAAATTGTTTCGTTCATACTCTTATGAATGTCAATTTTGCAGTCATGTGACCGACCTCTCGTCCAGTGAAAAAGCTTTGTATCGTTTACACTTTAGATTAAAACATTATTTGTATTTCAATACCCTCAAAAGTCCTGGGCAGGTCTGGTAGCCTAGTGGTTAAAGTGTTCGCTCGTCACGCTGAAGACCCGGTTCGATACCCCTCAAGGGTACAATGTGTGAAGCCCATTTCTGGTGTCCCCTGCCGTGATATTGCTGGAATATTGCTAAATGCGGCGTAAAACCTCTCTCAATCACTCACTCACTCACTTGCTGGAATATTGCTAAATGTGGCATAAAACCATACTCACTCATTCACTCACGCACTCACTCACTCACTCACTCACTCACTCACTCACTCACTCACTCACTCACTCACTCACTCACTCACTCACTCAAAAGTCCTGTTTATGTACTGACCAGTGTCCAGTACCTCAAGGTTCTGCTGGACAAGATGTGGAGTGGTGCCACAAGCTCAGAACATGCACAGTGGTTCCATGTAATTGATCCAAGAATGACCAAGCTGTATTAACGCTTTCAGACGGAATTTGATTCATCCAATTTCCTGCTTTTCTTTCAATTATTTTTACATGTTTCATAATTATCATACGATCAATATCTAATTCCTGGTCATTCCCAGGGACAGGTTGTTGTTTTTCAGGGATTGTGAAAATGTTTAATTCTGAATTATTTCTGTGTCAAACCAAAACAAAAAACCTTATACAAAAGATTTTATGTTAATGGGTGTTTGCTGGTTGGCATTCAGAGTATTGAATAATTTTATGATAGGTATTTCGAAATACCGTATTCGACGTAATAAGCGCCCGTGGCGATATTTGCTAATATATTGGCTAGTGAACAATTCCAATTCCTTCCGATTGATCAATGTACACAAGACATATTTATTCGTGCATAATACGCACTCATGTGTTATATGCACCCTCAATTATGGGCAATTAAATTCTGGAAAAATATATGTGTCATGTATAATACGCACAGACTTTTCTTTTGTATCATTTCAGGCTGTCAGCATAAACCACGAAATTTACAATCTTTCAACTCTGTTTTTTTTCACCAAAATTTTATTCTAATAAGAGCCCCCTATTTCTAATTTTGACAGCGAGCAGAGTATGCTTGATAACTACCTTGCAGATTCACACCAGAAACATAGGGAAATAATTCACTGTGTTTGTATTAACACCTAATCAATAGTATTTGATATTTAAAATACCCTTTTTTAGTGATTTAATGTTTTGTTTATTATTTTCGGGTGCAGTGCTACATATTTACGAAAGATGTAATTAAAGCACATCCAATTTGCGACAGTTAGAATTGCGCTGTGACACAAAGATATGCCGGTTGACATTCTGGATAACTGTTCTTTCAAAAGTCTTCATCTGCTTCGAAACATTTTATGCATCTTCCTGAGGCAAGCGTGTCCAATAGCCTATATCAAAGCCTAGTTTCTTCCCTTGCCACACAACCCGTGAAGATCAGGGGTAGAATAGGTCTTCAGCAACCCATGCTTGCCAAAGATCTGGGGTAGAATAGGTCTTCAGCAACCCATGCTTGCCATAAAAGGTGACTATGCTTGTCGTAAGAGGCAACTAACGGGATCGGGTGGTCAGACTCACTGACTTGGTTGATGCATGTCGTCGTATCCCAGTGGATCGATGTTCATGATGTCGATCAGTGGATTGTCTTGTCCAGACTCAATTATTTACAGACCGCCATCATATAGCTGGAATATTGCTGAGTGCGGCATTGAACAACAAATAACCAAACCAAACCAAAACCCTTGCCACATCAAGGCCACTTTTCTTGGCTTGACCCTGGCACCAGCTTGCGTAGATCACGAGTTGTGCCCCTTGTAATGAAATTGCGATATCCAATCAGATCACTATTCTTTTCTCGTATAGCTTCACAAAGATGGCGACTACCGTAGGTGATGACCTTCTCCATCAGATAATGAAAACATTTGCGATTTTATCCCTAACACACAGGTAGTCGTTGGGGGTTTAAAAGATGAAAAAGATATATTCGTGTCAACAAAGACAGACAGTGGTAAAACACTTTCACACGAAGGTGTATCAGTCTTTGATGTTGATTTTGTGATATGTTCTCTGATTAGACTATCGATATCTGTGATAGTCCAATCATATTTAGACACAGGAAAGTGGACTTGATGTGGCAAAGGTGGAAACAAGACTTTGATAAAAAGGGTAGTGCACTCTCTTGCCTCGGGAAGATGCATTTTGTGATGCCCCAAAATTCTATTAAATAATACTTAATCAAGACATAAAGAAAAAATGGTTCAAGACATCGAAATTTCAAATAATTTGATAATGTCACATTTAATTTGATATATTTAAGATTTCAAGCCTCATTATCTGGGAGATTGTATTTTAAATTTAATATTCTTTTTTTTTATGCCAATATTAAATGTAATAGGAATATTAAATGCTGTAACAACTCAGTTAGTGGATATCCTTGGCTGACAAAGTGTCGCCATGATCAAGATTCGCGTGAAGAAGGGATATTATCAAGTTACGCCATTGCAATCTAATTTGTGTCATAAAAAGGCTACCGGAGGCAGATATTAAATGAATATTGTATCCTAATTATAATGGTGAAGACACATGACCATTGAGCTGTCAGGCATGTCGCTCACTCAGCACCCAGACTACATAAGCTCAGTCTTGATCAATGCTGGCAATAATCAAATGAGCTTTCCATGTGATTTTCCAGTCAGGTTATTTGGCCACCAGGGTGTTTTGTGAATATCTAATTACGATTGAAATCTCTTGTAGTTAATATTTCATGAAGTTTCGATAATTCATTTGCACATTACAATGCGATGTATCGCTGGTTTTAGAGTGTCATTTCCTGATGGCCGCTTCACTGTAATGCTTTGTAAACATGACCTTCTGGCAGTTGGCAACAAGGCCGCTATGATACATGGCTTTGTAAACATGACCTTCTGGCAGTTGGCAACAAGGCCGCTATACTGCATGGCTTTGTAAACATGACCTTCTGGCAGTTGGCAACAAGGCCGCTATGATACATGGCGTTGTAAACATGACCTTCTGGCAGTTGGCAACAAGGCCGCTATACTGCATGACTTTGTAAACATGACCTTCTGGCAGTTGGCAACAAGGACGCTATTCTGCATGGCTTTGTAAACATGACCTTCTGGCAGTTGGCAACAAGGCTGCTATATTACATGGCTTTGTAAACATGACCTTCTGGCAGTTGGCAACAAGGCCGCTATACTGCATGACTTTGTAAACACGACCTTCTGGCAGTTGGCAACCAGGCCGCTATACTACATGACTTTGTATACATGACCTTCTGGCAGTTGGCAACAAGGCCGCTACTCACATGGTTTGTGTCATAGCAGGATACTAAAAGTTTTGTTTTGTTTTGTCAAATATGTTTGTGGTAGGGGGTAGTTCACACCAGTTGTTTGTGGGAGGGGTCCTTGGTTCAGACCAATTGTTTGTCGGAGGTTGTTTGTGTTTGTGGTTCAGACCAGCCAAATGTGGAAGGAATTCTTGGTTCTGATAGGTTGTGTGGGATGGTGTCAACCCTCCCCACCTAGCCAACTGTTTGTGGAAGTAGCCCTTGTTGCCGAAGATGTCTGGCATGCTTGCACCTGAAACAAATTAGCTTGACACATAGTGGATCTCAGAGTTTGCAATTCCGAACAGTATTTGAATGTCTCACCCAAAGTCTGAAAAAAAAACATCTGGCGAGTTCATGTTGACACTCATGTTCTCTCTTCGGTGTCTGAGTTTCTGTCACATCAGTGTATTTCTGCATCTGTTTCAGGGAGATAATGAGAGAGATACAACGACTACGGCTAGAGCAAGAGGCATATGCTACGGAAAATGAGGAGGCACAATATAATCCCACCCTCCTGGCAGAGTTGCGACTACTGCGACAACGGAAGGATGAGTTGGAGGGCCGCATGCAGGCACTACAGGAGAGCAGGAAGGACTTGATGGTGCAGCTGGAGAGTCTCATGAAGCTGCTGAAGGTGGGTGGATGGGTTGACTGTCAGGTGGGTGGATTGACTGTCAGGTAGGTGGGTTGACTGAGTTCGGTGGGTTGTCTGTCAGGTGGGTGGGTTGACTGTCAGGTGGGTGGGTTGACTGTCAAGTGAGTGGGTTGACTGTCAGGTGGGTGGATTGACTGTCAGGTGGGTGGATTGACTGTCAGGTGGGTGGGTTGACTGAGTTTGGTGGGTTGACTGTCAGGTGGGTGGGTTGACTGTCAGGTGGGTGGGTTGACTGTCAAGTGAGTGGGTTGACTGTCAGGTGGATGGGTTGACTGTCAGGTGGGTGGGTTGACTGTGAGTTTGGTGGGTTGACTGTCAGGTGGGTGGATTGACTGTCAGGTGGGTGGGTTGACTGTCAGTTGGGTGGTTTGACTGTCAGGTGGGTGGTTTGACTGTCAGGTAGGTGGGTTGACTGTCAAGTGAGTGGGTTGACTGTCAGGTGGATGGGTTGACTGTCAGGTGGGTGGGTTGACTGTCAGGTGGATGGTTTGACTGTCAGGTAGGTGGGTTGACTGTCAAGTGAGTGGTTTGACTGTCAGGTGGGTGGTTTGACTGTCAGGTGGGTGGTTTGACTGTCAGGTAGGTGGGTTGACTGTCAAGTGAGTGGTTTGACTGTCAGGTGGGTGGTTTGACTGTCAGGTAGGTGGGTTGACTGTCAAGTGAGTGGGTTGACTGTCAGATGGATGGGTTGACGGTCAGGAAGGTGGGTCGACTGTCAGATGGATGGGTTGACTGTCAGATGGATGGTTTGACTGTCATGTAGGTGGGTTGCATGTCAGATGGATGGGTTGACTGTCAGGTGGGTGGTTTGACTGTCAGGGGCAGGGTTGACTGTCAGGTAGGTGGGTTGACTGTCAGGTGGGTGGGTTGACTGTCAGGTGGGTGGGTTGACTGTCAGGTGGGTGGGTTGACTGTCAGATGGATGGGTTGACTGTCAGGTGGGTGGGTCGACTGTCAGGAGGGTGGGTCGAATGTGGGGTGGGTTGACTGTCTGGAAGTTTGGTTGACAGGTTGACTTTTAGGTAGGCGGGTTGACTTTTAGGTGGAGTGGGTTGACAGTCAGGTGGAGTGGGTTAACACGTCGGACAGGCAGTTTTTCTGAACCAAGAATCCCTCCCACGAACACCTGTACCAAAACAAAGTCTAGAGAACTGAGGCTCCCTGGCTTTGTAAGGTACTGTAGAGGCAACCACTCCTAAAATACTGGTGCAGCTGGAGAGTCTCATGAAGCTGCTGAAGATGGGTGGATGGGTTGACTGTCAGGTGGATGGGTTGACTGTCAGGTGGTATTGTAGAGGCAACCACTCCTAAAATACTAACTTGTGAAATATTTCATGTCCACCCATTCCCACTGCAGGCATCTCAAGGGAAACCCTTTTATCTTTCACAGCTGTATTAAATGGTAAAATGCAGTAACCTTTGTCAAAGGAATTATCTGTCGTTCTAATTGTGAACACAGTTTAATTCTCTCCCTGTTCTGCCGATGATTTATGCTACGCTGCTGACATGATTGGTTCCCTGAGGCAAAACAAACATCTCTTATTGTCTCCTGTGACAAGCAAGGATGTTGTTCGCAGTTCCTCAGTAGCCAGGGGAATTGGGACCATATTACAGCAGTTTAACATTCGGATCCATTCACGACAGACGTGCAGAAAAATAATTTGCTTAAAGACTATCATCATTAACAAATTGAATCTTTCTGCTTCTCAAATTAAACAAATTTGTTTTATACATGCATATTTGGACGAACAAGACATTTCCTTGCGATAAGGATTAATTGGGGACTGAGAGGACTCCAGCTCTCTAACAAGGACTGGAAGGCTGACAGAGCTAACAAGGAGCCATCATTTGTTAGGAGATCAATTAAATACTCTTTTAATAGAATCTCTGTGCTTCATCTAGGGACTTCAATATTTTCCTTGTCAGGAACGGAAGAAAAAGGAAGTTTGTTAGAGAATGCGGTCTATCATTGACAATACGTGATAACTGCTTTCTTCTTTGAATTTTGAGGGCAAATCATCTTGCATGAATCCTTTTAAAAGAAATGTTTCAAACGAAATGCAGTTGGGAATTGTAAGAATGCTTCAGACTGCTGGATTGTTGGATTTTCTCATGGACAAGTATCTTTTATCATGAGCCAGATTCTATATTTAGTGGATAGCTTAGCATTTCAATAAACGTTTTCTTGTCATGCCGAAGGCCTTGGTGAAATGTTACCAGTCAGTATGCAAGTTCTCCCCTCCATATCTTCAATTCCTCACTACAATGTATCGAGTAGTCTTTGTTCAGCTGACAAGTTCCTCCTCGCAGTACCCCCGTACAAGTTAAAGACCTTTGGTGCCGGTGCCTCTGCTGCTGTATTTTGGTTTGGTTTGGTTTGTTGTTTTACGCCGCACTCAGCAATATTCCAGCTATATGACGGCGGTCTGTAAATAATCAAGTCTGGACCAGACAATCCAGTGATTGATATTATGAGCATCGATCCACGCAATTGGGATCGATGACATGCATCAACTAAGTCAGCGAGCCTGCCCACCCGATCCCGTTAGTCGCCTTTTACGACAAGCATAGTCACCTTTTACGGCAAGCATTGGTTGCTGAAGACCTATTCTAACCCGGATCTTCACGGGTCTCTGCTGCTGTAATTATTACTACTACTAACAGCAGCATAAAACCCAAATCACTCACTCATTCACCGAGTCAATATACTTTTGGTCACCAAACAAGATTAAAATAAAGTTTAATTGTCACGCTTTTTACATTGACAAGGTCCTGTTTTACAAGATGACATTATCCAGCCGTTTGTAAAGTAAGAAACAGATCTAAGATTCAATCCTAGGTATTTTCTTAGCTGGTTGACATCACTAAATGGTGATTCCCTGCCAAGTTGCCACAATTTGCTGTGCAGAGTTGTGTCCCTTAGTTGCCCAGATCTGTCATGTGTTTGAATCCCAAACTGGCCCTGACTCTTGACTGTCACCACCATCCCGGTGCTCATGGGTTTCTCATTCATAATGAACGTCATTTGACTGACAGAAAGCCACTGTATATTGTTAATCAATCTCATTAAAATCAGACCTTAGTTCTCGCTATTGCTAAACAAAGATCTGAAGACATCCCATTAGGGGTCATGTCAGAACGACCTTTCATCCGACCAATCAGAGTGTCGCTTACCAGATTATGAAAGTGACAGTCGGAATGTGATTTCTAATCATGCAACCTCGAAAAGTTCACACGGGGTATTCCAAACGATAGATACGGGTTTAACGACTGAATCCATACAATCTAGACCATCTATTATCCATTCCAGAATGTTCTTTTGTTTAGGTTTCAAATTTGTAATCGAGATAAGATATGTTTCGAAGCGTAGTCGCCAATTTGAAATTAGTGCCGTAAAGCACGAGAAAGGTGCCTTCTGATTGGTCATTCCATTGGTTGGTCAAAGTTCGCGCAAGGTCGGTCTGACGTGACCTGCAACCTCGAAAAGTTCACACGGGGTATTCCGAACAATAGTTACTGGTTTAACTGGTTTAACGACCATCTAGACCATCTATTAGCCATTCCAGAATGTGCTTTTGTTCGGGTTTCAAATTTGTAATCGAGAATTTTTCAAAATATGTTTCGAAGATTGTCGCCGATTTGAAGTTTGTGCCGTAAAGCACGAGAAAGCTGCCTTCTGATTGGTCATTCCATTTGTAGGTCAAAGTTTGCGCAAGGTCGGTCTGACATGACCCGTAATGGGATGTCCTCAGATCTTTGTTTAGCGCTAGCGAGAACTAATATCTGATTTTAATGAGATTGCTCATTCATGGTATTCACTGTATGCCTTCCTTCCACTGTAAGCTAACACGCCATGATAAGGGACTGAAACGCTGCTGAATGTAGACTTAATTAACAGACTCTTATTAGGACTTCTTGACCTGGACTGAAAATTGGCATAGTTTATATTCCCTCATTAACTTTTGAAGTGAAAAATAAACCATTTGTTTGTTGCAGCAAATAATGAGATTATGTCTTGGTTAGGTTGCCACGTGGGTGTTTGTGAAATAGTTTTGTCACAATATTTTTATATTTGATGTAAAATGCCATTATTGATTTCACTTGTTTCAGAATCATCCAAATTCACCTCGCTCAACACCAAATAGTTCTCCTCGGTCCCGGAGTGGGTTGTCCCCGACGATAGCCCCACCCCCGACCAAGAACTCCACCCCCAGCACCCCCATGGACATGTCTCTGACTGGCCTGGGGGGCGATGTACGACAAGCCTTCCATCAAACACCCTCCAGCGGGGGGAACGTCCGCAGTCTGCGGAATGACCTGCTAGTGGCTGCCGACTCAGTCACCAACGCCATGTCGTCTCTGGTGAAGGAGTTGAACTCAGGTGAGAACACGCAGCACCTGCCTTTTGGGGACATTGTAGATAATTGTTATAAGCCCAATTATGCTAGTTTTGTGATGATTGTGCTACATTTACGTTGTGTTGTGGCAGTTGTGCCAAATTTTTACATTGTGTTGTGATAGTTGTGACACATTTACGCTGGTGTTGTGACAGGTTTACATTTACGCTAGTGTTGTGACAGTTGTGGCATATATACACTAGTGTTGAGACAGGTGTGTTACATTTACACTAGTGTTGTGACAGTTGTGCTGCATTTACACTAGTGTTGTGACAGGTGTGTTACATTTACACTAGTGTTGTGACAGGTGTGCTACATTTACGCTAGTATTGTGACAGGTGTGCCACATTTACGTTGTGTTGTGTAAGGTGTGCCACATTTATGTTGTGCTGTGACAGTTGTGCTACATTTACGCTAGTGTTGTGACAGTTGTGCCACATTAACACTAGTGTTGTGACAGGTGTGCCACATTTACGTTGTGTTGTGTAAGGTGTGCCACATTTACATTGTGTTGTGACAGTTGTGCCACATTTACACTAACGTTGTGACAGGTGTGCCACATTTACGCTAGTGTTGTGACAGTTGTGCTACATTTATGCTAGTGTTGTGTCATGTGTGTTACATTTCCACTAGTGTTGTGAGAGTTGTGCCACATTTATGTTGTGTTGTGGTAGTTGTGCCACATTTACGCTGGTGTTGTGACAGTTTTACATTTACGCTAGTGTTGTGACAGTTGTGGCATATATACACTAGTGTTGAGACAGGTGTGTTACATTTACACTAGTGTTGTGACAGGTGTGCTAAATTTACACTAGTGTTGTGACAGTTGTGCTACATTTACACTAGTGTTGTGACAGTTGTGCCACATTTATGCCAGTGTTGTGATAGTTGTGCCACATTTACACTAATGTTGTGACAGGTGTTTCATTTACACTAGTGTTGTGACAGTTGTGCCACATTTACGCCAGTGTTGTGATAGTTGTGCCACATTTACACTAATGTTGTGACAGTTGTGCTATATTTACACTAGTGTTTTGACAGGTGTGCTACATTTACACTAGTGTTGTGACAGTTGTGCCACATTTACACTAGTGTTGTGACAGATGTTCAACATTTACACTAATGTTATGACAGTTCTACATTTACGCTAGTGTTGTGACAGTTGTGCTACATTTACGCTAGTGTTGTGACAGTTGTGGCACATTTACGCTAGTGTTGTTGTGACAGTTGTGCCACATTTATGTTGTGTTGTGACAGTTCACCTCAAATACGCTTGTGTTTTACAGTATGCACATAATGTTCTGTTCATGGTAACCAACTGTCTGCCAGCTCTTTGAGCTTATCCTCAAAAGCATGGATAATATAAATAAATTGTTGTGGCCTTATTAAATAAAGTGTACTTGTTCCACTTTGTGGAACGCGATCAAGGCCCTAATCACGTCTCACAACCAGTCGGCCCTGGCATGGCTGCACTACCTGACACATGTATTTCTGTGACTTCCAGTCATGGTGAACAGCTCTGTGACACAATGTTACATTAAGCTGTCCATATTGTCGTCATGCTTCCCGGCTATTAAGGTTCCACTTTGTTGTCATGCCATTATGTCATTTAAATGTCAATATTGTCATGCCACCCGAGCCTGTAGACCTGCTGTGATGATAGTACTTCTAGTGCTGCTCACAAGTTGGTGTTTTGACAGGAGGTAGCATGGGGCATGCTGCAGCCTTGTGTGCCTTTGGTGGTGTTGACGACATGATCCACTGATGCAGGTGTAGTTGACATAATCCACTGATGCAGGTGTAGTTGATATAATCCACTGATGCAGGTGTTGTTGACATGATCCACTGATGCAGGTGTAGTTGTCAACATGATCCACTGATGCAGGTGTAGTTGATATAATCCACTGATGCAGGTGTTGTTGACATAATCCACTGATGCAGGTGTAGTTGTCAACATGATCCACTGATGCAGGTGTAGTTGATATAATCCACTGATGCAGGTGTAGTTGACATAATCCACTGATGCAGGTGTAGTTGACATAATCCACTGATGCAGGTGTAGTTGATATGATCGACTGATGCAGGTGTAGTTGATATGATCCACTGATGCAGGTGTAGTTGGTGACATGATCCACAGATGCAGGTGTAGTTGTCAACATGATCCACTGATGCAGGTGTAGTTGACATGATCCACTGATGCAGGTGTAGTTGATATAATACACTGATGCAGGTGTAGTTGACATGATCCACCAATGCAGGTGTAGTTGGTGACATGATCCACCAATGCAGGTGTAGTTGACGACATGATCCACTGATGCAGGTGTAGTTGTCATGATCCACTGATGCAGGTGTAGTTGGTGACATGATCCACCAATGCAGGTGTAGTTGACGACATGATCCACTGATGCAGGTGTAGTTGGTGACATGATCCACAGATGCAGGTGTAGTTGTCAACATGATCCACTGATGCAGGTGTAGTTGACATGATCCACTGATGCAGGTGTAGTTGATATAATACACTGATGCAGGTGTAGTTGATATAATACACTGATGCAGGTGTAGTTGATATAATCCACTGATGCAGGTGTAGTTGATATAATCCACTGATGCAGGTGTAGTTGACATGATCCACTGATGCAGGTGTAGTTGGTGACATGATCCACAGATGCAGGTGTAGTTGTCAACATGATCCACTGATGCAGGTGTAGTTGATATGATCCACTGATGCAGGTGTAGTTGGTGACATGATCCACAGATGCAGGTGTAGTTGGTGACATGATCCACAGATGCAGGTGTAGTTGACGACATGATCCACTGATGCAGGTGTAGTTGATATGATCCACTGATGCAGGTGTAGTTGGTGACATGATCCACAGATGCAGGTGTAGTTGGTGACATGATCCACCAATGCAGGTGTAGTTGACGACATGATCCACTGATGCAGGTGTAGTTGACATGATCCACTGATGCAGGTGTAGTTGATATGATCCACTGATGCAGGTGTAGTTGGTGACATGATCCACAGATGCAGGTGTAGTTGTCAACATGATCCACTGATGCAGGTGTAGTTGACATGATCCACTGATGCAGGTGTAGTTGATATAATCCACTGATGCAGGTGTAGTTGGTGACATGATCCACCAATGCAGGTGTAGTTGACGACATGATCCACTGATGCAGGTGTAGTTGACATGATCCACTGATGCAGGTGTAGTTGATATGATCCACTGATGCAGGTGTAGTTGGTGACATGATCCACAGATGCAGGTGTAGTTGTCAACATGATCCACTGATGCAGGTGTAGTTGATATGATCCACTGATGCAGGTGTAGTTGGTGACATGATCCACAGATGCAGGTGTAGTTGGTGACATGATCCACAGATGCAGGTGTAGTTGATATGATCCACTGATGCAGGTGTAGTTGATATAATCCACTGATGCAGGTGTAGTTGGTGACATGATCCACTGATGCAGGTGTAGTTGACATGATCCACTGATGCAGGTGTAGTTGACATGATCCACTGATGCAGGTGTAGTTGGTGACATGATCCACAGATGCAGGTGTAGTTGGTGACATGATCCACAGATGCAGGTGTAGTTGTCAACATGATCAACTGATGCAGGTGTAGTTGATATGATCCACTGATGCAGGTGTAGTTGGTGACATGATCCACAGATGCAGATGTAGTTGTCAACATGATCCACTGATGCAGGTGTAGTTGATATGATCCACCAATGCAGTTTTATTGAACAACTTTGCTCTTTTAACATTTTGTTTTTGCCCTATGAATGTACCCTCTGCATTACTGAAGTATTCACCATGAGACTTGACATTGAAGCATGACCAAAAAACATCTTTGAAAAACCCCAAATGCTTCCCCAAAACAACACTTGAATGGAAGAAGCTCAATTTGTTTTATTTGAGTGCCATTTTAGAGCACAGATAAAACAGAACACAAGTTTGATTGAGATCAGAAAGTAATCAGTGATTTGCAAGAAATGTTAAGTCTAGAATGTCCTTTCTCCTGCTCAAGATAAAGCAGGCAATCTATATAACATGACAGTAATTGGAACAGGTTGTCAGTATTCAGGTTGGCATTTGTCTGCTGATAGATTAAGTGTCAGAGGCAGGTATGACTGTGACGTGCCGTCACATTCCTAACGAGTGGCACGACCACACTACATACTTCACCCTAATGGCTGCAGTCCAAGGAGAATTTTGGAAATGTTTCCGCCATAAATAGTTGATGCATTGATATGGAAGTGGTGCCGATTGGGAAATCCATACAGTAAAAATGACACGTTCCATATGACATTCTCATAATTTTGACAAATGTGTTGGTCATGAAAGTTGATACGAAAGTGACGTGTGTGGAGAATAGATACCTCTCTCGTAGCTTGCTGATTATAACGCAAATAATGGGGCAGATGGAGGGAAAAGTTTCAGAGCCTGGTGAAGTCCTGCCATTCTGTCAGGTGATGAGTTTCCCTGTGTCTTGACTGATGTTTTGTGTCCCCTGGATCATACTTGGTGTTCTTAATGATTCATTTAGAAATATCAGTGTGTTAATTTTGTATGGTATTTTATATCAATGTGTTATTTGTGTGGTATTTTATATCAATGTGTTATTTGTGTGGTATTTTATATTAATGTGTTTGGTATTTTGTTTCAGAAAACAGTGGCAGTGATGAAGACGATGATTTAAATGGGAAAAGTTTAGGTGAGTTTTGTGCCGCTGTCAGCAATAAAATAAATATCCATGACCTGTGTGACTTCCATGTTAGAACAGGTCCCAACAACCTGTGCTGGTCATAGAGGTGACTTAATGGATTGGGCTTAATGACTTGGTTGATTACTTGTCATTGTACTCTGTGTGTCATTGTACTCTGACTGTGTGTCATTGTATTCTGGCTGTGTGTCATTGTATTCTGACTGTGGCATTGTACTCTGGCTGTGTCATTGTACTCTGGCTGTGTCATTGTACTCTGACTGTGTCATTGTATTCTGACTGTGGCATTGTACTCTGGCTGTGTCATTGTACTCTGACTGTGTCATTGTACTCTGACTGTGTCATTGTACTCTGGCTGTGTCATTGTACTCTGACTGTGTCATTGTACTCTGGCTGTGTCATTGTAGTCTGGCTGTGTGTCATATTACTCTGACTGTATCATTGTACTCTGACTGTGTCATTGTACTCTGGCTGTGTCATTGTACTCTGACTGTGTCATTGTATTCTGACTGTATCATTGTACTCTGACTGTGTCATTGTACTCTGACTGTGTCATTGTACTCTGACTGTGTCATTGTACTCTGGCTGTGTCATTGTATTCTGACTGTATCATTGTACTCTGACTGTGTCATTGTACTCTGGCTGTGTCATTGTACTCTGGCTGTGTCATTGTACTCTGGCTGTGTCATTGTACTCTGACTGTGTCATTGTACTCTGACTGTGTCATTGTACTCTGGCTGTGTCATTGTATTCTGACTGTATCATTGTACTCTGACTGTGTCATTGTATTCTGACTGTATCATTGTACTCTGACTGTGTCATTGTACTCTGACTGTGTCATTGTATTCTGACTGTATCATTGTACTCTGACTGTGTCATTGTATTCTGACTGTGTCATTGTACTCTGACTGTGCCTTGTACTCTGACTGTGTCATTGTACTCTGACTGTGTCATTGTACTCTGGCTGTGTCATTGTATTCTGACTGTATCATTGTACTCTGACTGTGTCATTGTATTCTGACTGTATCATTGTACTCTGACTGTGTCATTGTACTCTGACTGTGTCATTGTATTCTGACTGTATCATTGTACTCTGACTGTGTCATTGTATTCTGACTGTGTCATTGTACTCTGACTGTATCATTGTATTCTGACTGTGTCATTGTACTCTGGCTGTGCCTTGTACTCTGACTGTGTCATTGTAGTCTGGCTGTGTGTCATATTACTCTGACTGTATCATTGTACTCTGACTGTGTCATTGTACTCTGACTGTGTCATTGTACTCTGACTGTGGCATTGTACTCTGGCTGTGTCATTGTATTCTGACTGTATCATTGTACTCTGACTGTGTCATTGTACTCTGACTGTGTCATTGTATTCTGACTGTATCATTGTACTCTGACTGTGTCATTGTATTCTGACTGTGTCATTGTACTCTGGCTGTGTCATTGTACTCTGACTGTGTCATTGTATTCTGACTGTATCATTGTACTCTGACTGTATCATTGTACTCTGGCTGTGCCTTGTACTCTGACTGTGCCATTGTACTCTGACTGTCATTGTAGTCTGGCTGTGTGTCATATTACTCTGACTGTGTGTCATTGTACTCTGACTGTGTCATTGTACTATGGCTGTGTCATTGTACTCTGTGTGTCTTTGTACCCTGTGTGTCACTGTACTCTTTATCACAGACATCCCATATTCCTAGTACTATGACAATCTTCAACAAAGACACCCATATTCCTAGTGCTATGACAATCCTTCAGCATCTATGACCGATATTGAGCTCTATGACAATCCTTTCACAAAGGCACCCAACATTCGTAGCATCCCCCATGCTGTGTAAATACAGGACCATGATCCACAGTCATATGTTTTTAGATTGACCCCTTTATTTCCAATCTGTACACAAGTAAGTGAGTGAGTGAGTGAGTGTGTTGGGTTTAACGCCGCTTTTAACAGTATTTCAGTTTTATCACGGCGTGTCAGCTTAATGTGGGAGGTAAGCCCGAAGTGATGCAGGTCTCAGACATTTACCACGTCGGTGAACCCAACGAGGACAGGTATGGTGCTGACAAACCTAGAAACATAATCGGGGCGAACCGGGATTCGAACCCACAATAATAGGTTTCTGGCGTGCCCAAAGGACGCAACTCTGCTCAGCGAATTGTGGCGCCTTAGACGACTGGGCCACCTGTGCCCCCATACACATGTAAGAATAGCTTGCCTTTCAGACCTAGAAAAGGTCCTGATTCTCAGTAATATGATCCATTTTCGAATTTCATAACAGAAATATTGCTCTGTTTAAAACCATTCAGTTCCCAAGTTTCATTGGCTTAAAGCAATTTGGACAACAAACACTCAAAACAGTGGTTGTGTTTGTCTTCAATCATCGGCCATGATCTGCTTCATGAAAGTACAATTTTGTTCGGCTACATTGATAGAAATTACACCAATTGCGATGCTGGTGGAATAAAGTGGACAAGAACAGCAGGTCCGGTTGTAAAATGTGATACCTGGCATGTTCAGAGCTGTTTGCTCATTAGACAGAATGGGAACTGACAAGCGTTGTTATTTATCCGAGTTATTTACACAGAAACTACTTAGGGCGGTAATCACACAAACCAAGCTTAGGCCGAGATGGGATTGGGATGCCGCATTGAGAGAGACACATGGATTTGGGGGATATATGGAGCTAAAATAGCCCTAATGTATCACCAGTCAATGTACTGCTGTGTGGTCACATGTCATCATTAATATCGGTGTTTAATAACAATAATGACAGGTGTGGATAAATATCGGAGACGGTTTCATTGGTCTTGTAACAGGAAGGAAAACAAGTTCAACTTCCTAGACTTTGTCGAGTCATCATATTCATTTAAAGTAAACAGTTTCTGTGATATAAATGATTACGTTGAAGTTGCAACATAAGTTTCTATGACACTATTCAAACAGCGTTACATAGGTTTTTTTTATATTGGTTGTGTATATCTACAAAGTTCTTGCTTTTAGGGTGCATGAGTGGCCCAGTTGTATAAGGTGCCATTGTTCGCTGTGCGAAGTTGCTTTCCTTAAGCGCGCCTTAAACTTATGATCATGGGTTTGAATCCCGGTCCAATCCACTAAATCTGTGCTTGTGTGTTTCACCAAAGTGGTAATCGTCTGTGACCTGCATCACTTGGACTTGAGTCCCAGATCAACCAGTAGAGATCAATGGCATGTCCCAGACACATCCAGCAGAGATCCATGAGTCTAAGTTCCAGATCACCCAGTAGAGATCCATGGCATGTCCCAGACACACCCAGCACAGATCCATGGCATGTCCCAGACACACCCAGCAGAGATCCATGGCATGTCCCAGACACATCCAGCAAAGATCCATGGGTCTAAGTCCCAGATCACCCAGTAGAGATCCATGGCATGTCCCAGACACACCCAGCAGAGATCTATGGGTCTAAGTCCCAGACTCACCAAGCAGAGATCTATGGGTCTAAGTTCCAGGCTCACCCAGCAGCGATCCATGGGTCTTTGTCCAGACTCACCAAGCAGAGATCCATGGGTCTTTGTCCAGACTCACCAAGCAGAGATCCATCGGTTGAGTCCCAGACTCACCCAGCAGAGATCCATGAGATAAGTCCCAGACTCACCCAGCAGAGATCCATGGTTCTATGTCCCCGACTCACGCATCAGAGATCCATGGTCCTATGTCCTATAGACTTACCTTGCAGACATCCATGAGATGTCCCAGACTCACCCAGCAGAGATCCATGGTCCTATGTCCCAGACTCACCCAGCAGAGATCCATGGTCCTATGTCCCAGACTCACCCACCAGAGATCCATAGGTTTAAGTCCAGACCTGCATCACTTCAGGCTTTCCTCCCACATGAAACAGACATGCCATGATATGAATAGAATACTGTTCAAAGTGGGGTTAAACCCAACTCACTCACTCACTCACTAAATGTGTGTAAGAAGACCGAGCCAGCAGCAGTCTAGGCTGAGCCAACCTAACACTGATGCTGATGATGTTTGTTGCTGCTGCTGACGGGGTTACCCCGAGGTTCATTCAATCTAGGTTGTAAGTTGATCTAAACCATAAACACATGTGAAATTACAGTGTAAGATGGGTTGACGGGAGTGCAGATTAGTGGCAGGAAAATAGCTTTTACCAGCCATGTTAAATCTGGGTTTTAGAAGACACTGACAAAACAGGGGATTAAAACAGCAGCAGTGATCATGATGAATGATGGAACGTCTGGGCACAAACTGGAGGGAGATTGTTGACTGAGTATGTAGCTGTCAGATGTTGTACAACTGTCAGCAGCGGTTCAGCTGTATCATGGTGGCCTGTGGCTGATGGATGGCGTTGTGAACATACAAACTCTCACGTCTTTGTCGTGTTTGTTGTATGGCAGCACCCACCAGAGATCCATGGTCCTATGTCCCAAACTCACCAAGCAGAGATCCATGGGTCTATGTCCCAAATTTTCCCATCAAAGATCCATGAGATGAGTCCGAGACTCACCCATCAGAGATCCATGGTCCTTTGTCCCAGACTCACCCACCAGAGATCCATGGTCCTATGTCCCAGACTCACCCACCAGAGATCCATGGTCCTATGTCCCAGACTCACCCACCATAGATCCATGGTCCTATGTCCCAAACTCACCAAGCAGAGATCCATGGGTCTATGTCCCTGATTTTCCCATCAGATCCATGAGATGAGTCCGAGACTCACCCATCAGAGATCCATGGTCCTTTGTCCCAGACTCACCCACCAGAGATCCATGGTCCTATGTCCCAGACTCACCCACCAGAGATCCATGGTCCTATGTCCCAGACTCACCCACCAGAGATCCATGGTCCTATGTCCCAAACTCACCAAGCAGAGATCCATGGGTCTATGTCCCTGATTTTCCCATCAGAGATCCATGAGATGAGTCCGATACTCACCCATCAGAGATCCATGGTCCTATGTCCCAGACTCACCCAGCAGAGATCCATGGTCCTATGTCCAAGACTCACCCAGCAGAGATCCATGGTCCTATGTCCCAGACTCACCCAGCAGAGATCCATGGTCCTATGTCCCAGACACATCCAGCAGAGATCCATGGTCCTATGTCCCAGACTCACCCATCAGGGATCCATGGGTCTGTGTCTAAGATTCACCCATCAGAGATCCTTGAGATGAGTCCGAGACTCACCCACCAGAGATCCATGGTCCTATGTCCCGGACTCACCCAACAGGGATCCATGGGTCTGTGTCCAAGATTTACCCATCAGAGATCCATGGGTCTGAGTCCCAGACTCACCCACCAGAGATCCATGGTCCTATGTCCCAGACTCACCCAACAGGGATCCATGGGTCTGTGTCCAAGATTCACTCATCAGAGATCCATGGGTCCGAGTCCCAGATTAACCCACCAGAGATCCATGGGTTTAAGTCCCAGACTCACCCACCAGAGATCCTTGAGATGAGTCCCAGACTCACCCAGCAGAGTCAGCACCATACCCATGGGTTTCATCAAAGTCGTAGATCTGCATTACTTTGGCTTTCCACGTTAAGCTGCCACTATGTGATGTAACTGAAATACTGTTCAAAGCCGTGTTACACTCAACCAACTCACTCACTATGACCTCTGTCACAACTGGCTTTCTTCCTGTATGGTCTAGATTAACCGATGTGGAATAGAGCTGTTCAAAGCAGTGTTAAACCCAACTCACTCACTCTCTCAAATTACATTGTTCTTTTTACAAATCCCATATGCGTGTCATTTAGGTTGTATTCGGTTGTGTTTCCAAATTGCAGGGCACTCTTCCTCCGACAACTATGAGAACGATTCCATGGTGCGGTCTACGGGTACTGACGACATCGAGTCGTGGCGGGATGATATACGCTGGAGGCTGAAGCAAGAGTCCGAGTTCCTCGCCCAACTGCGGGCTCGTCGACAGCGGAGCGAGAACAGCAGCCAGACCACAAGTGATAACGAACAAGATCCGTGAGTAGACGTTTGTTTGTTGTTTCACGCCCCTTTCAGCAATATTAACGCCCCTTTCAGCAAAATTAACGCCCCTTTCAGCAATATTACAGCCATGTGATGGCAACCTGTATGTGTGTGTGTGTGTGTGTGTGTGTGTGTGTGTGTGTGTGTGTGTGTGTGTGTGTGTATGTATGTATGTATGTATGTATGTTGTTTAACTCCGCACTGAGCAATATTCCAGCTATATGACAGCAGTCTGTAAATAATCGAGTCTGGACCAGACAATTCAGTGATTGACATCATGAGCATTGATCCACACAATTGGGATACGATGACATGCATCAAACAAATCAGTGAGTCTGACCACCGGATCCCGTTAGACGCCTCTTGCAACAAGCATAGTCGCCTTTTACGGCAAGCTTGGGTTGCTGAAGATCTATTCTACCCAAGTTCTTCATAGGTTGCCTAATAATATTACAGGCCAAAAATATTGCCTTGGAAGGTGTTTACAAGTGACTCTTGTGTTGTGTTTTTCAGCTACATTCCAGACGATGGTGAGTCGTACGTGAGGACAGACGATGACAGCGCCCTCAACACAGATGATGGCGAGTCCTTCGTTCGCACCGATGATGATCGTAGTGGAAAAGGAGTGGAGACGACTGAGAATGCTGAGCTATATGACAATCATCCTGGGGTAAGGGATATACAGAGCTATATGACAATCATCCTGGGGTAAGGTATATACAGAGCTATATGACAATCATCCTGGGGTAAGGGATATGCAGCTATATGACAATCATCCTGGGGTAAGGGATATCCAGAGCTATATGTCAGTCATCCTGGGGTAAGGGATATACAGAGCTATATGTCAATCATCCTGGGGTAAGGGATATACAGAGCTGTATGACAATCATCCAGGGGTAAGGGATATACAGAGCTGTATGACAATCATCCAGGGGTAAGGGATATACAGAGCTGTATGACAATCATCCAGGGGTAAGGGATATACAGAGCTGTATGACAATCATCCTGGGGTAAGGGATATACAGAGCTATATGACAATCATCCTGGGCAAGGGATATACACAGCTATATGACAATCATCCTGGGCAAGGGATATACACAGCTATATGACAATCATCCTGGGGTAAGGGATATACAGAGCTATATGACAATCATCCTGGGCAAGGGATATACACAGCTATATGACAATCATCCTGGGGTAAGGGATATACACAGCTATATGACAATCATCCTGGGGTAAGGGATATACAGAGCTGTATGACAATCATCCAGGGGTAAGGGATATACAGCTATATGACAATCATCCTGGGCTATGGGATATACACAGCTATATGACAATCATCCTGGGGTAAGGGATATACAGCTATATGACAATCATCCTGGGCTATGGGATATACAGAGCTATATGTCAATCATCCTGGGGTCATGTGTTAATATTTATGTTTGAAAATCAAGCATGGGAATTCTTGGGTAGAATTGGTCCCCTGTAATCTCCAGCTTGGAGTAAGTGTTGATACAATGGATGGGCGGTCCGACAGGTGATGTACGATGGGGCTTAGGCTTTCCTTCATTCTCCAAGTCAAGTCTTGACACAGTGTTTCCGTTTACCGGTAATTACCAGTTTTTACTTGTAAAATTAGCCTTGGACTGGTAATTCTCGTGACCGCCATTCCCTTGGCCCGGCAAATAAAGTACCTTATAAATCTTTGTTGTTGAACAAAACATTGGCGATATTCATGTAGGTATATTTTTCGAACGAATACTGTAATTGTTTTCTATGTCCCACCAGGAGTTGATGACAAGCAGTCGATACACCACCGACGAGGAAAGCTACCTGCAGACAGACGAGGAGTCGTACATCCGGACCGATGATGAGGAAGGCGGCAACACAGACTGGGAGGAGTCCACTCGTAGATGGGTGAACCGATGATACATCTCCAGGCTGGTGGAGCCAGTGTAAATACCCTGTGTTGAATAGTCGGACCGTAGCGCACATGGTGCATGCATGATCATGTTGACTAGCATACCACGACCATTCGTCTGGAGAGGTCAGCCGATTGTGTATATACGCCATAGAAACAATGATTGACAACCAAGTCTGATCTGCAAGTGATACGGGAATGTATATCCTGCTTGGGTGATAACAGATGTGTGGGTGATAACAATGATATCACATTGTGCTTGGTATGTAATACGTATTAAACCAAGAAGTATATTGGCAGCCATTTTGTATTAGGCAAGGAGCACATGTGTTGTGTTGCCATGGTTACAGGACGAACGAGCAGCTGATGACCAAGAGAATGTGATGACGTCTGTGTTCAAGAATTTGTGTAAGATAGTTTACTGTCGTCATGTGGTGGTACAAAAGTCACTGCACTTCATGACCTCTTGTGTATTGTGAAGAGAAAATATTGATGTGAGTCAGATTGAGGTAAGATGTCATGATGTGAGTCGGCTTGAGATATGGTGTTACGATGTTGTTTGTTTGTTAGTCCATCCTGTATCTGCCCTAAACGTGACAGCAAGAATAACTGGAATAGTATTTTTCATCATATAGATATGTATCCAATGCAAACAATGCAATGCCACACGGAGGAGCTGTCTAGAGTCGTTTGTCATTCATGGAGGAGCTGTTCACAGGAAAGATTGGATGGAAAATATTGAGTGCATGTCTTAATTTACACTAAAACCAAAGTTTTCAGGAAAGGATTGCCATTTTTAACACATTCACTGCTAATTCATGGAATATATGGTGCTGGCAACAAGTTCTGTGTGCGCATATCAGAATCAAATATGTCATAACTGTAATTTAGTTTCAAAGTTGCAATACTTAAATAGTGCTGAGGAATGCAGTTTTTTGCTTAGGATTGTTATTTCTTGTTTAGGATGAAATCTTTTCTTGTCCTGTCTGAAACCCACACTTGCATGAGCACCCTGGAAGTCAATGCTTTTACTGTCCTGACATTTGCTCTTGTTTAAATGGCAAATTTGATCTTGGTGTTCTTGTTTACGATGCTCTGGCTGACAGGATAGATTCATTACTTTAGCATCAAACTGACAATTTTTTGTCCAGATTTTTATTGACGCCAAATACAAGCTGTGTATACTTTCGAAAGAGAATGAGATAGGGAAATAATTTTGACTTTGGGAATTTAGAAAGAATCTGTTCACTTACATGTAACTGAGAGAAAATATAGGTTTGTCATCTACCACTAATGACTACATGATGTTTTAGAACTGTTTCTGGAGTGTAAGTTGACATCTGCCTCTAGGGGCTAGTTGATGTGCTAGAGCTGTTCGTGGTATGTTGGTTGATGAAGCTAGAGCTATTCCTGGTGTAAGGGTCGTCTGCCACTAACAGTGAGCTGTTCCTGGTGCATGGGTCAATTTCTGCCACAAAGCTAGAGCTCTTCCTGGAGTAGGAGTCGACGTCTGCCTCCAGGGACTAGTTGATGTGCTAGAACTGTTCGTGTATATTGGTCGATGAAGCTAGAGCTATTCCTAATGTATTGGTCGATGTCTGCCACAAAGCTAGATCTTTTCCTGGTGTATGGGTGGTCATCGGCAACAAAGCTAGATCTATTCCTGCTATATGGGTCGACATCTTCCACTAATCTAGAGCTATTTCTGGTGCATAGGTCAATGACGCTACAGCTGTTCCTGGTGTATGGGTGGACATCTGCTACAAATCTAGAGCTATTCCTGGTGTATTGTCAACGTCTGCCACTAAACTAGAGCAGTTCCTGGTGTATTGTTGACGCCTGCCACTAAACTAGAGCAGTTCCTGGTGTATTGTCAACGTCTGCCACTAAACTAGAGCAGTTCCTGGTGTATTGTTGATGCCTGCCACTAAGCTAGAGCTATTCCTGGTGTACAGTCGACGTCTGCCACTAAGCTAGAGCTATTCCTGGTGTATGGGTGGACGTCTGCTACAAATCTAGAGCTATTCCTGGTGAACAGTCGACGTCTGCCACTAAGCTAGAGCAGTTCCTGGTGTAAGGGTCGACATCTGCCACTAAGCTAGAGCAGTTCCTGGTGTATTGTCGACGTCTGCCACTAAGCTAGAGCAGTTCCTGGTGTATTGTCGACGTCTGCCACTAAGCTAGAGCAGTTCCTGGTGTATTGTCGACGTCTGCCACTAAGCTAGAGCAGTTCCTGGTGTATTGTCAACATCTGCCACTAAGCTAGAGCAGTTCCTGGTGTATTGTCGACATCTGCTAGAGCTGTTTCGGGTGTATCGGTCAGTATCTACTGTTTACATCTAGGTGATCTGCAACAGATGTTTCATAGACAGGCAGACTGAAATTTGGGTGGTACCAGCAACATGTTCAATAGGATTCCTCATCTTTTTATGCAGGATTTGTTTCCGTCACCCCTGTACATTCTGTTGGATAAGTCGAGAGATTATTTTGTTTCAAATATTGTTCGTGTAAATACTTGTATAAACTTGTTGTTCCCACTCTGTATAGTAAATAATGACCCTTATGAAAGCAATACTACACAAGCTCTCATGTCTTTTTCGCTGTTGTTCTTCCAGTAAATGCATAGGTTGAGTTTTCTATTCTTGTCGTGACATTTTGTAACATTCACATCCAGCACAAATGGCACCTTAAATTGTTCCATTGTCGGATTTCATTCAGTAACTATTTGAATATATATATGCTACTCAAAAGAATTTAAAGAACACCCGATTCTTTCATATGACCAATTCCCGACATGGGTACAATGTGTGAAGCCCATTTATGGTGTCCCCCGTGATATTGCTGAAATATATTGCTAAAAGCGGCGTAAAACCATACTCACTCACTCACTCATATGACCAAAGTTAATTCTCATGCCGTGACAGATTAGCTATAGTAATATCAAAGAATTGGGTGCTCCTTTACTTCTTTGGAGTAGCATACTTTTATGTTGGTTGACATAATGCTAAACAGTATTGTGAATATTTTTGATCCAATATCGGTTGTAGAAGTCCACGCATATCTTAATTACATCAGTTCTTATCATCCTCGGTAGATTTTGAGGTTAACGTTTTATTTTTATCCAGTTATCAGCTTTAACTTTTTAAGATTCTTAGTTTTGTCAGTTGGTGCCATGATGTATTTTAAGTTGATCTTATTGATACAATGAAATTGACTTTTATTGAAACAGTGAGAACTCACCAGTACAGCAAATCATGTCCGTGGTCACTGTTGTTCAAGGCGGCTATGATGGGTGCTGAGGTCAAGGTTGTTGCTGGTCACACAGGGTCAAGGTCAAGCAAAACTGTCAACCAGGTCTTGACTATGTTTTTAGCATAGTCAAGTATTCTCACGTTTACTTGTCGTGCCTTTTACCATACTAATGAACTAAGACTGCTGTAGCACCTCGATAGCGTTGGTTTAGGGCCTGTCAGATTGGCTTTGTGCTAGTCAGTTATTACTGGACCCAATCAGTAAGTACTAGAGCCAAGTTAGTACTGAGGACAATCAACAACTACTTCTATTTGTAATGTGTCAAAGCACTCACACCATTATTACCCTGGTCAAGGGGATTAGTGTGCGCTCAATATACTTTCTCAGCTCCCTGGGAAGTATTCAACCCAAGCTGCCCGTGAGGCATCTTATCCTACAGGGTACCCATTCAATGCTGGGGGAACAGAGGCATATTTAGAGCAAAGTCAATTGCCTAATATGACACCACATGTGCTTCAGTGTGGGGCAGAACCGAAGCCCTAGGATCTCCCAGGAGTCACGGTCACCCAACTATCTTCTCCCTGTTGCTTAACTTCTGATTTGTGGCCTGCGCTCTGGTCACAGGACCACTGGGGCCAACCAGTCAGAACTAGAGCCAACCAGTCAGTACTAGAGGCAATCAGATATTACACAGGCCAACCAGTTAGAACTCTGGACCATCAGATAGTACTTTGTTAGGATTCCCGTGAAGATCCGGGTACGAATAGGTCTTCATCAACCCATGCTTGCTTAAGAGGCGACTAACGGGATCGGGAATTCAGGCTTGCTGACTTAGTTGATGCATATCATCGTATCCCAATTGTGTAGGTTGAAGCTCATGATATCAATCACTGGATTGTCTGGTCCAGACTCGATTATTTACAGACCGCCGTCATATAGCTGGAATATTGCTGAGTGCAGCGTTAAACAACAAACAAACAAACAAACAAACTTGGTTAGGAATGGCAGAACAAGTTTCTGGAGATAATTTCGTTCCCTTCCCTCTGTTTCTGTGATGGACCTCTGTGACCATGTGTGACTAGCGGAGCCGGTTTACCTGTGTTTGTTCTGTTCTGTGTACTATATATGCTTGAGACGAAGTATTTGTGACCTCGAGGTATTTGCGAGGTCGTATCCATGTGTTGTGTTCATCCAGCCCGAGGTGATTCCTGATGTTTTGTAAGACAATGTCTTTCATGCTGTGATTTGTACATGACCCTGTGTACAGTGTAAATATAAGATGGCAGATCTGTACCCAACTCAAACATGTCTCTTAACTGACTGTCCAACAGAAATTATTTCAAAACTAGTGACCACCCCATTGTTGCCAATAGGGTATCTGGTCATGCTGTATACCCAAGATCAACACGTAAAACCTGCGACCTGCTCTGTCCTTCACACAAAACAACTACTTAGGCTGTCTGTTTAAGGATATATTTTTGGTATTAGTCTGATAGAACTCCTTTCATGGCCAACCATTATACAGTCAAGTTCCGTTAATCCGACATGGTTGGTTGCATATGATAATGCTTGATTAATGAGTATGTCGGATAAACGAAATTAAGTAGAATCAACATTTGTGATCGAAAATTGGACAACTACACGATAGATAAAGAAATATGTTCTTTGAAATTAAATAATTAAAAAGGAAATAGTCATGCTCTTATGTTATATTGTTAGCGGAATATGTTTTCTAATCATGCAACCTCGGAAAACTTGACACAGGGCATTCCGAACTACAGCTACGGGCTGTATCACCGATTGAAAATACTTTTGAAAATGTTAATTGTTTATTGTTAAGCAAGCTTCTCTTGCAGCCACAAGCCGACTCGTTTCACGTCAAAACACAGGGCTGTGTGCTCTGGGCAGATGACCACGGAGTATACTGATCACTGTGTCGGATTACCGAGGCTGATTAATGACTGATTTTAGCAATTCGTTACAAATTAGGTGTGTCGGAGTCGGAGTGCGAGACTGTTGGATTAACAGGTCTAAATAACACTGATTTAATCATTGTGTCGAATCAAGCCGATTGTTGGATTAACAAGACTTGACTGTATTTAATGTTTAATGGGAGGGGGGGATTTCTTTAACACTTATTCTTTAACAAGAAAAATGTATAATATACCCGGTACTACTCAATTTTTCTATGGGAATAATCAGTTATACACTTGACATATGAGTATCGTGGAAACATACAAATATCCCTATCAAAATTGGAGTAGTGTATATCCACAGTATATTCTTCATCCAAAACTTAAGCCAGTATATTAGAGCAGGAGTAGATTAGTTTGTGTACAAAATTTGCCAGATCCCCCGAGGAGATCGTCGATCCCCGACACAAGGAGGTAGGTAGGACGGGGGGGTTAGTTGTGGAAATGTCTGTCAGTTGAGTGTGAATGTGTTGAACTAAGTGTCATGACTCCTTGTGGTGTGGTGCAGTCGTGTGTTGACTCTGCACTCCCATCACAATACAAAGCAAATAAGCTGCTCTGGGTAGTGCATATCTAGACATTAGCAAACCTCATTATTTCAACTCATTACCCATGTTCATTACATCATTGTGTACGTTCAGGAACTTGCACACAAGTGATCGCTGTGATGGTTGTTTGAACATTTTGACAAGATTTTTCTGGCCAATTCTTTTTACTAACATAGGCTCTCTGTTCTGTCTTTGTCTTCATCTTTGTAAAATATCACCCAAATATACTGCTACGAAAAGGTTAAGGATCACCTGATTCTTTTATATTAAATTTAATCGATCATGCCGTGACAGATTGACTTTAGTAATGTGTAAGAATTGGGTGATCCTTAACTTTTCTGTACAGCATGTGTCCAAACAGGATCATACAGCGTTGTTTTAGATTTCCAGAGATATTTCTGTGTTGCCTGGTTTAAATAAATATTTGTTTGTAACCTGGACACTTCTTGGATATTGTGGGAGCATGGGTGGCCCAGTCGTCAAAGGCTCCACAATTCGCTGTGCAGAGTTGTGCCCCTTGGGCATGCCAGAAACCTATGATTGTGGGTTTGAATCCTGGCTTTTTCCCCGATTATGTTTCTAGGTTTGTCAGCACCATACCCGTGCTCATCGGTTTTACCTACGTGATGAACGTCTGAGACCTGCATCACTTCGGGCTTTCCTCCCACATTAACCTGAAACGCTGTGATATAACTGGAATACTGTTCATAGGCGTTAAACCCAACTCACTCACTCACAGATATTGTGTGCTAACCCATGAGTGTCAGGTCTAAACTGATGATTCACCTCCATTTTGGCCGCAGAGATCACTCAACTTGAACAGGTGGCCAAGCTGTTAAGAGCACCACAAGAGTTGCCCCCCTTAGTTGAGCCAGATCTGCTGAGAAACTGATCAAAACCAACTCACTAATTTTCTATCAACTCTCACCAAGTGAGTATGCATCTTCCTCTTTCCAGCTGCACGGGTGGCCCAGTCGTCTAAGGTGCCGCGATTCGCTGTGCAGAGTTGCGTCCCTTGGCCATGCTAGAAACCTATGATTGGGTTCGAATCTCAGTTCGCCCCAATTATGTTTCTAGGTTTGTCAGCACCATACCCTTGCTCATGGGTATCATCGAAGTGGTAAACGTCTGAGACCTGCATCACTTTGGGCTTTCCTCCCACATTTAGCTCACACGCTGCGATTTAACTGGAATACTGTTAAAAGCGGCTTTAAAACCAAACTCACTCACTCACTCTTCCCACAATCGTGACGATCTGATAATGCTCTACAGCATTGTAACTGTGTTAATGTGTTTAACCTTAAAAGGTTAATTTGCCCCAACCATTGCATGATTATTTCATTACAAGAGGACTGTGATGTAGGAATTACTTCCCTTGTTTTACTCTAGATCTGTCTGAACTGTTGACACATGCCAATAACTTGGAAGAATGTGCATTTTGATCTCTTACGTGTACCATTTGATTTGTCATTTTCATTTACTATAAATACATTCTTACATGACAATGTGCTTCGTTGTTTTTTATCAACTGGAAATGTTGTGTTTACTTAAACATTTTTGTTTGTTTTGATTGCTGTAAATACATCGTACCTACATGATAGTCCAATCGGTCAATCACTGTAATAGGCAATAAACTGAGTTGACACTGATTAATCGAGGATTAATTACTGAGAACATCTTGTTAATTTGAGTAAAATGTGTTTACAACTGTACATAAATACCTTGCATCATCGATGTACCTCATTATCCTCACAATGCTACGATACGTAACCTCAGACAAGAAGCGAAAGCGTGACGACAGCCAGTCGACCGATGCAGATCAGTCGAGCGGATCTGCCAAACCCTCAAAGTCTGAATGATCATTTTGTAGGTCGTGGCTAACGACTTTCACTTGGTTGACATACAATGAGAATTTGCAGATTTTATTGTTTTCAGTAGCTAGTCGTATATTGAATCTTGATTGACCGCCATTTTGCTTTCGTGACGATCGATATCAAATTTTTTTATGGTCAATAATTAAGTACAGATGAAAAAAGTATTCAAATAACTATTGCTATCAACGATATTTTAGGATTTATGATTATATTATCTGTTGTTTTTAAATAATCTTTAGATTAAAAAAAACACTTTTCCCCGTGAGGTCACGTGATAACCAAATATGGGATAATAGTCTCGATCCAAATGTTACAATGCATACACTTGAGCAGACTCATGAATATTAATTAGACCGTTCACTACGTTAACAGATCGTTATTATAACAGAAACAAACGTATGTTTTTCATATATATCTAAAATGATATTTTTTGTTATTAATTGTCCGGTGAATTAAACAATTTAAATTGAAACAATTCATAATTCATCATATTAAGAATACGTAACAACTTGTAATTTGTGTGTAAAAAGTCGTACTAAAATACGCTATTTGAAGGGGGCGTGGAATAAATGCAAATGTCTGATTGGGATTTTAAATTTTCCGGACCCCTGCTTTACAGTCATGGTCACCATCACCCTGTGTTAGTAGGGATGGTGGGGCGGTCGGGTAGCCTAGTGGTTAAGCGTTCGCTCGCCACTCCGAAGACATGGGTTTGATTCCTGACATCAGTACAATGTGTGAAGCCCATTTCTGGTGTCCCCCACCGTGATATTGCTGGAATATTGCTAAAAGCAGCATAAAACCATACTCACTCACTCACTAGTAGGGATGGTATTGCGATGTTTGTTTGTTTGTTATTTAATGCCACACTCAGAAATATTCCCGCTATATGACGGAAGTCTGTAAATAATCATGTCTGGACCAGACAATCCAGTGATTGATGTCATGAGCATCGATCTACGCAATTAGAATACAATGACATGCATCAATTAAGTCGGCGAGCCTGACCACCCGATAAGTATATATTACGGCGGTTTGTAAATAATTGAATCCTGACCATGCAATCCACTGATTGACTTCATGAGCATTGATCTACGCATTTGGGATACAAATACATGCATGTGATGGTTGGTACACTCTCTGGTCACTCACAACACAGTTCAGTACCGACAAGGGCACGGGTGGCCCAGTCGTCTAAGGCGCCGTGATTCGCTGTGCAGAGTTGCGTCCCTTGGGCACGCCAGAAACCTATGATTGTGGGTTCGAATCCCGGTTCGCCCCGATTATGTTTCTAGGTTTGTCAGCACCATACCCGCACTTGTGTTTCTCACCGAAGTGGTAAACGTCTGAGACCTGCATCACTTCGGGCTTTCCTCCCACATTAGGCTGACGCCGCGATATAACTGGAATACTGTTAAAAGTGGCGTTAAACCAAACTCACTCACTCGCTCAAGTCTTGTCTTGGTGTCATCTGTTGTAGCTTCAATGTAGTAAACTGTAGTTAAGGAAGTCTGCTGGTGTGATGTTGTAATTGCTGCAGTATTCAAACAGTTGTGTAAAGCCAGCATAAGTCAGTACATCACAGATATGAATGCCAATAATTATAGACTAAAAGTTAAATTGTCAAAGATATGGCTTCATATCAAACAAACACAGGTCTATTCATTGGGGTAACTATAAATGTGGCACATTCACCTGGGTTTAAAATGAGCCACTCTAAAACCTGGCACATGCACCTGGGTTAACTCTAAAACCATGCACATTCTCCTTGGTTAACTCTAAAACCATGCATATTCTCCTGGGTTAACTCTAAAACCTGGCACATTCACCTGGGTTAACTCTAAAACCTGGCACATTCACCTGGGTTAACTCTAAAACCTGGCACATTCACTTGGGTTAACTCTAAAACCTGGCACATTCACTTGGGTTAACTCTAAAACCTGGCAAATTCACCTGGGTTAACTCTAAAACCTGGCACATTCAATTGGGTTAACTCTAAAACCTTTGTTAACTCTGAAACTATGCACATTCACCTGGGTTAACTCTAAAACCTGGCACATTCACCTGGGTTAACTCTAAAACCTGGCACATTCACTTGGGTTAACTCTAAAACCTGGGTTAACTCTGAAACCATGCACATTCACCTGGGTTAACTCTAAAACCTGGCACATTCACCTGGGTTAACTCTAAAACCTGGCACATTCACCTTGGTTAACTCTAAAACCTGGCACATTCACCTGGGTTAACTCTAAAACCTGGCAAATTCACTTGGGTTAACTCTAAAACCTGGGTTAACTCTAAAACCTGGGTTTACTCTAAAACCTGGCACATTCACCTGGGTTAACTCTAAAACCTGGGTTAACTCTAAAACCTGGCACATTCACCTGGGTTAACTCTAAAACCTGGCATATTCACTTGGGTTAACTCTAAAACCTGGGTTAATTCTGAAACCTTGCACATTCACCTGGGTTAACTCTAAAACCTGGCACATTCACTTGGGTTAACTCTAAAACCTGGGTTAACTCTGAAACCTGGCACATTCATCTGGGTTAACTCTAAAACCTGGCACATTCACCTGGGTTAACTCTAAAACCTGGCACATTCATCTGGGTTAACTCTAAAACCTGGCACATTCACCTGGGTTAACTCTAAAACCTGGCACATTCACCTGGGTTAACTCTAAAACCTGGCAAATTCACCTGGGTTAACTCTAAAACCTGGCACATTCAATTGGGTTAACTCTAAAACCTTTGTTAACTCTGAAACTATGCACATTCACCTGGGTTAACTCTAAAACCTGGCACATTCACCTGGGTTAACTCTAAAACCTGGCACATTCACTTGGGTTAACTCTAAAACCTGGGTTAACTCTGAAACCATGCACATTCACCTGGGTTAACTCTAAAACCTGGCACGTTCACCTGGGTTAACTCTAAAACCTGGCACATTCACCTTGGTTAACTCTAAAACCTGGCACATTCACCTGGGTTAACTCTAAAACCTGGCAAATTCACTTGGGTTAACTCTAAAACCTGGGTTAACTCTAAAACCTGGCACATTCACCTGGGTTAACTCTAAAACCTGGGATAACTCTAAAACCTGGCACATTCACCTGGGTTAACTCTAAAACCTGGCACATTCACCTGGGTTAACTCTAAAACCTGGCATATTCACTTGGGTTAACTCTAAAACCTGGCATATTCACTTGGGTTAACTCTAAAACCTGGCACATTCACCTGGGTTAACTCTAAAACCTGGCATATTCACCTGGGTTAACTCTAAAACCTGGCACATTCACCTGGGTTAACTCTAAAACCTGGCATATTCACTTGGGTTAACTCTAAAACCTGGGTTAATTCTGAAACCATGCACATTCACCTGGGTTAACTCTAAAACCTGGCACATTCACTTGGGTTAACTCTAAAACCTGGGTTAACTCTAAAACCTGGCACATTCTCCTGGGTTAACTCTAAAACCTGGGTTAACTCTGAAACCTGGCACATTCATCTGGGTTAACTCTAAAACCTGGCACATGCACCTGGGTTAACTCTAAAACCTGGCACATTCACCTGGGTTAACTCTAAAACCTGGGTTAACTCTGAAACCATGCACATTCTCCTGGGTTAACTCTAAAACCTGGCACATTCACCTGGGTTAACTCTAAAACCATGCACATTCACTTGGGTTAACTCTTAAACCATGCACATTCTCCTGGGTTAACTCTAAAACCTGGCACATTCACCTTGGTTAACTCTAAAACCTGGCACATTCTCCTGGGTTAACTCTAAAACCTGGGTTAACTCTGAAACCTGGCACATTCATCTGGGTTAACTCTAAAACCTGGCACATGCACCTGGGTTAACTCTAAAACCTGGCACATTCACCTGGGTTAACTCTAAAACCTGGGTTAACTCTAAAACCTGGCACATTCATCTGGGTTAACTCTAAAACCTGGCACATGCACCTGGGTTAACTCTAAAACCTGGCACATTCACCTGGGTTAACTCTAAAACCTGGGTTAACTCTAAAACCTGGCACATTCACCTGGGTTAACTCTAAAACCATGCACATTCACTTGGGTTAACTCTTAAACCATGCACATTCTCCTGGGTTAACTCTAAAACCTGGCACATTCACCTTGGTTAACTCTAAAACCTGCCGCATTCACCTGGGTTAACTCTAAAACCTGGCACATTCACCTGGGTTAACTCTAAAAACTGGCATATTCAGTTCTTTTGCAAGATTGTTTTATATAGTCAGAATTGTACAATTGACTTGGCTTTTTGCAGATTTATTACAATTATGGAAAGGGTTTTGTCACTTATATTTTAGGTCAATGATGTTAAGTTAAATAGTGATTCGTTGAACAAACTTGGAACTACTTGTGGTGATTACATTTACAGAAAGTTTAAGTCCTGTATCCAGTGGTACCGAGAACCAGTTTTTTAAACTTTTGCAAAGTCTGATTAATTTAAATATTACAAAATGAATACCATATAAACCCACTGACTTGAACAAGATAACATGTAATCATAAGAAGGAACCTGCAAGCCAGGAGAAGATATTTAAGAGCATGCTAAAAGGGCAACATTCTTTCCACTGCAAAGGTCACCAGGGGTCATGTGATGTACCTACTAGGTAGGTTTCACAAGAAATATTGCCCTATTTGAATGCTGTAGTTCCAAAAGAATCTTGAAATTTAACGTTTATGTTTTTGTTTATTGAAAAGGTTTATGACCATATTTCCAAGATGAATTTTCCTTTTTGTTTGTTTGATAAGATTGTTTCGTGATTGCAGACGAATGGAAAATCACTTAACTTCCTTGTTACATTCTTACTATACTAATTACATGATAGTTGAAATGAAAAAGAAATTCAAATTGACAAAAAAAGAAAGAAAAGAATTAAGCTGGGGTAAGAGTATTCACACAGCAGTCATCATTTGTTTGTAACCATAATGGTCAGTTGGTTACGAGTTCAACTCCAAGCACACACACAGTGGGGAGCCTTGACTGGTGGCAGCAATAGTGTAGAGAGCTATCACTGTGAGGAGCTTGGCAGCAACGGCTGAAACAATGACAGTATGGGCTTTCACCAGCCTAGTGGTTCCTGACACACATGTCAAATTGGCCCAAGCGCTGGCCTGTCACCTGTAGACCTTTCAGGTGAAGTGAAACAGCAGACTCAACAAACACATTGTTGTACAGATCAAGTGTTGTATTTGTACAAAGGAAACATTTCATAATCTATGTACATCATATCAATTCTTGTTTTGAATCTGCTTCTGTATCAAAAAAGTTTCGTTTTTATTCATCCTGTCATCATCTTCATCTTTTTCTTCTTCCTCTTTTCATTCTTCCTCGTCTTCCGGTTCTCCCGTTTTTTCTTGATGACCTTGGGATGTGCTGCCACGTACTGCATCATCTCCTTCTGGGCAGGCTCGTCACGCTTCATCTTCTGGATCGCATCATTGTCTGATATAACAAATGTATTAAACATCAGTTGTCTGATATAACAAAGGTATCAAACATCAGTTGTCTGATATAACAAAGGTATCAAACATCAGTTGTCTGATATAACAAAGTTATCAAACATCAGTTGTCTGATATAACAAAGGTATCAAACATCAGTTGTCTGATATAACAAAGGTATCAAACATCAGTTGTCTGATATAACAAAGGTATCAAACATCAGTTGTCTGACATAACAAATGTACCAATCCTCCACTGTCTGACATAACAAAGGTATCAAACCTCCACTGTCTGATATAACAAATGTATCAGTGGGTGAGTTTTTATTCAAACCTCAATTGTCTGACATAACAAATGATCAAGTCTCAGTTGTCTGTGATAACAAATGTATCAAACATTAATCTCTCAAAGGACAAGGGATATAACTCTAAACCCTCAAAATTACATCTGTTATTCATTATTCACAAGAACATACGTTGGCTACAAAAAATGTATCTGGCTATGTCTGTGAAGATTGTCTTAAGGCAAATGCAGCTGACTCACCATCATTCAATCAAACAGATGATATTTTCCCAAACATATTTAAACTGACAATAATTATGAAACAACACGACAAAATAACATATTTGTAATAGCAATATTTTCAACCCTGTGTTTACAAAAGTTAATCCAAGACAGGTGTTCCAATTGTCCACTTTTTCTCCAGTGTTTATTCAAGGTAGGAACTCAATGTTTCTTTGAAGTTGCCATAAAAGCAATGTTTCTTGAAGTTGCCATAAAAGCAACGTGAAGAAAACATCTTGGGTGTATAAAGTTCAGATTAATGTCTGGAGAGCATCACTGAGTATGACACTTCCACACAGAACATACAATTCTTGTATGGAACAGTACCACAGTATGTATTGTGCATTGCCTGCCAAGACGAGACTAGACAGTTGTTGCAGAAATTCAGTCTGAACATACAGCCCATTGGTAACGTCCTGTTTGCAGGGGACATCATATAAGGATTGTAAATTATATTTGAAAGATGGCATTACAAACTTCTCATGCAAGTTTGTGGTCTGTGGTCTGTGGTCTGTGGTGGTTGGTTGGTTTGTTGTTTAACGCCGAACTCAGGAATATTCCCGCTATATGACGGAAGTCTGATTGATATCATGAGCATCGATCCTCGCAATGTTGGATCGATGACATGCATCAACCAAGTCAGCGAGTCTGACCACCCGATCCCGATAGTTGCCTTTTACGACAAGTATAGTCGCCTTTTAAGGCAAGCATGGGTTGCTGAAGATCTGTTCTACCCCGGATCTTCACGGGTCTATGTGGTCTGTCACTTCTGTGACATGAAATGCAGGAAATGCCAAATAAGTAATGTCTTAGTGACACACGTCAGGTCAGGTATTTTCAAAATGGCCACAATGAGCCATCCCAATATCTACTTCTTGACATCGATATATTATATATTAAGTTTGCTAATGTCAACCAAATAAGCATTGTTAATATAATTTCTAAAAATACCTAATATTTTGTTTGTATGTTGTTTAAAGCCGCACTCAGCAATATTCCAGCTATATGACAGCGATCTGTAAATAATCAAGTCTGGACCAGACAATCCAGTGATTGATGTCATGAGCACCGATCCACCCAAATGGATCAACCAAATTAGTGAGCCTGACAACCCGATCCCGTTAGTTGGCTCTTACGACAAGCATGGATTGCTGAAGATCAATTCTTACCCAGATCTTCATGGGTAACAGACCACAGTCAGCGAGCCTGACCACCCGATCCCGTAAAATAAAACTATGCAGTTGTCATGGAAGTGTACAGTGTTGATGTCTGAGGACCAAGCTTATACTGACAATTCCCCCATCTTCATCATTAGTGTTACATGGCAACTCACCCTGTGTGTGTTCTGGTGCTATCAACCTGCCCATCTTGGTAGGGTATTTCCCTGAGAACAGCTTCTGTGTGAGCGGCCGCTTCAACAAGACATCCAGCTGTGCCTTCATCATCTGCTGTTTCTGCTTGTGTTTCTGCTGCTCCATCGAGTCACTCGGGTCCTCCAGGCTAGGTCAAAGGTCAAGGTCAAATTTCCATGGACTATGTCCCAATCATATGATACACAAATAAAGCTTAAAAAAAAAACTGTGCACAAAAGTATTGGCATTTCAAACTAAGACAGTTTTATGTGTAAGATGTGAAGAGAACAGCTAATATCAATCACATCACTCCCACACTGAGGGAACACCATTGGCTCCATCTTGGAGCTTGCATTGAATAAATCATTCTCAATGCATACAAATGTTTCAACAAAATTGCCCCAAAATATCTCACTGAACTCTTACCACTCTACTCACCACAGAGAACTCTCCGATCTTCCAGATTATGTGAAATTATCTCCTTCAATCCCTGAGCCCACCTCAAAACCAACCTTTTTAACAAACACTATCAATGCTAAGCACACTGAACACAAAGTTTGGCGCCCTTTATGCGCAATATTAATACAAGCATTATTATTATTATTATTATTATTATTATTATTATAAAACCTGAATGCTCAAAAGCAGTTTACATTCTGCATCTGCCAACCATTTGATTTCACCAAGGACAAACATAGTGTACTTTTGGTTTTTGTTGTTGTTGTTGTTGTTCAACGTTGCACTCCATGATGGTGGTCTGTAACAAATCAAGCCTGGACCAGACAAACCAGAGATTGATATCATGAGCAACAATCCACACCATTGAAGTATTTTGACACACGGTCAACCAAGTCACCAAGCCCTACCACCTGATCCATTCGTCGCCCCTAACAACCAGTGGAGGTAACTGACTGCTTTGAAAAACAGGTTTTCCCTTTTGAAGGACAATGACGCCAAATACAAGGATACGCTCGCTCGTCCAGCATCATGTCAATCTCCTCTGCCGCCTTCACGAACCAGTCATTTTTCCGCTTCTTCTTCTTGAATCTGTAACACAGGACTCTGTCTATAATACAATCGGGCACAACACAGCTATGGCTAGACTCAGGGAAAACAAAGTGCTTCCACAAAACATATACATCTTAATGCATAGGAGTGTGCTTGTAAACACAAAATACAATCACTGCACATATGTTTTTGAAGATAATGTAAAGCTGCACAAGGTGAATTTTGAGTGAGTGAGTGAGTGAGTGTTGTTTGTGTTGTGGTGTATCCTGTAGTGTCACTGTCTCGTCACCAGGTTGTGTTGTTACTATGTTGTGTTCTATAGTGTTATGGTGCATCTCATGTTGTGTTATGGTGTTTATTGTGTCATGTTGTGTCTCATGTTTTGTTATGATATGTCTTATGTTGTTTTGTGTTTAATATGGTGTGTCTCATGTTGTGTTGTTTTATGGTGTGTCTCATGTTGTTTTATGGTGTGTCTCATGTTGTGTTATGGTGTGTCTCATGTTGTTTTATGTTATGGTGTGTCTCATGTTGTGTTATGTTATGGTGTGTCTCATGTTGTGTTATGGTGTGTCTCATGTTGTGTTATGTTATGGTGTGTCTCATGTTTTGTTATGATATGTCTTATGTTGTGTTGTGTTTAATATGGTGTGTCTCATGTTGTGTTGTTTTATGGTGTGTCTCATGTTGTGTTATGGTGTGTCTCATGTTGTTTTATGTTATGGTGTGTCTCATGTTGTGTTATGTTATGGTGTGTCTCATGTTGTGTTATGGTGTGTCTCATGTTGTGTTATGTTATGGTGTGTCTCATGTTTTGTTATATGTCTTATGTTGTGTTGTGTTTAATATGGTGTGTCTCATGTTGTGTTATGTTATGGTGTGTCTCATGTTGTGTTATGGTGTGTCTCATGTTGTGTTATGTTATGGTGTGTCTCATGTTATGTTGTGTTTAATATGGTGTGTTGTGTTATGGTGTGTCTCATTTTGTGTTGTGGTGAACTTGTGTTGTGCTGTGTTGGGTGCTGCATACCTGTGGTCCTCTGTGTCGATCTTCCGAGCCAGTGTGATGACATCCCTCAGGGAGGAGGTTGTGTGGAACTCCACAGGGAACAGGGGCAGGTCCTCATCTGATGCAGAAACATACAGCGGATACCTCCTGTGTCACACAGACTATCCGTGTGCACACAGACATACAGCAGATACCTCCTGTGTCACACAGACTTTCTATGTGCACACAGACATACAGTGGATACCTCCTGTGTCACACACTCTCCATGTGCACACAGACATACAGTGGATACCTCCTGTGTCACACAGACATACAGCGTATACCTCCTGTGTCACACAGACTATCCGTGTGCACACAGACATACAGCAGATACCTCCTGTGTCACACAGACTCTCTATGTGCACACAGACATACAGTGGATACCTCCTGTGTCACACACTCTCCATGTGCACACAGACATACAGTGGATACCTCCTGTGTCACACAGACATACAGTGGATACCTCCTGTGTCACACAGACATACAGCGGATACCTCCTGTGTCACAAACTCTCCATGTGCACACAGACATACAGTGGTTACCTCCTGTGTCACACAGACATACAGTGGATACCTCCTGTGTCACACAGACATACAGCGGATACCTCCTGTGTCACACACTCTCCATGTGCACACAGACATACAGTGGATACCTCCTGTGTCACACAGACATACAGTGGATACCTCCTGTGTCACAAACTCTCCATGTGCACACAGACATACAGTGGTTACCTCCTGTGTCACACAGACATACAGTAGATACCTCCTGTGTCACACAGACTCTCCATGTGTCACACAGACATACAGTAGATACCTCCTGTGTCACACAGACTCTCCATGTGTCACACAGACATACAGTAGATACCTCCTGTGTCACACAGACTCTCCATGTGTCACACAGACTCTCCATGTGTCACACAGACATACAGTGGATACCTCCTGTGTCACACAGACATACAGTGGATACCTCCTGTGTCACACAGACATACAGTGGATACCTCCTTTGTCACATAGACATACAGTGGATACCTCCTGTGTCACATAGACATACAGTGGATACCTCCTTTGTCACACAGACATACAGTGGATACCTCATGTGTCACACAGACTCTCCATGTGCACACAGACATACAGCGGATACCTCCTGTGTCACACAGACATACAGTGGATACCTCCTGTGTCACACACTCTCCATGTGCACACAGACATACAGCAGATACCTCCTGTGTCACACAGACATACAGTGGATACCTCCTGTGTCACACAGACATACAGCGGATACCTCCTGTGTCACATAGACATACAGTGGATACCTCCTGTGTCACACAGACATACAGCGGATACCTCCTGTGTCACACACTCTCCATGTGCACACAGACATACAGTGGATACCTCCTGTGTCACACAGACATACAGTGGATACCTCCTGTGTCACACACTCTCCATGTGCACACAGACATACAGCGGATACCTCCTGTGTCACACAGACATACAGTGGATACCTGCTGTGTCACACTCTCCATGTGCACACAGACATACAGCAGATACCTCCTGTGTCACACAGACATACAGTGGATACCTCCTGTGTCACACACTCTCCATGTGCACACAGACATACAGTGGATACCTCCTGTGTCACACAGACATACAGTGGATACCTCCTGTGTCACACACTCTCCATGTGCACACAGACATACAGCGGATACCTCCTGTGTCACACAGACATACAGTGGATACCTCCTGTGTCACACACTCTCCATGTGCACACAGACATACAGCGGATACCTCCTGTGTCACACAGACATACAGTGGATACCTCCTGTGTCACACAGACATACAGTGGATATCTCCTGTGTCACACAGACATACAGTGGATATCTCCTGTGTCACACAGACATACAGTGGATATCTCCTGTGTCACACAGACATACAGTGGATACCTCCTGTGTCACACAGACATACAGTGGATACCTCCTGTGTCACACAGACATACAGTGGATACCTCCTGTGTCACACAGACATACAGTGGATATCTCCTGTGTCACACAGACATACAGTGGATACCTCCTGTGTCACACAGACATACAGTGGATACCTCCTGTGTCACACAGACATACAGCGGATACCTCCTGTGTCACACAGACTCTCCATGTGCACACAGACATACAGTGGATACCTCCTTGCCATACTAGGCTAGAATTATGATGTTATACTTTAGATAGACTAACGAGACTATGCATAGCCCAATCAAAATTGTGTAACGAAATCGACATCCGGTTCGTAAACTGCCATGCAGATTTCGGTCTATTGCAGGATTTGCAAAGCATGTGCGCTAAGTGGGTGTCAACAGATATTTTCCAAATCTTTTTTAATCAAAGTGCTCACATGATTTGATGTACTTAGCAAAGTAACACACATTTTAACACAATATAGATTTTGATTATCGATCGTCTTGACTGGGCGCCGCCATTTTGTTTGAAGAAAATGCAAGTGATATAAAAGGTAGAATCTGATTGGTCAGTGGGAGGGACATAGAAGGGACATAACTTGTAATAGCAACTGGTGGCGCTATGATCGAGCCCAGGAATTCAAGCCAAGGGTGGAAACTCAATTTTCACAGTCACTAAACTCCCATGCCTTAGGAAGATGGTCTGCACATAATTCAATGTGTAACATAATGCACTTTACTGAGTGAGATAACAAATGTAAATTAGAAAATATAACTGGCTCTATCGACCTTCAAAACAGCTGAAGAGATAGGTCCCCAACTCCCTCACCAACCAGTGACCTGCTCCTCTGACAACACCAAAAACTGCTTCACTCACTTCTGTTGAGGGTCTGTACGATCTTCCTGTAGTTGCGCACATCCTCTGGGCCGACCAGCATCACACTAAGACCCTCCTTCATGGCGCGAGCTGTCCGACCACTGCGGTGCACGTAGTTCTGTGGGATGGAGCATACAACAGACGTGACACGTCAGACATGTCTGACAAACTACATGTACCTCGGCACTGCAGACCAGACAATCCAGTGCCTGACATCATTAGCATCGATCTGTTTGTCTGTTTGTTGTTTAACGCCACACTCAGCAATATACCAGCCATATGACTGCGGTCTGGAAATAATCGAGTCTTGACCAGTCGATCCAGTGATTGACATCATGAGCATCTATCCACGCAATTGGGATATGATGACATGCATCAACCAAGTCAGCGAGCCTGACCACCCCATTCCATTAGTCGCCTCTAACGACAAACATTGTCACCTGTTACAGCAAGCATTGGTTGCTGAAGACCTATTCTAACCCGGATCTTCACGGGTCAAATAAAAACATGTAAGATGATGTAATGTAAATATAGTGCTGAATAGGAATGAATTAGCACACAAATATACAAGCAGGGCTTGAAAAAAATAATCAGGAGTGCCCAAGGCCACTGGCCATGGACCTGTTTTTCAGGTGTGCCATTTCTAATTTAGGTGTGCCTTGTCTATATTATCCAATAATTATAAAAAAAGGCAGCTAATCCATCAGATCAAAATTTTTAATGATATAAATGTGTTTCAAGATTGCTGGTTCTGAAACCTCTTAAACCATTAAAAGATCTTTTTTAAAAGACCTATTCTACCCTGGATCTTCACAGGTAACAGTAGCGACAGATGTAGAGGCATGTTGACAATACTGTCCTTTGAACAGACACGTTTCAGTACATGTTTAATGAATATATGAGCTCCCAAATAGTGCAGTAAAACATCACGCATAATTACTAACGACCACTGATGACAATGATGATACAATAGCTTGATTTTGCCATGGGATGGGTGTAACTAAAAAACATACTGTAAATCGTGAAATTAATGCATCTCCAAAAGAATGCGACCACTGGACCCTAGCCAAAAATGCGACTCAATATGAATGCGACACCCCCTCCTCTCAAGAATCAGTGGATTTCTATCTAAAAAAAATGTCCTCAGTCAAGTTTCCTCCCCTTAATCCAACCTTACATTAATCCAATCACACACCAAATAGCACCGCTTAATAGCGCTGAGTAAAGTAATTCCGAAAAAACAATACATGCGTGCTGGCTCATGTCGGCCTTTGACGCAGTCGCAAAGAACAAAGGGTGGCGTCTGTCTGGACTTGCAGGTGTGATCAGGGATGACATAAGTGAGTAGAACGCTTGTCTTGACCCCAGCAGTGACAATTCACAGGATGTAATTAGTGTTTGAATGACATTGTTTATATACTTTATATACAAGTGCTGCTCAATAAACAGTGGTGTGGAATACATCAGCGTATGTCTAAGTTGGTATTTTTGCTATCCAAAATGTCTTATTGTTGATATAAATGTGATGTTTAAAAATGCGAGCAAAGACCACTTGCATTTTTCGCATTTAATTTGCGTTAATTTCAAGATTTACAGTAATTATCTCGTAAAGTTACAAAACACATCATTGGCACCAAACCAAACTCACTCACTCCCTCACAACTCGTACATGTATGCTTCATGTGAATAAAGCAGGCACTGTACCTCGACGGTGCGGGGGACCTGGAAATGGATCACGTGCTGCACGTTGGGGATGTCCAGACCTCGGGCTGCTACGTCAGATGCTATCAACACGCCCTTGTCGTTGGCTGCAAGGAGAGTCACACTATCAACTCATCTTTTTATACATGAGTATGTTACTATATAAACAGTTTGCCAGGCTCTGGAAAACAATTTCCAAGCGGACATTTTGTACCAAACTTTTTAGACCCACAGTGGGTACCTGGGGAGGGTCGGGTAATAGGGGGTTGGGTACTTGGGTAGTAAATTTGGACTCGTCCCAGCACTAACATAAAGATGTACAAGTATTTGTCACAAAGTGACGAAATGTCCCCCGCCTGTATATACACCATAGTACCAAATATGAAGACAATCCAACGATTAGTTCTTGAGATATCGTGGCAACACCGTTTTCCAACTCCAAAAGCAGATTTGCTTGCTGTGACCTTGAAAAGGGGATCAAGGTCACCAAAACCGACTGGTGTCTGCGGTGTCTGTATATACACCATAATTCCAAATATGAAGACAATCCTGCGATTAGTTCTTGAGATATCGCGGCAACACCGTTTTCCAACTCCAAAAGCAGATTTGCCTGCTGTGACCTTGAAAATGGGGTCAAGGTCACCAAAACCGACTGGTGTCTGCGGAGTCTGTATATACACCATAGTTCCAAATGTGAAGACAATCCAGTGTTTAGTTCTTGAGATATCGCGGCAACAAACAGGTGGGACGTACGGACGGTCGTGAATACTATATCCCCCGCTTGGCGCTTTCGCGCGGCGGGGGACAATAACAAGACATGTCTGGGCATATACAGCACGGAAATGGCTAGTATGGGTGTTCCTTAATTCAGATTGGCTCCCACTCAAATCAATAGACTTGACCCATTGCACTTCACTCCCTATCTTTGCTAACAAAGAGTTTGTGTCTAGTTTTGTCATGGTAAGAAGAATGGTGATATACCAACTGTGTTTTCGAGGTACAGCAAGGTTATGTAACTGTGCGTCTGTTCCAGATTCAATTTAGCGTGGTTAAAAGTACAGGTAACTCTAGCTCTACACTGAAACACAGTGTGTTTATCTCCAAAATAATCTGACACTATTATCATGATTATTCTCATCATTCAAACAGGACATGTGGACGATATACCAACATGGCTGACAATTTTGTTGGACATTTTTACTGTTTGTTTCAGGCAGCTAAATAATCAAGATGGCCACCCACAAATATAAAAACATTCCTTCAGAATTAATGCTGTCGTATTGAGGTTTGGGTTTGTGTTTTTCGTCATTCTGATTTTCCAATATAACTGAAATACTGTTATACTGTTGTACTGCAGCATATTATACAACTCATGCTTCTCGAAACGCACCTGAAAATCGGTCAAGGTTCTTGAGCCTCTGTCGCTGATGCATGTCGGAGTGGAGAGGTAGAGGGTTGCACCTGAGCAGGACGAAGATGGACATGAGACGGCGGATACAGTCCTTGCTGTTGGTGAACACCAGCGTCCGACCAGGGTACTGCTTCAGGAAGTAATACAAATACAGGTCCTGGAGAGAGAGATAGTAAAATACAGTGAGAGACATTGAGAGACAGTGAAATACAATGAGAGACAGTGAAATAAAGTGAGAGACAATGAAAGAGAGTGAAATACAATGAGAGACAATGAAATAGTGAGAGACAAGGAGAACGGTGAAATACAGTGAGAGACAATGAGAAACAGTGAGCAGTAGCAGCCAAGTCACAATGTAAATAACTTCAGTGTAGTCAGCTCCTTCAACAGCCATGGGGTCCCCAGAACCTTGCCGTCAGAGGCTAGAAACATACGAGTCTGTCATAATGCTTGATACACAAAGATGAAGACAGTCCTACACTCTACAAGATTCCCAAACTAACTCCCCATCTTATCGTTGGGTGTTAGCTGACCTCAGCTCCTCATCTGGTGTAAGCCGATCTCACCTTCTCATCAGGTGAAACAAATCTCACCTTCTCATTTAGTGTAAGCCGATCTCACCTTCTCATCCGATGTAAGCCGATCTCACCTTCTCATCTGTTGTAAGTCAATTTCACCTTCTCATCGGGTGTAAGCCAATCTTATCTCCTCGTATGGTGTTTGCTGACCTCAAATTCTCATCAGGTGAAAACAAATCTCACCTTCTCGTCTACGGTACAGTTGATCCTTGCTTCAGTCAGTGTTTCCGCTGTCCCGGCCTTGGTTGTCAGATCAATAATCTTGGGGCGGTCCTTGATCCCGATGGTGCTCATCAGCAGCTCTGTTGGCCAACAGTATCACAGAATTAATTGTATACATACTGGACACATTCTGACCCTGAACCCTGGAATAGCAACGTTCCAGTCTCCTATCTCCACAGACAAACATGCTCTGTACAGGACAATAAATATCACAATATGGTTTAAAATTTGAGCGAGTGAGTGAGTGAACGTTGTTTAAGGCCATGTCAGTGATATTCCAATGACATCCAAAGGTCTGGACCCTGCAAACCCATCTTCGCAAGGCAAGGGAGTGACAAGTGTCCAGCAATATTATCAGCGTTCTCAAGATGGCTTGTAGTGTGACAGTCAGCGAAAGATATTGATTTAACAGTGGTGGTTTGCTGGTCTGTTTCTCAGAAGATCAAGCAGATCAGGAGCATGTTTACCTAGTTTTTTCTTGGTGTCCATTTTTTCCTTCTTCTTCTTCTTGAGTCGTCTCTGGGGCCCGCTGTGGAGCATGGTGAGGGTGGCCGAAAACACAAACGTCTGGCGGAGACGCTTCCGGTTCTCATCTCTGAAATGTGTGTTTGCTTCAAATGTTACAGTGTTTGAAATAGTGAGTGAGTGAGTTGTGTTTAACACCGCTTTGAACAGTATCCCAGTTATATCACGGCTTGTCAGCTTAATGTGGGAGGAAAGCCCGAAGTGATGCAAGTATCAGACGTTTACCACTTTGCCGAAACCCACGAGCACAGGTATGGTGCTGACAAACCTGGCAACATCGAGGAGACCCGGGATTTGAACCCACACTCATAAGCCTCTGGCGTGCCCAAGGGGCGCAACTCTGCACAGCATATTGCGGCACCTTAGATGACTGGGTCGCCCGTGGCCCCATGTTTGAAATAATGATTGTATGCAGAACAGCATGATATCAGTACATTTTAGAAGGAAAATGAAAATTGATAATGTTTTTTATATGAAAGAGTCAACGTAACACTGGCTGCATATTTGTTCCAAACACCACAATAATGCCTTTGTCCATGTTTCACATAGATATCCTAGCTTCATATGTCATGACGTCCATACCTTACCACTGAATTGTGATAAGGAGGAGCTAAGAACACGAGGAGGATCTCAGCCAATTTCACAAATCTTGACTGTGACTGTGATACATCTATGTTAAGTATACATGTCATGTCAGTCTTGTAGAATTTTCCTATTCGGAATATTCTATAAGTAATACGTTACCACGGTTATACTGAGGCTGTGGTCCCCCACAACTGCTCTTATAGCGAAATCTTCCACAGAGATCTCAATCACCTCATGCAGCACGTGCGTAGCCACCTAGCTGCCATGTGACACCCTTCACTCTTGTCTCTTCGCTTGCCATAGCAAGACGTGTAATCGACTGCTCTACTGCGTTTCTACGGTTTTCCGCCTCCTGCATATCCTTGGTGATATTTATTACTGTTTCTTAGTCCTAAGTAAACTGTAAATTACGGGGCGTTCGTTATACGGTGCTTAGAAAATTTTCCCGCCGTTTTTCGCTACCAACGGGGTGTGGCGTTGGCACTTTGTGTCTTCCGTCCACCTTTAGTTGTATAACGTGGGGTTGTTTTGCATCACCTATTAATATATATATATGTATATCTTATATGTATTTTATGTATTCGCTATTATCGTTTGTTTTTCTTCGGAAAATCTACGTTTGTGAATATGTTTGGTGTGTGTGTTGTAACCATGTTTTGTTTTTTGTTCAAAGAACAATGTCTGACATGGAGATGGATCTTTTGTCCAGCACCCCAGCTACTCCTGTCAACAGGCGCTGTGGCGCCTGTCAGAAGTTTTTGTCGTCCCGGGATCCTCACCATCTTTGCCCGCGGTGCAGGGTCGCTTGCGAGGACACCCGGTGCACCCTGTGCGAGGGTCTGGGGCCGGAGGATTTTGCGCGATACAGGCGCTACGTGCGCTCTGCTATCACCCCTGAGGTGGCCGGTTCGTCCGGTCGGGTGCCCATTGCGGGCACTACCTCCTCGGCGGCGGATCCCTTGGCGGCCCGGGGATTCCGTCGCGGCTTTGTTGTCTCAACTGATGGACTCCAAACTGGTGGCCTTATCTCAAGATAAGGCCCTGGTTGTTCCGTCCCGGCCCCTTCGGTGGCTGCGGGTTCGGACGCCGGGTCCGCGGTGGGGGACAACAGCCTCGGTATAACAGTGGTAACGTATTACTTAATGTAATATAGCACAAAGATGTCATAGTTAAATTAGCTTCAGGCTGAGATCCTCTTCATGTTCTTAGCACCTCAGCCAATTTCACAAATCTTGACTGTGACTGTGATACATCTATGTTAAAGTATACATGTCATGTCAGTCATAGCACAAAGATGTCATAGTAAAATTAGCTTCAGGCTGAGATCCTCTTCATGTTCTTAGCACCTCAGCCAATTTCACAAACCTTGACTGTGACTGTGATTCATCTATGTTAAAGTATACATGTCATGTCAGTCATAGCACAAAGATGTCATAGTTAAATTAGGTTCAGGTCGGGTCTTGACAATCTTGACAATCTTGACTCACACATTGATCATGTCCAGCAGCTTGGTCAGCTCCTCAAAGTGACCTTTCTCCACCATGCGGTCAGCCTCGTCTATCACCAGCTTGTGGATGCCGGTCACCTTGGTCAGGTGAGGATCACCCTGAAAACAGGGGAGATAACTCTGATATTCTGGTTCATAAATGCTCTGACTATTTGTCTGACCCTAACAGCAATTCAAAAACATGCAGCTTTGGCATTTATATAATAAGTAAGTGAGTCCATACTTTTCAAAACTGATTTTACGATTGTTATTCCCTTCAACACTGTCCACTGCATAACATCTCACCTGTTGTATGAGTTCCCACAGTCTTCCTGGTGTTGCTATGACGATCTCCGGGCACTGTTTCAGCACCCGTTGCTGCTTCTGGGCGGCCATTCCACCAACAACTGTCGCAATCTAAGGGAGATAATTATATACTCATATGATTACATCAACAGATTACGAAACATGTGAAAGTCAGTATCAGCAAGCCATTATCACAGAAAACAAATGTTGTTCGTAAGGCGATTAATTTTTTTTAGTTGGTTTACAGAATTTTGGTTAGTTCTTACAATGATTGTGTTAAAAAAAAAGACTTCAAGTGAACATGTCAGTAGTTGAAATAAAAAAATATATTGCAATTGTGAGCATTTTAAATCTTGTTTTTGGTATTGTATGGCATGTAATCCTATTGTAAATGGAACCCCGAAGGGCCATAACTCTAACCGATCTAAATCGCCTCAAACTTTGGGTTAACCACTTCGCGTATTTCGCAATGAAACTAATTTGTGTGATATTTCAAGTTAACTTATTTTTTTTATTTATTCCTATGCCATTAGAGTTGGCGGTATTAAAAACATATCAGAAAAGTCATTTTCATTTTATTTTCATTTTGCTATCTTTCATGTCGGCAGATTCATAAACCAACACACACAAAATAAATCGCCAAAGAAAAGTATAAGTGTGTCTACTAAAAGACTGAGCAGGGTGGGTTTTAGGAGATTTTGGCCAAGGCACCGCCATCACCTGTAAGTTACCCCACCACCCTGCACAGTTCAAAGAAACCATTAATTATCACATGGCTTGTAAATGTAAGACTTCTGTGAATACACAATGCCATTTAGAAAGTGGTCAAATGTAACAAATGTTATACTTGGGATAACACTTTCTTAGTAAAGTACACATTCTAGTAGTTTTTTGGGTCAAGTCCCATCCAGGACGGGAACCATGGCAATGATCTAAACTATTATGGTTGTCAGACTTTCATTTTGTGGAAGCCTTGATGGCTGGGTGGGTTAGATCACTGACTTTGTGTGCTGGTCATTTGTTATGTAAGACTTCAAATCCCTAATTGGGGGTGCGGGGGGCCCAGTCGGCTGCGATTCGATGTGCAGAGTTGCGTCCCTTGGGCATGCCAGAATCCTATGATTGTGGTTCAAATCCCGCTTCACCCCTAATGTTTCTAGGTTTGTCAGCACCATACCTGAGCTCACTGGTTTCACAGAAGTGGTAAACGTCTGAGACCTGCATCACTTCGGGCTTTCCTCCCACATTAAGGTGACACGCTGTGATATAACTGGAATACTGTTAAAAGCGGCGTTAAACCCAGCTCACTCACTCAAATCCTAATTAAACTGATTATAAAGGAACCAAACTATTCCCGTAGTCCCCTGGCCATCTGACATGTTCTACCCTGGCATACACACCCTGATATCTGTGTACTTGGCGGCCGCCATCAGGTGGTTCTTCACCTGGATGGCCAACTCTCGTGTCGGCTCCAGTATCAACGCTACCAGAGGCTTGTCTCCCTTGGAGGTAGCCTTCACCTTCTCAAGGTCAGCGGCTTCAAATTCAATGTTGTTGATCACTCTCACGCAACCAGTCTCATCACCCTACAACAGAAGCATGGATAATAATAATAATAATAATAATAATAATAATAATAATAATAAAAAAATAAAACAAACAAACAAAAAACACAAGAAATTCAGGGTATTGACACCCTCCCACGAAGAATCATGTTAGACAATAGATCCCACTACCCTCGCTCTTCCCTCAATCGCTTATAATTACCAGTTACAATGGGAGGGGGTGGTTTGGTTAGCATGGAGGCTCTTCATGACAGAATTGTATTTTGCACTTTTGCACACATTTATTTGTAGGATGATTCTTTTCTGAAGCATGTCAAGACTCATGATGAAAACAAGGCATTCCACAGTTTTCTTAAATGAGCCAAGGATGTGGGACATAATGTCATAATGTCAATGTTGATTTTGTTGATGGTTCTGTACTGCTGGACGGTACAGAAATGAGTGTCAACCAAGTGAAGAGCCATATCAATCAACGCAGACTCAGTTTTCCAGGGAGAGGTTATGTGAACGACCACTGCATTGCATTTATGTGCAGTGTGTTGAGAAGATCAGGAACCCTGCAGAGTCCTTCGCTTGGATGAAGTTGGCAAAGCTCAAGACATTCTCAGTAGTCAAGCTGCCAATAACGACCACCCAACAACCTACTCTCTGCAACCAACGCTACTTAACTTTGCCTGAAAGTGAACTGTGCATTGTACATAGAATCATGTGGCATGTTAGTTCAGGATTTATAGCATCAAATATATTTCTGCTATTTGCTAGCATTCAGCAACTTCAAATGAACGCATGTCAAACAGTACTTGTTCATAGTAAAACAGTTCCTGTCTGATGTAGAGTTGGGTTTAAGGGCGCTTTGAACACTGAGTAAGTAAGAATGGTTTTATGCCGCTTTTAGCAATATTCCAGCAATATCACGGCGGGGGACACCAGAAATGGGCTTCACACATTGTACCCATATGGGAAATCGAACCAGGGTCTTGGGCGTGACGAGCTAACGCTTTAACCACTAGGCTACCCTACTTCTTTTAACAGTATGTCAGTTATATTGCACAGGTCAATTTAGAAGTGAGTGAGTGAGTGAGTGAGTATGGTTTTTTACGCCGCTTTTCGCAATATTCCACCAATATCACTGCGGGGGACACCAGAAATGGCCTTCACACATTGTACCCATGTCGAACCCGGGTCTTTGGCGTAACCATTAGGCTACCCGACCGCCCCCTCAATTTATAAGTGTCAGGAAATCCTGAACCACTGTTTCGTGAAACCCATGAACATGTGTATAGTGTTGACAAACCAAGCATCAAAATCGGGGTGCGGAGTGGGCAAGCAGTCAAAAGCGCCAGGCTAGCAAGCGCCAGGTGCTGAGATCATATCCCACTAGTGACCGGGTTGTTCAGCCTTGGGACCAACAATGTTTACAGGTCTTTACAGTGTTGTCACTACCCTTAGTGTACAGTACATTCACCCTGTGCACTCAAAAGAACCCACTCGTCCGATGGTAGATGACCAGATGGTGGAAATACGAATACATTCATACACCCGAAACACAAGTGTCAAAACTTGTGTGGTGTCACCCTGGGCAAGACACTTAGTTCAAATGTGCCTCTGTTCACCCAGCTGGGAATGGGTACCCGATATGTGAGGTGGATGTAAAAACCTTCTAGTGCCCCTGGGCAGCTTGGGTTGTATACTCCCCACAGAGTTGAGAATGGTAAGTGGAATGCAAACAGATCCACTGGTTCGGGGATCAAATAAAACTGCATCTGAGCAGATACTAGTACCTGCATACCTGCGGTGTATTAATGTATAGTTTAAATTAATTAAATTTAAAATCGGGAAAAATCTGGGATTAAAACCATAATCCTTGGATCCTGGAATGCCCAAGGGAGACAATTCAGGACAGCTTAGATCACTGGGCAACAGGTGTGTAGTTAAACCAGCACCCGTCTGTAGTCAAATATTACTTGTCTGGAAGGTTGAGGACACATTTTGTACTGACTGTTTTGCATTTGAGGTCCATCTATTTCTTTCATATTTTATCTCAGACTCGAGATTTGTGTAAACATTTATAATCGCATAAGTTTGGATTCTTTTTTACATTTAGCTAAGGAAATGCAAAACAATTTATTCTACTAGTCCCATAATCTAACATGCAGGATTATATTAGAATGGATATGATCACTGAACATTGATTTAGAAGTAAAAATTAACTGACATCAATTTCAAGTATATCTTCATCATCAGGAGGAAGATCATAATCGCCATCTTCATCATCGGGAGGAAGATCATAATCGCCATCTTCATCATCGGGAGGAAGATCATAATCGCCATCTTCATCATCAGTAAGGTCAAGGTCTTCTGGCACACCGCTGTCACTTCCTTCATGTCCACCTTTAACACCATCCTCCTTCTCATCATTATCATCCTCCTCCTCCTCCTCCTCCTCATCACCACCATCATCAACCTCTGCCTTCACATCAGCCTCACTATCATCTGATGATGAGTCTCTTTCCTCACCTTTCTCCTCCTCCTCCACAACTTCAACACCTTCAAAAAATGTAACAGTACGTATATCAGTATTTCAAATTTCACAATGTTTTCTGAATCTTTTATATTTTTCTGTGACAGTTCTGAGTATTTCAGACTTCTCATGAAGTAGCACAGCCAGTTCCTTACCCATTCTAACATGAGATTACATTAATGTAGAATGGAGAAGGTTCAGGTTCCCCTCAGTAGCAGTGCCATCATGGTGGGGGGACACGAACAGTATGGTGACCATGATGGAAGCCAATATCATAGAGACTTGTACGTTTCGAAAAAGTCTTAAAGACTGTATACACGACTCTACAGTGAGTGAGTGAGTTGGGATTAACGCCGCTTTTAACAGTATTCCAGTTATATCAAGGCGTGTCAGCTTAATGTGGGAGGAAAGCCCGAAGTGATGCAGGTCTTAGACGTTTACCACTTCGGTGAAACCCACGAGCACGGGTATGGTGCTGACAAACCTAGAAACATAATCGGGGCGAACCGGGATTCGAACCCACAATCATAGGATTCTGGCGTGCCCAAGGGACGCAACTCTGCACAGCGAATCCTGGAGCCTTAGACGACTGGGCCACCCATGCCCCCACACGACTCTACAAACTTGATCAATGCTTGTACATGTTAACAAGAACTACATGGCTCAGATATTGCTGATACGGCATTGTAACACCCTCACATTATGACATTACAGCTTTCAAGAGCTACTGACCTTGTTGCTGCTGCTTGCGTGCTTCATGCTGTAAGATGTGGTGGAGCACAGGGATCCCAAACGCCAGCGTTTTCCCACTTCCCTGGACACATACAGAACTCAGATTAACATTAATTTGAACAAATGGAGTAAAGAAGAACTATGTACTTATCATGTTTACAGCTACAAAAATACATTTATAAATGTAGCTAAATGATAAAATTTTGGTTATATTCATAGCAGTTTAAACATTTTACATGCATAGTGTGAGCTAGGATAAGTTTAAAAATGTATGAGTTTCAACTGAAAAATTCAAAGGTGAAGATTGAGTTAAAATTTAAATCACAGTGCCAGCCTTGAGCAAACCAAGATGGCCGCCATAAAGTCATTCCCAAATCATAGGGGGCAGTCTCGTATTCGAGGGGAAGTTTCGTATCCACACATTAACAGTTTTTGTGTGGTGTATTAACAAAGTCTTATAGCTTACCGTTTCTGCAGCACCAACAATGTCCATCCTGTCCCTGATGGCAGACGGCAATGCCAGTGCTTGTATGGAGGTCGGGGATGTGAAGCCTTGATGTTGTAGAGCTTTCAGGACTTGGCTCGGCACGAACAGATTCTTCCAAGCACGCATGTCTGGTTACAACATAGGACAGGTTATTTGTTTGGCCCATGAGTGTTAAAAATATAATATGTCCCTGTCTCAAAAAGATCTGTTCAAAGACACTGCATCACATCATGATAAATGAAATACTGGTATGTTCACAAATCACGGTTATGTCGACAACAAGAGTGAATCTCTCAAATACAGTTCCTCGGCATTGTGGCATCATTCATACAGCAGGGTTAGAACTTAACACTAGCCTGCAAGCCTGGGACTAGTACAATTTTATGTGGGCTAGTACAAATTGCCCAATTGCCCATTGTTTTAAATTGCAGGGGCATTTTATCTTTACCCGGGCTAGTAAAGGTTTTGAGTTTAGTTCTAAAATTGTAGTCTGTTTCAGCCACGGGTTTGTTCATGAAATTTATTTGGGCTGATTGTCAGATTTAGGATTCATTTGGATATACAAACATCAACACATGTAATGCTAAATATGTTAAACAGGCACGTCCCATCATCACTGGTAATAAATAGAGACTCAACCAAACATATTTGATAAACTTGAGTTCATCAAACGAACAATGACTTGAGATCTCTGGTGTATTCTGTCAGAAAATAATAGTTATCTTCACATCAGTGAGTGAGATGGGTTGGATATTACTTTGAACAGTATTTCAGTTATATCACATTGTGTCTGCTTAATGTGCGTGTCCAAAGTGAAAAAGCAGGTCTTAGATTTTTACCATTTTGGTGAAACCCATGAGCATGGGAATGGTGCTAACAACCCTTGAAACAAAATCAGGGCAAGCCTAGGTTTCTGGCAGGCTTAAAATACCCAAGGGGCCCAACCTTGCACTTTGAATTGCGATACCAAAGATCAATGAGTCACCATTGCGTCTGCCATTTTTCATTGCGTTAAAAAGATTATTGCACTTATCTAGCACTGTGTGCGCGTGCGTGTGCGTGTGCGTGTGCGTGTGCATGTGCGAAACATCTTTTGCTATGATGCAGCCAGGGGTCCGAACACCGCTGGCTTTCTTCTCTCGGGGCAGATGCTCTATCCACCAGACCATGGAGGCAGCGTGTTACTCTTGTAGCGGCCATAAAATTTCTGAGTCCCGTGATGGGATTCGAACCGCGGTCTTTCTGATCATAGGTCGGACGCCTTGTCCACATGACCAAAGAGGTTAACCCCGTCAGCAAGCTGACAAGGTAAGGATGTCATCTGTGGGATGACTCCACGTCCTGCTACATACTCCCCCGTCAACAGAAGGCACGTCCCGGGCCGCATAGTAGGGTACTGAGGCTTATTTTGCTCAAATTTAATATGAACGTGATCAGCCCCACGTTGGGCGCCAATGTAGCGACCATAAAATTTCCGAGACCTGTGATGGGATTCGAACCACAGATTTTCTGATCGGAGGTCAGACGCCTTGTCCACATGACCAAAGATGTTAACCCCATCAGCAAGCTGACAAGGTAAGGATGTCATCTGTGTGATGACTCCACATCCTGCTACACTCGGAACCAGTCATGATAATAAAGGAACTACAGTCAAACACTGTTGTGTCAAAGTTGAAGGGACCTACGTAAATACATTGAATTATGCGAGGTTCGACACAACCGAAATAATGACTAAACAAGGAATACTCAAGGATGAAGCTTTTACTTCGAGACAACAGTAAGTTCGACACATCAAAGTTTGACACAATGGTGTTTGACGGTATGTGTTTGTCAATACATGTGTAATCATGAACTATTGCTGTCAGACAGCTGATAATGATGGACAACACATGCCATACCTGCAGACACAGAAGGATCTGTGTGATGCGTCAGCTTCTCTCGCTCTGTCTTTGCCTTCTTAGGCTTTGGTCCTTCTCCCTTGTCTGATGAATAACAACATAAATGAACTTATGTCAACATGATACCAATAATCACCCTTGACGAGGTCAATGTACGAAAACAAGGTCCCTCAGACCCGACCCTTGACATGGTCTGACCACCGAAGGGGTCGAGTCCGAGGGTCCTTGATTTCGCATATTGACCTCGTCGAGAGTAATCATTGGTTTCATTATACCGAAATTCACATTAAAGTTTATGAAGTCTTCAAACCGTTCTCTGTTTCATTACAGTAACTTAACTGCAAACTGTGAAATCTTCGTACCAGATGTCATCTTATTTTCTAGTAGACGAGTCAATATTCATCACGTGACAGGTAAATACTGATCATGTGACAGGTCAATATTCGAGGTCAGTGTCAGTCACATGATTTCAGGGTCTACATTGAAAAGTATTGTTTCGTCATGTGGTACAGATTAACCAATGGAATTAATAGAGGTATAACAAATAATGATATTACACAAATTCTAGACTAACATATAGTCCCCGAAATAAAAGTTATGTGTGAGGTCAAATGAAAATATTTCTATAATTAGTATAAATGAACCCTCGAGTACTAAGGGACGCTAGAGTTGAAAAGGTGATATTTATATGCTACTGGAGCTGAAAAGGATGAGAGTGGAAGAGAGGTGAATGTTTTGTTACATATTTGAGTAAGATACTACACCTATACATTCATTATGTTTTCATAATCTCTGCCTCATGACTAGTACTCAAGAATTTATCTAGACCTGCTCAAAGGCCGATTCGGTCCCATTTCTGGAGCAATGTCAGTTCCCAAAATGGAATTATCAGATAATTTTCCAATTCATGTAATACAGTTATAACTAATCCTATGGCTTTCTAAGGGTAATATGAATTTTTTAGGAAGGGACTTTATTGCTTAGTCTTACACTGAACAAAAGAAAACAATGACTTTGCAAAAATCCCAATTGTTAGCTAAATAACTAAATGTTCCCGAATCATCTGCCTAGAGCACATAGATAGGAATCCTAGATCAATCCCTGAGAACCTATGTCTATGCTGTGTGGTGAGACACACGACCCACTTGGCCTCCTGAAAAGTTTCCACAAGAGAAATTATCACTCCTATATCTCCTATATCTCCTACACGTCAAAGAAAGCATACCTTTTTCAGCCATTTGTTTTGCTTTTGCCTCCGACAATTTGTCCTCATCCTCATTCAAGTCAACTACATCCTGGCTGCCAATCATCAGCATCTTCCCATGCTTCCTCTTCAAGGTCAGTCCCTTCTTTTGCTCATCTTTCTTTGGAGGTTTCTTCTTTTTGGCTTTCTTTGCCTTCTTTGGATTTATCACGTTTATAGCTTCAGTCACCTCCTCCTCCTGTTTAGACTCAACTAGAGTCTCTGATGGAGGTGCTACCTGCTTTTTCTTTTTCTTCTTCTTTTTCTTAGTTTTGTTTCTTTTTTCAGCTGCTGTTGCAGTTTGAGAAGTATCATCGTCTGCTATCTAGAAAAAAGGCAAATGGGTATAGTTAATGTCTTTAGTATAACCATAGTAATGCCAAGATAGTAAAGACCATTCCATATCCTAGTATTTGTTCTCTTTACCTTGATTGCTTGATTTGCTGTTTAACGCCTCACTCAGCAATATTCCAGCTATATGACGGCGGTCTGTAAATAATCGAGTCTGGACCAGACAATCCAGTGATTGATATCATGAGCACTGATCCATGCAATTGGGATACGATGACAAAAATATATTGACATGCATCAAACAAGTGAGCGAGCCTGTCCACCCGATCCCGCTAGTCGGCTTTTACGACAAGCACAGTCACCTTTTACGGAAAGCATGGGTTGAAGACCTATTCTACCCCAGATCTTCACGGGTTCCATCAAGAGGGACGTCTAGGTAGTCCAGAGGATCTCCCTTTTTTTGAAACCAAATGTAGTTTGTTGTAGGCAGTAAACTTGACTGAGGGAGGATTTTTATATTTTGGACCCCTCCCTTTTAAAATGCTGGACCCGCCCTTGGATTACCATGTAAAATGTGTTAGTTACTGGTGCAAATTGTTAGGGTGTCTGAAGTTCGTTACCATAAACAGTGTTATTTACAGTAACAATGCAGTTTAACACATTTTACATGATAATCGACATAAACAGTAAATCTTCTGCTAACCCTATCGATCGAAGAGGCACGCAAGATCTGTGAAGCGAGAGCCACAGTCGGCAGCCTTAGTAAATAAACGCTATAGTAAGCTGCGCCCGGTAAACTGTATTGTGGTCCATCGTGTTCCATTTAAATAGTTTGCTATCCGAACGAAAACCGGACGATTGCATTAACTGTATGGAATATATGATTGTACTGACCTGTCCAGCATTTGTTTCCACGAGTTCGTAGTCTGTAAGTTCCTCAATAGATATTAAAGTTTCAAAATCTTTGTTGGAAAATAGCACAGGCGCTATTTCAACCTTTTTCCACTTGGAGTTAGTTTTCACGTGTTTCAATGTCGCCATTTTGTTTTTTAATCTCAAATAAGGACAAATAATGATTTTAAGCGCTCGCCACCAATCAAAGTCAGTCACACTGATCGTATGTAGTTAAAATACACATATTACTAATATATCAATATTCTGTAGGTAACAGATTGCAACAGTCGTCGCTGTTAATCCTTTGCATATCGTAAGACACTTTGGATTGCGTTCGGGAGATTATAGAGAAAACAAACATGGCGCGAATATGAAACTAGAATGGTAAGATATCATATTGATACGCGTTAACAGATGATTGCACGGTACTTAAGTAAGTGTATATGATAAAATGGTAAACCACGTCATACACAATTCATTACCACGTGACTGACAAGTAGCTGTCACTACTGGGTTTGACAAATTTATATGATATTATTTGGTCAAACTAGCCTAGTACACAGACATCGGCGGTAGAAATTGGTACTTGTTCTATAGTCCTTGCCAAATTGCCCAATAGTTAAGGTATCACAACGACTAGTAGACATTTGACATTTTTAAAGGGTTTTCTATGTGTTATTTCCCAGGCCTCAAAGTATGCTTTTTTACCAAGTAGCCAAGTAGCCAAGTATACTTTTCCAGGTAGCCAGTGGGAAAATCAAGAAGTCAAGCCAATATTGTAGGTAGCCAAATGCATTTGAAATTATCTTTTATCAAATAACTATTATAATATGTACAAGTCATAGCACTAGTCTTGGAATTGTATATTAGTGGAAACTTAATTGATTTTTATTACTTGTGACCATGGTGACTCGAACAATGATGCAATTTATGTTACTAGATTATATACATGATGATATATCTGGAAACTTGTTAAAAGTGGAATTAAACCCAACTCACTCACTAAAACTGCCATATGCTGTTGTTTTTGTTCAAATAAAAAGGTCACCTTCATGCATTTACATTGTGTTTTGTTTAGATCTAAATCTAAATTAATATTTTATATTCGCGTAAGTCAATGTTTATTGCATAGGGTTACGAAACTACTTTCAATTTGGGATATGAATTTTCTGATTTGAAAGGTGTACGCCTTCATTTGGGTTACAATTATGCATACACCCATTGGGAAAAAGCCTACTTGGGACAGCCTGTAGCTGTGTATATCGACAAATCAATATCAAAATCGTTTATCATGTTTTTAGGGAGCAGCACAGGGATGCGGATACCACAGCTAGATGTAGTGGTGGTAATGCTCAACAAATAAGGCAGGTCACACAAACCTTTCGACCCGTGAAGATTCCGGGGTAGAATAGGTCTTCAGCAACCCATGATTGCCGTTAAAGGTGACTATGCTTGTCGTAAAAGGCGACTAACGGGATCGGGTGGTTAGGCTTGCTGACTTGGTTGATACATGTCATTGATCCCAATTGCGTGGATCGAAGCTCATGATATTAATCACTGGATTGCCAGACTCGATTATTTACAGACCGCCGTCATATAGCTGGAATATTGCTGAGTGCGGAGTTAAACAACAAACCAACCAACCAACCAACAAACCTTTCACAGTTCAGTACATGTTTGCCTTTGAATTGTTGCAGGTTTGTGCTTCACCACATACAGCCTATACATACTACAGCGCGCAATCATGGGGGACATGAACAACTGCCATCGCATGTTCCTGCAGAAATTTATGTCACAGAGCCTGCTAAATGCTAAGGAAGTGAAACAGCTTTTCAAACAATGTTGTGACAAATACTCAGGTCTGTAATTGACAATACCATGAATACTTAACCTGATACTGATAGCATCTAGATTTCTTTGTCAGTTAGTGGAATCATCGTTATCATTCATTGATTCATTAACCTCATATCTTGCATTCACATACCCAGGATGATCTGAAATAAACCTGTAGAAAAACATTTATGAGCAAATGAACGTAGTAATGAAGCAGAAAGGTTTCATTGTATGAGAATTTCCGTTTGAATATCAGGTTGTTTTGTTTTTTTAAAAATTATTATTATTATTATTATTATTATTATTATTATTATTATTATTACACATTCATATACCGCATTATTATTATTATTATTATTATTATTATTATTATTATTATTACACATTCATATACCGCAGGTATCCAGGTACTAGTATCTACTCAAATGCGTTTTTTTAAATTTGTTCGCTGACCAGTGGATCCGTTTGCATGTCAGTTATCTTTCTCTACTCCCTGGGGAGTATACAACCAAAGCTGCCTATGGGCGCTAAAGGGTTTTTACATCCACTTAAAGTACAATGTATTATCACTAATCACTGGCACATTTATGAATGTGTAAATGATGTTTTGAATGTCAACATGGTCAGATTTCTTCATGTTAATCTAATTTCTCGTGACAGTTAGCATCTCTGAAGATGACCCTGATGCCAAGAAGCGTCTGTTTGAGTTTGTGAGGATCATCAATGCCAATATACACCCATTCCACATGGAGATCAAGAAAGCCATTAGTGAAGACGACGGGTCCAACCACTATGGACTGGTAGGTCACATTGATAACGGTTGTCAGGGCTTGATTTAGCTATATACAACATGCACCAGTGCAACCTATTATTGAAGACTGCAACCTAATATTTATGTCCACATGTACCAGTGCAATCTATTACTGAAAAGTGCAACCTAATATTTACGTCCACATGTACCAGTGCAATCTATTACTGAAAAGTGCAACCTAATATTGATGTCCACATGCACCAGTGCAATCTATTACTGAAAAGTGCAACCTGATATTTATGTCCACATGCACCAGTGCAATCTATTACTGAAAAGTGCAACCTGATATTTATGTCCACATGCACCAGTGCAATCTATTATTGAAAAGTGCAACCTAATATTTATGTCCACATGCTACAAAGCAATCTATTATTGAAAAGTGCAACCTGATATTTATGTCCACATGCACCAGTGCAATCTATTACTGAAAAGTGCAACCTGATATTTATGTCCACATGCTACAAAGCAATCTATTACTGAAAAGTGCAACCTGATATTTATGTCCACATGCACCAGTGCAATCTATTAATGAGAAGTGCAACCTGATATTTATGTCCACATGCACCAGTGCAATCTATTACTGAAAAGTGCAACCTGAAATTTATGTCCACATGCACCAGTGCAATCTATTATTGAAAAGTGCAACCTAATATTTATGTCCACATGCACCAGTGCAATCTATTATTGAAAAGTGCAACCTGATATTTATGTCCACATGCACCAAGTGCATGTAAAACAAACTCAAATGTGTCTTCTCTGACGTACCCTTACTTTTCAACCCAACAACAATTTTTGAACTCACTTCCTTACACATTAAAGCTTTATGTTCCATACTGCACCAGTAACATGTGTTTTGTGATGATTTCTTGGGCATGGAATACTGTGGGTACTTCAAGTATGTGATTATGTGTAATGAGGAAATAAACATACTGTTTTTCAATTGACTTAAATTTGATACCTGTAAAATTAAACAAACACGCAAATGGAAATTAAGATTGTTTTTGAAAAGGAATGAGTTTTTTTCACCACCATCATTTGGTGCATTTTTGACATAATGTCATTTAAGCCTGGAGTCTTATCTTGTGGATGTCATGATTGGTGATTGTGAATGGTACTTGGCTTACTTTAAGTGTGTGTTATGAGTGACATTGTATATTTGTGTGGTTCACAAGGGGTCCAGTTTGAGTGGACGGCGTCATGCTTGATTGAGTTAAGCAAGCTGCCTGATGGGGAGAAGCGTGCTTGTGGAGTGATTGGAGTTTGAGTTGGCTTGGTAACTGATTGATGTGGGCCGATCAACCTTTTGTTGTGTGCTGATGTAGATAGCTTACTTGGTAATTTGTTTAGTATATGAGGGCAAGTTATCGAACAGAAAGGGGGAAGGAAAAAGAATTGGAGAGGGAGAAATATGGTTTAACTGAACGAGGGCAGTTCAGCCCAGCATTATGTCCGGAGACAAAGTTAGAAGGTCATGTTGACGCTACGAAGGTGGAAACTGTTGTTACCCAGTTATCCTGTGAACTGTGATATATAAGTTTGGAACTATGTGAGATGGAATACGTTGGGAATGTGATGTCAAGAAATCTGAGGTGACTATTATCTATATTGCACGTTTGCCATATTGCTTTGCCTAAATAGATGTGTATGAGTGCCTTGCCCAGTAACTGAGAATTGTTATATACTTATCTTTGTTTTAATTATTAAATCTAGCTTTAAACTTCAGAGATTGTTGTGTGATTCTTGTAATTGTTATTTGTGGTATTAGCGGGAACCCCTGCCGTTCATACCACACGTAACATGTGCGATACGTACACAATTTCATCTTCTTTCAAATACATAATTTCAGCATTGGCCTGTTATCGTGGTTAAGGTACTTAGGGACTGGTCATTTATTTGGAGAAGGGAGGGGGATGTTGCGCTTGGGACTGTATCACTTCATCATATTTTGCTGACACACACCCCCCCCCCCCCACCCAATAATGAATGACTGGTCCCTAAATAATGTTCAAATTTATAACCTCTTAGTTTGTGAAAGAATGTATCTGTGAAGTCATGCTTTCCAGGTAAACATCAGCAGAACAGACATCACCAAGATGGCCTCAGACTACAACCAAAATGAGCTGGAGTTCTTCAAAAAGCTAGTAAGTATTGTATTTTTTGTTGGCAGCCTTTCCTGTGAAGAAGTTTTATTTTTGTATGTTACACAGACACGCAATATGCTCTATGACAAAGGGTTTTATTGTGTCCAGTTTACGTAATAATTGTGTCCTAGTAAGAAGTACTTTCAATGTTCGGACAGTCCACTCAGATTACACTGGTGATATCTTCTCTTTCAGGTAGAGCTGGTTGTTGAGTCTGATGATGGAACTGTTGGCTCCATCGAGACTCTGAACCTAACGGAGAAGCTGGAGAAGAAGATCTCAAAGAATGATGCTCAGGACCTGCTAGACCGCATGAGTCGGGACCAGTGGATAGCTCAGGTAGGACAGCCATGATTGACCGGGGGGATAGCTCAGTAGGACAGCCATGATTGACTAGAGCAGATAGCTCAGGTAGGACAGCCATGATTGATTAGAGCAGATAGCTCAGGTAGGACAGCCGTGATTGCCCGGACAGATAGCTCAGGTAGGACAGCCATGATTGACCTGAGTGGATAGCTCAGGTAGGACAGCCATGATTGACCGGAGCGGACAGCTCAGTAGGACAGCCATGATTGACTAGAGCAGATAGCTCAGGTAGGACAGCTATGATTGACTAGAGCAGATAGCTCAGTTAGGACAGCCGTGATTGACCGGAGCGGATAGCTCAAGTAGGACAGCCACGATCAACCGGAGCGGATAGCTCAGGTAGGACAGCCATGATTGACCGGAGTGGACAGCTCAGTAGGACAGCCATGATCGACTAGAGCAGATAGCTCAGGTAGGACAGCCATGATTGACTAGAGCAGATAGCTCAGGTAGGACAGCCATTATTGACAGGAGAGGATACCTCAGGTAGGAAGCTTATGATTGACAGGAGTGGATAGATCAGGTAGGACAGCCATTATTGACAGGAGAGGATACCTCAGGTAGGAAACTTTTGATTGACGGGAGTGGAGAGCTTAGGTAGGACAGCCATGATTGGCAGGAGAGGATAGATCAGGATAGGAAGCAAATGATTGACAGAAACGGATACCTCAGGTAGGAAGCTTATGATTAACAGAAGCAGATAGATCAGGTAGGACAGCCATTATTGACAGGAGTGGATTGCTCGCTCAGGTAGGACAGCCATGATTGACAGGAGAGGATACCTCAGGTAGGAAGCTTGACAGGAGTGGATAGCTCAGGTAGGACAGCCATGATTGACAGGAGTGGATTGCTCAGGTAGGAAGCTTGTCAGGAGTGGAGAGCTTAGGTAGGACAGCCATGATTGACAGGAGTGGATTGCTCAGGTAGGACAGCCATTATTGACAGGAGAGGATACCTCAGGTAGGAAGCTTGACAGGAGTGGATAGCTCAGGTAGGACAGCCATTATTGACAGGAGAGGATACCTCAGGTAGGAAGCTTGACAGGAGTGGATAGCTCAGGTAGGACAGCCATGATTGACAGGAGTGGATTGCTCAGGTAGGAAGCTTGTCAGGAGTGGAGAGCTTAGGTAGGACAGCCATGATTGTCAGGAGAGGATAGATCAGGTAGGAAGCTACTCATGCTTGTGGTTTTCACCGAAGTAGTAAACGTCTGAGACCTGCATCACTTGGGGCTTTCCTCCCACATTAAGCTGGCATGCCATGATATAACTGGAATACTGTTAAAAGCGGTGTTAAACCCAACTAACTCACTCACTTACTCACTCATGGACGTTAGTAGATGTCTCAGGTGAGCTAATTAGTACATATTACAAGAATAAGGAAAAGACCAATACATGATTATGAACTATTGCAACCTTTCTGAGCTCTCCGTTAGGTAGCTGGTCCTCATAGCATCAAGGTTTCCTGTAACAATGTCTCATGACAGCTTTGTTTGTGAGCCCAGTTTGCAGGTGATATTTCAGGCATCCATCAAGAATGGTGCATCTTGAATCTTAAAAACGTACAGACTTATTGAAACAAATAGTAAATGAAGGTGGATAATATACCCTCCTTACTCAACTGCATGAAGAGAAATTCTGTTTGGGGTGTATAAACTGATATCTGTTGAAAGTAGCCATAGCAACCATGATCATGAATGCTTTGTTGTATTTCAGAAGGCTGGCCGAGTCTCGCTTCACACACGGGCTGTCCTAGAGCTGGAGCAGTACATCAAGGAATACTTCGTGGAGGCTGTCAAGATGTGCAACATGTGCAATAAACTCTGTCTCAAGGTCAGCATCAATATAATAATAATAATAATAATAATAATGGGAATCCATTTGCTGCTTGATGAAGTTGTTATGTTGATTTCTTACTTGTAATTAAATTTTGACAGTAGACAGCATAAATCATCTTGCCGAGGCAAGATCATCCACTAGCCTTTTTATCAAAGTCTTGTTTCCATCCTTGCCATCAAGTCCACTTTCCTGTGCTAAATATGATTGGACTATCACACATATCAATAGTCCAGTCTGAGAACGTTTGACAAAATCAGCATCCACGACTGGTACACCTTCGTATGGAAGTGATTTACCACTGCCTGTCTTTGTTGACACGAATATGTCTCTTTCATCATTTGAACCCCCCAACGAATGCCTATCTTTTTGTGTCAGGCATGAAATCGCGAATATTTTAGTTATCCAATCGCCTAGGTCGTCACCTATGGTAGTTGCCATAGTTGCGAAGCTTTTTGAGATAAGAACAGAAATCTGTTTGTATATTGCATTTTCATTACAAGGGGCACAACTCGTGATCTACGTGAGGTTGCACCATGGTCGAGCCAAGAAAAGTGGCCTTGATGTGGCAAGGGTAGAAACTAGGCTTGTAGACACGCTTGCCTCGTGAAGATGAGCAAAAATATTCAAGCAGCATTTCAGAATTGTTTGATTACCAGTGGGTCAAATAACACATTACCTTGGATACAAGGCTTGATTGGTGAGTTCTGAACCTCCCATAGAAGGAATTGTGTAATAGTGAAATCTTTCATTGTTTACATGACATGTCATAGAGGTATCTCCACAAGCCTGAGTCAGTTGAGCAAATTGTTTCACTGTGACAAGTCAGTAAAATGCAGAGGTCTATGACTTTTGGAAAATGCACAAGCTTGAGGAATGTGCAGTGATGAAGTACTGCCAGAATCCAAGATATCAATGCTAGACGAAGCAAGGATGAACTTCCTGTGCCACCTGAATGAAGAGTTTGGAGAGCTTTGGAGACGACCCCTGTCCTGGAAGGTCATGATGTCAGCATCACCAGAACTGATCCAGAGAATTGACGATATTGTGATGACCGGCTGGCGAATAACTGAATGTTGTGTTGGTAGTTCAGTAGGCATTCCTGGGAAAGAGTACTTTCCACTATCACAAACTTTGGCAATGAAGACAGTATCAGCTCGTTGGGTTCCATAGCACCAGGCACAACATGTCTTGTTAAAATCTAACTCTGTTTGAAACTGATCCTGAAAGGTTCTTGCAACAATTTGTGACTGTGGATAAAAACTGCCACAATAGTGAAAGCCTTTAACATCACAGGGGCGGTCGGGTAGCCTAGTGGTTAAAGCGTTCGCTCGTCACGCCGAAGACCCGGGTTCGATTCCCGACATGAGTACAATGTGTGAAGCCCATTTCTGGTGTCCCCCGCCGTGATATTGCTGGAATATTGCTAAAAGCGGCGTAAAACCAAACTCACTCACTCACTCACTTTAACATCACAACCACCAAAGAAGGCAAAGACTGACCCATCAGCTGGAAAGATTATGGCCTTGATGCTCTGGGGTGCCTTGGGTGTCATCATCTACCAAAATACCAGATCATAAACAGAGCATATTAAGCTGCACTTTTGAGGCAATTAGAAGATGAAATGAAGACAAAGAGATGTGGGAAGCCGAGAATATGTATGCTCTTCTTTCAGGACAATCCACCAGTGCACAAATCACTTATTGCCATGGCTACAATCCAAGAGTGTTGGCACCAATCTTATTCACCAGATCTGGTTCCAACAGTCTCCAAATCACGAAGAAAGCTCTTGTCAGAACCCATTTGAACTCAAACAATGGGGTCATAGCAGATGTGGAGAACTTTTTGGACAACCAAGAGAAGGACTTCTATGAAACTGGGATAAACTCCCTCCAACATCTTTGGTAAAAGTGTATCGATATGAAAGAGGATTATGTAAACAAAATAAAAAATAATGTCTTTAGGTCAAGTCTTTCTATGTGAGACTCAGAACTTATAAGTCAACTCTCGTATATCAGAAATATTGTGACATGTTTGTCATACCTGTTTCCGACCTGATCATTTGTTGTTAGGGGTCAATAACCTAGGAGCCTGGCTATAAGGCTCAATGTTAATATCAATGAACAGATTGATAAATGTAGGAGGAAAGCCCGAAGTGATGCAAGGCTCAGACGTTTACCACTTCGGTGAAACCCACGAGCACGGGTATGGTGCCGACAAACCTAGAAACATAATCAGGGTGAACCGGGATTTGAACCCACAATCATAGGTCTCTGGCATGCCCAAGGGACGCAACTCTGCACAGCGAATTGCGGCACCTTAGACGACTGGACCTCCCGTGCCCCCGACTGTGCTAGAGTTGGAGGCAGTGTTTTATACCAGGATAATATTCCACTGTTTATCATGTTCTCTTGTCTCCACAGGGCCAGACATGTGAGGAGTGTGGCATCAAGATACACTTCCACTGTGCTGTCCGCTACTTCAGTCACCGAGAAGCTCAGAAGTGTCCGTCGCGGGAGTGTGGTGCAGCCTGGACCCACGACATCCCCAAGAGAGGTAGGTTCCGTGTTGCTGTGCATGTCTCCTAGTATCCTCTGTGCTGCCTGCAGAGCCTCGTGCCATAAAAAAATCTTAGTGCTATGATTGTTGTAAATCATGTTGAAGTATGGGAGTTATGATCAACGTTGCGCCAACATTGCTTGTGGAAACGGGGCCCAGGACTTGGGAATCAATATTTAGTACCCTGACAAGGCTATGCATGTATCAGAGTCTTGTGAAGCCGTGGTATCTTGTGTGTGACCTTGAGTGGGTGTGTTTGGTTTAAACAGTATTTCGGTTATATCACAGCATGTCAGCTCATTGTGGAAGGATTGACAGAGATCCATGACAAGTTCATACTTACTTTGTAGTACTCTGTAGGATAAGAAATAATTTTACCTTATCCTGACTCATTATCAATTGCTTATCTCATCTCACTCCAAAAAGGTAGTGGAAACTCCAGTGCTGTGTTCCCAAGAACAGTAAAAAAAACATCTCAACTGCGCAGCTGCACCGGAAGCGCGTAACCAAGCCAGTATAATTATCACTCTTTTATTTTGTGCCAACTGGGTGGTTGTCATAATGCAAGCCGTCCTATCAAAATTAATAGTTTATATTAAAAGAATTTGCTTAGATTACCTTCTTCAAACCTTTCTTCATCATACTATAACTTGATTTACAAATATAACCGAGTGTGTGTCACTAGCAGTTTTTGCAGTACTTCCCTGCTCGCAAAACTTTACAGACTGCACTTGAGACTCCTCGTCTCTGCACGTCCCTGGGGGAAGACGACTTTGCAGCCTACTTGTATGTAGTACAGAGAAAGAAGTTGACCATAAAAGACGTGATTCCACTGGATCCGCTAGTCTTATCACACCTACAAAGAAGAAAAGTAAGGTAACAATCTCTTCAGATGAGGACAGATCCTTTGTGGTCGTAGCTGGATGGCTGCTGAGAACCCTTCCTTGCAGATGTCAGAGAAGGCCTTCGCTGCGTTCCTACTGTAAGGTGATGAGAAGCAGGCGAACGTGAAGAAATGGTCGTCAATGAGGAAGATGAAGAGCTCTTCATCATCGAAGTTGTCTTCAATGTCTTGCTTTATGAAGGTTCCCACCTTAACGAAGACGTGCACTAAGGCAGCCATGAAGTCGTAGAAGCATGCTTTCTCCACGCAGCTTTCGTCGCTTGTGAATCTTTCACAGGTTTCACGCATGCAGATCTGCACTCAGGACCAGTCCATTCACGCAGTCGTTCGCGCAGCTAATGTTACTCAGCAAGTGATCCTTGCTATGCAGCAACAACACACACTCAACAAACAACCTGTGCCGAACCTGGTTTCCAGATCTCATCGCCCTAGATTTCACAATGGTGACAACGCATCAGCCCATCTGGGTCTCCGTCTGTATTTTATCGCCAAGGATCAACTGCCTGGTCAACCAAACAGACAGTTTCACATTTATCATCTATACTTGGTTCTGAAGCTAGAGAAGATTTATCACTGTCCATTTACATATTTATTTACAGTGGAAGTTTTTAGAACTACTATCACCTTGATGAGAGAAGTCATACCTCAAATCAAGAGAGATGCCGGAGATCAGAGCTCTCGCTTCTACGTTAGAACTCCATGGCAACTGCTCCATTCCGGCTGTAATTGAAGGATATTTCTGGAAATCGGACACACCTTTGAGACTTCATCGGAATTCACCAAATTGGACCTTTAGTGGTCGCTTAAGAATTGACAGTACCTAATCGAAGATAACCAAAATCATGCAGACTCGTAGACGTCAGGTTACCGATTCATAACCACCGACCAAGAGTCCTTGCTCCCCCTTTTTACTAAGTAAATCAGAGCATGTGTGATAACGATTGTGTCAAGATTTATGACCTTTTCTAAACACGAGAATAGTTCTAAGTAAACTTGAATTTTACTTAATGAGCATTTAGAAAATCGACAATCTTTTGATTTTATCGTACTCCTCTCACAAGAGGCATTGCCCCAGTACCAATTGATGTCCAGGAAGATTAAAAAAATGTTCTCACCAACCGTGGGATTCAAGCAATTAGTATGAGTTAGGATATGGTATTTAAGGTAAAAATATCCAGTATACATGTTTTGGCCGTGAGGGTGAAAGAGTGATGAGTGTACTGGCTTGGTCACATGCTTCCAGTGCGGCCGGGAGAGATGTTTTTCTCTGTTCTTGGGAACACAGCTCAGGAGTATGAGTCAGGATAAGTATAAATGATATTTTTACCCTAAAAAAATACTATGTTGGGAAATGTTTATCAAGTATTATCATATTTGTTTTTCAGACATGAACAGTACTCAAGCCACACAAGAGGACCAGGCAGCTTCATCTCATGTGCGGAAGAGGAAGCACCACACCTAGGACACCATCATTCTGTGGTGGACATGAACCATGCCAGTGTCAGACTTGCCCATACCTACTGGAGACGATGGACTTGTCCTCTCACTGCGGAGACATTATGCTTGTTTGTTGTTTAACGATGCACTCAGCCATATTACAGCGATCTGGACCAGACAATCCAGTGATCGACATGCGCTGTGCATTTGGGATACGCGATCAGGATACGATGGAATGCATCCACCAAGTCAGCGAGCCTGACCGCCTCTTACGACAAGCATTGGTTGCTCATACTAAATGTCGATTTAATTCAGATAACAACTTGTATCAAGAAGCGTAAGTCATGTTAAGGTTACATATGACAATTGTTGATTATATCATGTTGTGTGGATGAGTGTAATCAGGGATATATCAAGACCTGGTCAAAGTAGACCGAAGTTCATGGATAACAACTACAACAACTTTTATTACTGTAATAGTGATGTTTCTGTATAGATCCTTACACCATTGTCAAGCAAGGCTGAATACTGAACGTGGTATAGAATTATATATGATAGGTGAAGGATTATCATACATGAGAGGGATTAACATGAGTAGGTAACTAAGGTTGAATAATAACAATCATTTGGCTGATGCTCATGACATCAATCCCTGGATTGTCTGGTCTAGACTTGATTATTTACATACCGCCGTCATATAGCTGGAATATTGCTGAGTGAGGTGTTAAGCAACAAACAAATGTTATGAGTAGTCTTGTTCTGCTGACCATCTTCATCACCCTGTTGTCCGTCACCACGAAGCTGAGTTGACCATTGTCTATGTCCACTGTGTGAAAGAAACAATTCGAGAGAAATAAATATAATTTCTGTTATGAGAAGAGAGGAAATTTATGTAACATATTCATTTAATAAAATGTTATCTGTCATTAACTGTGTTCCATTTGTTGACGAGCCTTTTGGAATTCCGGGTTGACTTGATCCCTGGCAATCTATGTGACTTTAGTGGGTGATCGGGCTTGGTGACATTGTTAATTGTGTGTCATCCTCCATTATCAGTTGTTCAACTGCAAACTCATGTCATGAGTGAGTTGGGTTTAATGCATCTTCCCGAGTCAAGAGAGTTAACTGACTATAAAAGTCCAGTTTCCACCCTTGCCGAACTAGGCTGGTATTATGGAGTTACATTTTGGCTGGTCTATGCATAGTCCAATCAAAATCGCGCACCTTAATTGAAATCCGGTTCGTAAACTGTCGTGCAGATTTCGGTTGATTGCAGGATTTGCAAAGCATGTGCACCACCAACTCGGTGTCAGTAGATATTTTCAAAATCTTCTCATGTTTTTAATCAAGGTGCTCACGTGATGCGATGTCAAACCCGTTTTATCACAATATAGACATTGATTATCGATCAGATCGTCCTGACCAGGCGCAACCATTTTGTGTGAAGCAAACGCAAGTGATACGAGAGGTGGAATCTGATTGGTCCTTAGGAGAGGCTTAGAAAGGACGGCAAGGTTGGAAACTGGACTTTTAAAGTCAGTTAACTATCTTGCCTCGGGAAGATGGGTTTAACATTGCTTTTGACAGTATTCCAGTTACATCATTGCGTGTCAGCTTAATGTGGGAGGAAAGCCTAAAGTGATGCAGGTCTCAGAAGTTTACCACTTCGGTGAAACCCACGAGCATAGGTATGGTGCTGACAAACCTAGAAACATAATCGAGGCGAACCGGGATTCCAACCCACAATCATAGGTTCCTGGCATGCCCATGGGACGCAACTCTGCACATCGATATCGAATCACGGCGCCTTAGACTGGGCCACTCATGCGGCGTTAAAAACAAACAAACAAACTAATAAGATGCAGTAGGTAGCATGGTTGTAAATCTACTGGCTATCCGCTGTTAGTGTTTATTACTCTCAATTAAACAGATACTTGTTATGAGCAAGTAAATACACATTCATATACATGTACATTTCAAAAGTAGTTTTGTCTCGATATGTAACCACATACATACACTAGATAGACAATATACACAGTTAATAAATTAATTATAAACGCTACATAAACCCAAGTGAACTTACCAGGTGTGTGGGCCTGGGTTGATACCACACATGGGGGACGTTGCCGCGCCAAGTTTCTACACAGTAGTACACACCTCTGCAGAGAAAATAACAATATATACAGTGCATGCAAACTTGCCAATTAGAACAAATATAGAACTCGGCACTAATACCTTCTATCATAGAAGTATACATGTAGCTGAGCATGATACAGCAATACTAGAAAATGGCACATGCATTCATTCATTCATTCATTCATTCATTCATTCATTCATTCATTCACACTTACCTTCAGTCATCCATGCTTACTTTCATTCATTCAGTCATGCTTACTTTCATTCATTCACGCTTACCTTCATTCATTCATTCACGCTTACCTTCATTCATTCATGCTTACCTTCATTCATGCTCACTTTCATTCATTCATGCTTACATTCATTCATTCATGCTTACATTCATTCATTCACGCTTACCTTTATTCATTCATGCTTACATTCATTCATTCACACTTACTTTCATTCATTTATGCTTACCTTCATTCATTCATGCTTACATTCATTCATTTATGCTTACTTTCATTCATTCATTCACGCTTACCTTCATTCATTTGTGCTTACTTTAATTCATTCATTCACGCTTAACTTCAGTCATGCTTACATTCATTCATTTATGCTTACTTTCATTCATTCATTCTTACCTTCATTCATTCACGCTTACCTTCATTCATGCTTACTTTCATTCATTCATTAATGCTTACCTTCATTCAGGCTTACTTTCATTCATTCATGCTTACTTTCATTCATTCATTCATGCTTACCTTCATTCATTCATGCTTACCTTCATTCATTTATGCTCACTTTCATTCATTCATTCACGCTCACCTTCATTCATTCATGCTTACCTTCATTCATTCATGCTTACATTCATTCATTCATGCTTACATTCATTCATTCACGCTTACCTTTATTCATTCATGCTTACATTCATTCATTCACACTTACTTTCATTCATTTATGCTTACCTTCATTCATTCATGCTTACATTCATTCATTTATGCTTACTTTCATTCATTCATTCACGCTTACCTTCATTCATTTGTGCTTACTTTAATTCATTCATTCACGCTTAACTTCAGTCATGCTTACATTCATTCATTTATGCTTACTTTCATTCATTCATTCTTACCTTCATTCATTCACGCTTACCTTCATTCATGCTTACTTTCATTCATTCATTAATGCTTACCTTCATTCAGGCTTACTTTCATTCATTCATTCATGCTTACTTTCATTCATTCATTCATGCTTACCTTCATTCATTCATGCTTACCTTCATTCATTTATGCTCACTTTCATTCATTCATTCACGCTCACCTTCATTCATTCATGCTTACCTTCATTCATTCATGCTTACATTCATTCATTCATGCTTACATTCATTCATTCATGCTTACATTCATTCATTCACGCTTACCTTCATTCATTCACGCTTACCTTCATTCATTCACGCTTACTTTCATTCATTTATGCTTACCTTCATTCATTCATGCTTACATTCATTCATTTATGCTTACTTACTTTCATTCATTCATTCATGGTTACATTCATTCATGCTTACATTCATTCATTCACGCTTACTTTCATTCATTTATGCTTACTTTTATTCATTTATGCTTACTTTCATTCATTCATTCATGCTTACATTAATTCATTTATGCTTACTTTCATTTATTCATTCATGCTTACATTCATTCATTCACGCTTACTTTCATTCATTTATGCTTACATTCATTTATTCATTCATGCTTACATTCATTCATTCACGCTTACATTCATTCATTTATGCTTACTTTCATTTATTCATTCACACTTACATTCATTCATTCACGCTTACTTTCATTCATTTATGCTTACTTTCATTCATTTATGCTTACTTTCATTCATTCATGCTTACATTCATTCATTCATGCTTACATTCATTCATTCATGCTTACATTCATTCATTTATACTTACTTTAATTCATTCATTCATTCATTCATGCTTGCATTCATTCATTCACGCTTACTTTCATTCATTTATGCTTACTTTCATTCATTCACGCTTACCTTCATTTATGCTTACTTTAATTCATTTATGCTTACTTTCATTCACGCTTACCTTCATTCAGTTATGCTCACCTACATACATTCATCACAAGCATGCTTGCTTTGCCTTGCCTTGCCTCGTATATCACAAATGAGCCCCTATATCATTTCTAAAGTCACTAATATTACTTTTAGTTAATACTTATACATGTTTAATGAATTTAGGATACTTATTTGGTTGTTTAACTCAATAATAATCACGAGAACATTACGTGTACTCCTGTCTTAACACACACATATATCCAAATACAAACAATAAATACAATAATGCAAATACAATCAATGAATAAAAATCCTCAAGCCAATAATAAAATACTAACCTTGGAATTTGTTCCAAAGTTCCCAACATAGATCCTTGTGAATAACAAGTGAGAATATAGATATATGTTTGTCCTTAGAAGGATATATGTGGAGTGACCACAGTCCTTTTTAGGTGTCCAGTATACAGCATGGCTGAGTACCCAAGCTGGCCATATAGACAAAAGGGCGTGAGTATGAAAGGGCTTGGGCTATTGTGTTAGTGCACAGGGTGTGACTTTCACAAACTAATCATGCACTAAGCATGCTCAGAAAAAGCGTTGTGACTTATAGTGTAATGTTTAAGGTAGGCTGAGCAATAAAATAAGATGACTAAAACTGCATTTAATTATGTACATGAATTATACTTAAAATGTAAAATACAAGAAATATACAAAATCTGTAACTGCCACATACGGAAGACTAACCAGTACTGTTTGTGAACAGGCAATGTCATTTAGAAAGTGGTCAAATGTCACAAATGTAATATTTGGGATAACTTTTCAAAGTAAAGTACAGATTCTCGTACTTTACTCAGAGTGAGTGAGTGAGTGAGTATGGTTTTACGCCGCTTTTAGAAATATTCCAGCAATATCACAGCAGGGGACATCATAAATGGGCTTCACACATTGTACCCATATTGGGAATCGAACCCGGGCGTTCCGCATGACCAACAAACGCTTTAACCACTAGGCTACCCGACCGCCCCACTTTACTAAGAAAGTGTTATCCCAAATGTAACATTTGTGACATATGACTACTTTCTAAATGACATTTATTTTGTGTTCATAGATTTCGAACATGGGAGCCCTGTCAATTTACCCATGTCAGAGGGGTACACAAAGTATGTGATATATACTACCAGTTGTACTTCCAGTTTTTGGAAGCCTCGGTGGCTGAGTGGGTTAGATCGCTGACGATTAGGTGCCTCACTCTGGCAGTGTGGCTTCAACCCAAAAAAGTACGAGAATCTGTACTTTACTAAGAAAGTGTTATCCCAAATATTTCATTTGTGGCAGTACTGTTTGGTTCATGGATGAATCAAGGTGAGGTGAAATGGGTTTCACGTCGCGTCCAAGGTTAGTGCACATATATAGCGACGTACATGCACGTGTGTGTGTGTGTGTGTGTGTGTGTGTGTGTGTGTGTGTGTGTGGCTGCTTGTGCTGGTCCTGACTGATGCCGATTTATAGTGCTAGCTCACTGAGATACCATGCCGCATTTTAACATGAATACTCCACTCAGACACAGTGTACTGACTCCGATGCTGTCCCTTAATGCCGAGCGCCAGACAGGCTAATAACAAGTACCATCTTTTAACGTCTTGGTATGACGCGACCGGGAATCGAACTCCGGACCTTCCGCTCTCCGGCCGGACGCTCTACCTCTAGGCTACGGTAGCGGTTTGGATGAATCAAGATTAATGAGAGGGGATTTTGATATTTGGACTCTCCCTTTTAAAAATCCTGGATCCGGCCTTGTCATATGTGCAGGAAATGTGTGTTACTTCCACGATCGGGGTATGCGTTTTAAAGGCGTATATGCAGCAGGGCACGGGTGGCACTTGTGGTCAATTGCACCGCTTTTCAGAGTAGTGTCCCACTGGTGTGCCATAAACCTGGGATCGTGGTTTCGACACCCTGATTCGCCCCGCTGTTTTGTTTTGTTCTGAGACCGCCTCCGTGACGTTACAAGATGGTACTTGTTGTTACCCTGTCTGGCGCTCGGCATTAATTATATAAGGGGCTAAAACAAGGACTGGTCGACTCGGTGTCAGTATACTGTGTCTGAGTGGGGTATTCATGTTAAACTGCGGCATGGTATCTCAGTGAGCAAGCACTATAAGTCGGCATCAGTCCGGAATACAAGAAGCCACGCAATAATCTTGGACTTGACGTCAAACCCAATTTCACCTCACCTTTTTTGTTCTGGTCGCCTCGGAGTTAGTATACTGTATCTGAATGGAGTATCCATGTTAAACTGCGGCATGTTTTCTTATTGGCTAGCACTATTAACCGGCGTAACAAGTACAAACGGCCACACACACGTGCACGCACGTCGTTATATTGGTGATATATTCTGTAACACGGACAGTTGACAAAGCATGACTGTTGTGACATGTCAATATAACACTGGTTATAAAGCTGTATGTCCATGAATGGTCAGTTGTCATCTTGGTTTAACATAGGACGCTGTCGTCGACAGGGTGACCCATTGTCACCGTATATATTTATTCTCTGTGCAGAAATACTAGCCAATATGACAAGACAGACAGAGAGACAGACAGACATGTTTATTCAGTAAAAGGCCAATGGCCAAAAATACAGACATGTGAGCATGACATTTACAGGGCACATAATTTATCATAAATTATTTTGTGAGCATAATGCTGACGATATGGAATTAAAACTTGATGGTAGTCAGTCCTCCTTTGTGTCATGTATTAGCTCTCTTGATTGATTTGCCAAAATATCTCGTCTGAAGATTAACTATAATAAAACTCAAGTTATCTGGCTTTGCTCCAAGTGAGGTTGTTAGGAAAAGTGCAAAGATGATTTGCCTATTAGTTAGAATCGAGAAGAGTTTAGAATTCTAGGAGACAAATGTTGCACAAATCTGGAAAATATGGTTCATTTGAACTTTAAAGACATTTTTTTTTAGCTAAAACAGATTATGAATAGGTGGATGAAACGGATAGTTATACCAATTGGTAGGGTGGCAGTAATTAAATCCTTGTTGATTTTAAAACTCAATTATCTATTGTTATCACTGCCTGATCTCCGGAATGATTTTCTTGTTACTTTAAACGATATTCTTTTTAAATTTCTTTGGAGTGGTAAACGAGACAAAGTAAAGAGGATTAAAGTTTGTCAACCTGCTAAGCAAGGGGGCTTAGGTATGGTGAATTTTTTTTCATACGTAACATCTCTTAAGGACACACGGATAAGGATACTTGTGTCCTTAGGTGATCAAAATTGGAAGCACCTATCTAAATCTACAAACTCTATCGTTATTAGTGTAAATTTGGTGAATTTGGTGTGACTTTCTTTGAGAGAAAAGCATCTTTGATAAGTAATGAGTTTTGGAAAAGTTGTTTTCAGTCATTTATAGTGCTTGATAAGAAAATCAAGCCAGAATATTTCAGTAGTTTTTTAACTGAACCATTTTTTTCATACCCCTAATATTAAAATTAAAAGGAAATCATTTTTGTTGATATACTGGTTTGGGAAGGGTGTCTCCCAAATTATAGACTTGGTCAAGGCTAATAAGGAGTTTCTATCATATGAGGAATTTAATGTAACGTATGGTATTTGTTTATCCTATGTAGAATTTTATGGTGTTGCAAAATTCTATATTTATAGACGCAAATTCCAAAATACAAAACGTTATTTTCATGTTTATAAAAAGGAAGCTTTTTCACGATACAACATTGAAAAAGATATTTCTTTCAAGACAGGTAATCAACAGAAATTCCATGGTGCTTGAATGGTGTATCATAAACTTTTCTAAAATGGCCCAGTCGTCTAAGGCGCCGCGATTCGCTGTGCACAGTTGCGTCCCTTGGGCACGCCAGAAACCTATGATTGTGGGTTCGAATCCCGGTTCGCCCCGATTATATGCTAGGTTTGTCAGCACCATACCCGTGCTCGTGGGTTTCACAGAAGTGGTAAACGTCTGAGACCTGCATCACTTCGGGCTTTCCTCCCACATTAAGCCGACACGCCGCGATATAACTGGAATACTGTTAAAAGCGGCGTTAAACCAAACTCACTCACTCACTCATTTCAAAAGGAGAGTTATTGCCCTTTGGAACAAAAAGATCGCCCATTCTGTGATTGAAACAAACACACAATTTTTAGATGTGTCTTTCTTACAGGCACCATTGACAAATTTCGAAAAAAACATGGTGTGTATGTGTGCAACTTTAAGTTTACGAATACGTGACAATATTATTTACAGCAGACAGACCCCGTCAGCAACATATTTGCACGGATACGAAATGCGACGAATCCTATGCGTCAGACATGGTCTGTTGCGTGGGCACGTGGCGTCACATTTCTAGACAAGGTGACCTCGGGCTTTATAAATACATAATCAAGTACATATGTAGACATCGAGGTTCACGAGATCAATCAATTACATACTCATCAATTAGTTCATACTGACCCGAATAACTCGCATTTAATGGCCATTAATGAAACACGACAGTTATTCTGACATTTCTATTGGAGATTCCAACATCGATAATGTGTTTAAAAGGAGCAGATAATTACATATATTAGGACATTCAGAGAAAAGGAAGAAACACAAATACGTATGTTGCATGCTGAATATCTGCATATTTATTTAAGTATTCCTGTGATGCGTAATATGGGTCGCCACACATACATGCGCAATTCAATAGTTGTCATAAAACGTGTGCCGGGGTAGGGAGAAACGTTATAATATTTTCTGGGAACCGCCTTAACCCGAATTCATGGGTATGTCGAACTATATCGAGTTATCTATAGTTCAAAACAAGCGGGGGGCGGTCGGGTAGCCTAGTGGTTAAAGCGTTCGCTCGTCACGCCGAAGACCCGGGTTCGATTCCTGACATGGGTACAATGTGTGAAGCCGTGATATTGCTGGAATATTGCTAAAAGCGGCGTAAAACCATACTCACTCACTCAAAACAAGCGGAATGACTACACAAGACAACAGTACAGATAAGGGTTTATGCCGGGGCATTTAAGGATTCTGTTCTTAACGCAATATCAGGTTAAAGATGTTTTACAGTATATCTTGTAAATGCTCTCCAATACTTTTTACACGCACGCACGCACGCACGCACGCACGCACGCACGCACGCACGCACGCACGCACGCACAATAGACTATTGAAGAGAGCCGGGCATTCATTGCTTGCTGAATAGTACATAGCATTTGCGACTGTCAGGACTTCAAGGTCCGCTCGTGTCCGTTTGTACAATGGACAGCAAATAATGCCTAAAAAACAAACAAACAAAAATGAGGAACACAAGAAATTATAGAGACACTTCGTTAACACCCAATACTTGGGACAATCGAAAATATATCGAATTGCATACAAACGGAATGACTTTACCCAACTCTAGCCCTGACAGATTCTGACATAAGTTTAAATCGTCTTAAACGATATATCCACTTAATGGAGTTCGTGTTAATGGGGTTTGCCGTTATTTCCTTTACATAACTTAATGGGTAAATTTGGAACATTGTAAGTAAATAGTTAGACCCACCGCCTCCCTGTGTAAATCTGTCAGGAGAGTGTGAAATTAACCAATGATATTAATGCACTGACTTGCCAGGTGATATAGAAGGGAGGCAACTGCCGTCTCGCATGAATGCCCTTGCACTGATTACTTATCATTTAACGCCATGGCTAATTATTTCTTCCTCTTTCGACGCTTGGCGAGGTGAAGATCTCGTCGTGCAAATATGAAGTTCATCTGCCTTGTATCATTCTGCTTTGTGAATACGGTCCTGATATATACGGTAAGTGGACGTTTCTAGGTGCCTCGTAGATGGTAAAGTATCCTTATAACGTCATATAAAACATTTAAGATATATACTGTTTTATTTCTCATTTTGATTGTAATCTTCGTCAGCAATATTTGATGTACATTAATTTTACAATTTTACATTTCCATCCTGTGATGTATTTACTTCGTCAAAAAGTAGCGGCGTTCGTAGACTAACATCTAGTCTCTGAAATGAATATATCTTTCAGAAAAAAAGTTGTTAAATTATCTTAGTAAAGATATAATAAAAAGGAGCCAGAGACTCCCTTCATTTTCAGATTTCCTGATACTCCAGTAATCTAGACTTGCCAAACATTATAGACTTGCATTGGTTGCATTGGATATTTGTTATAGGGTCTGTATGACAGACTACGGTATTCGCACACTCTTCTGGATGTAACTCAGGCCATGTATGACACAACACAGTAGTGATACGTACTTATTTCTATTTATACTGGGGTGGGATAGCCTAGTAGTTCAAGCGGTCGCTCGTCACAGTAGAATTTATCAACTATGTTTCAACAGATTATCATTTACCATATTGCAAGGTACGCCTCTACGTAGTGTTTCCGTATTTATGTTGTTGTTGTTGTTGCTTGTTGTTTATGTCGGCGGTCTTTTATAAACGAGTTTGGACCAGACAATCCAGTGATTAACATCATGAGCATCGATCTATTCAATTGGGATACGATGACGTTCATCAACCAAGTCAGCGAGCCTGACAACCCGATCCCGTCAGTCGCCTTTTACGACAAGCATAGTCGTCTCTTTCGGCAGACCTATTCTAATCCGGATCTGAAAAGGTCTTGTGTACATGTTAAAATGCCATATATTTTATGGAAAGTCTGAAAACCTAGCGATGACTTAAATTACCAACAAATATTGGCGCTGCTTATATCTATGTATATTCAGCATTGTGTGTTACTTAAAATATTTGAAAAAACACTCGATTCTTTCGGAATGACATATTAAACTATGGTAATATGAAAAAATCGATTCTTTAATATTACTATAGTTAATCTGTCATGGAAGGATATATTAAACTATAATAATATGAAAAAATCGAGTGATTTTGAACTTCTTAAGCATGACATATTAACTGTATTAATATGAAAGGATCGGATATTCCTTAACTTCTATTGAGTAGTATATATTCAAAATAGAAAAGAAAACACAACGATGAACAAGCTCTGAAACACGCATCCATAGAGTGAATGATGGTACTAATGAAGCATGCTGGAGAACGAAGACAACGCTGTGTCTTGTTTTAAGGTTTGAATATATAGGATGTGCACTCGAAGTGCTACATGCATAAACCTTTCACTCTCCCTTCTAAACCAGACCACAGACGGCGCGAGCATTCATCACAAGAAACACGAAGGTAGGTACCTGCTGCAGTCAACTCCTAGTTGGGCATAGATGGACCCACAATATGATTAAAAGTGGACCGACCATTAGGCAGTCTATTTTATAGTCCTCTAAACTGAGTCACCTGAGCAGTTCAAGGTCAAGGTTGTAACGCAATCTATGATTTATGATTGATGTTATTGACGAGGAACCTATCCAACCTTTTTCTGCACCTGTAAGCGTGTCTTTATAATGTGTTTATGCATACATTATAGGTTTAAATGTAGCTATAATAGTATTCCCGTGAAAAAATAATATTGTCTCAATTTAAACATGTAACCCCCCCCCCCCCCCCCCCCCCCCCCCCCCACACACACACACACACACCACACACACACACACCCACCCCGTCACGAGATTATTACGAATTGAAGGAATATCTTATCCCAGTGAAAATGTTTGCGAAGGATATTTTTTCCTCAGCCTGCATCTTACTAACACTGGAATATTTTCAAATATGAATACAAACTGCGTTTATAACGAACACGTTTATAACAAACTGACGGATATAACGAAATGTGTTTTGATCCCGTCCATTTGCTGTATATATGTTTATAACGAACTACGGTTATGATGAACTAAAATTAGTGGTCCCTTTGAGTTCGTTATAACCGTAGTTTACTGTATTCTTACTTGCATGCTTCACAGTCAGTGTATCGTTGTTGGTACTCTTGTACTCAATCCTGTAAATGTCCGGTTAATGTTCTTGTATGGATTCTCTCACAGACGAAGTGTTCACAGCAGACATCCGTGTCCATGGAAACCCGCGTCTCCATGACGAACTCGTCATACACGTGACGACAGATAAGCACGAGCATCAAGTGACAGTGAGCCGAGTGACTCATTCCGTCTTTGATCATGACACAGAAGGATTCGTCGTCTCGGGCGATGATGAGGGAAATACAGTTTTCGACATGCACAAATTACCGGTAGGGATACATTTTTATACTGTGTAGTTTCTTGTATAATTTGCCTTGGTTTCTCAACTTGATGTGTAATGTGTCTGTACCCTAGCCTTGAACGACCAATAGGTTCTTTACCGTAACTCACGACTTCTTGAAACAACCACTTATAATTGTTTATATGTACCTTAAAACAGAGGGGCACGGGTGGCCCAGTCGTCTAGGGCGCCGCGATTCCATCTGCAGAGTTGCGTCCCTTTGGGCACGCCAGGAACCTATGATTGTGGGTTCGAATCCCGGCTCGCCCCAATTATGTTTCTAGGTTTGTCAGCAATATACCGGGGTTGTGGGTTTCTCCGAAGTGGTAAATGTCTGAGACCTGCATCACTTCGGACTTTCCTCCCACGTTAAGCTGACACGCCGCGATATGACTTGAATACTGTTAAAAGCGGCGATAAACCCAACTCACTCACTCACTTTAACCCAGAAGCACTTATAAATGTCAGGTACTTTAACCCAGAAGCACTTATAAATGTCAGGTATTTTAACCCAGAACCACTTATAAATGATTTGTACCTTAAATTAGAACCACTTATAAATGTTATGTATCTTACACCAGAACCACTTACAAGTTACATATTACATATTACAATTTCAGCTGTACACATATAAACGAATATCTTACTTGTTCCAAAGATGTTATATAAAATTTCTAATAATTGAAACACGCCCATACCCCTACATATCCGGGTCGCTTGTGCTTCCAAACAGGAAGTAATATGAATTGTTTGATAGGCATTACTTAGAAGTTGACGATGACAAAGTAGACACAATTTATGGATAACAACTTATTTTATACCGTAAATGCGACGTTTGGGTATAGATCCTTATGCTTGACAACGGTATAAGGATCTATACCGAAACGTCGCCTTTACATTACTAAAGAAGTTGTTATCCACACAATTGTGTCTTGGAAGTAATATGGTTGATCAAAACGTATTGATTGGTTTGTTTGTTTGTTTGTTGTTTTACGCCGCACTCGGCTATATTCCACCTATATGACGGCGGTCTATAAATAATCGAGTCTGGACCAGACAATCCGGTGATTGATATCATGAGCATCGATCCATGCAATTGGGATCGATGACATGCTTCAACTAAGTCAGCGAGCCTGACCACCCTTCCGTTTATCGCCTCTTACGACAAGCATATTCGCCTTTTACGGCAATCATAGGTTGCTGAAGACCTATTCTACCCCGGGTCTTGAGGAATCACTGATTATAATAATGGAATTAAGAGTAACTCAGCTCTCATGGAGACTTACTATGTGTTTCTGTGACGTCTTCCAGGGCCATGTTCAGGATCATGCCAAACAGTTCTTCAGCGACATCAACGACGGCACAATCATCAGCGTCATCCACGGCAGCAAGGGAGACGTGCACGTGGTCCGTTGTTTATACGTTTTAATACAACACCGTAAATTGCAGGGTTTCAGTAGTTAAAGAGCATGCTTTCTACAAACATCAAACAACTTAAGCAATATTATGAGTGCATGGTGAAAATACAGAAGGTAAAGTAAGGTGAAATGGGGTTTAGGTCACGTTCTACATTGCACTTATATAGCGATGTGCATGCACGTGTGTGTGTGTGACTGCTTGTACAAGTCCGGACTTATGCGGGGTTCTAGTGTTAACCCAGTGAGATACTTTGCCTCAGTTCAACACCGAAAATTCCCGCAGTCGTTATGCCTCTACCAGAGATTTTGATGTCATTCTCACCCGCCCCTCAAACACCATGCAGGTATCTTAACCGTTATTCCACTGATGTAACAGTATGTTAAATATCTCTGTTCTGTGTATGTATGTTTGTCATCTGGACCCACTTGCACAAAGCGATCTTAGCGCTAAGACTACTGTAAGCCTATGTTAAAGTATGGGAGTTACGATCATCTTAGCGCTAAGATCGCTTTGTGCAAGTGGGCCCTGCAGTTTATGGTAAGTACAGATGATGAATAAGTAGGAGTGAATTAAATGGAATTTGTATGTAATATAAAGGCGCAATTTAAGAAAACAAATGCGAGTAGTCTCTTCAGTATTATTATTCTATCGTAACAATAACAGCCGTTAAATAGGCGTATTATGAGCGAAATCCGAGCGAAAATGTTTAATTTTGTAAGACGGGTATAAGTGACGTGGTAATCGGTAGTGAAGTCTGTAATCCCTATTCAACAATGAAGGTAATTCATCATTGTTCTCAGGAGGGCATTTTGAACCACATCTACATCATCGCTCCGCCCGGGTCCCAGAGACGTCATCGACGAGCCTTGAAACCAGACAGCCACACCCTGTACAAACAGAACAACACACGTGAACGTTCTCCAGACTTCCTAGAAGGTAAGAAGGAAGGACCCTAGAAACACTGTAGAGAGTTTACCCCAGACTTCCTGGAAGGTAAGAAGGAAGGACCCTAGAAACACTATGGAGAGATTACCCCAGACTTCCGGGAAGGTAAGAAGGAAGGACCATAGCAACACTGTAGAGAGTTGACCCCAGACTTCCGGGAAGGTAAGAAGGAAGGACCATAGCAACACTGTAGAGAGTTGACCCCAGACTTCCGGGAAGGTAAGAAGGAAGGACCCTAGAAACACTGTAGAACTTGATGCGAGTGTTTGATTAACCAGGAGTCGCATTGAGGAACCCTCTATGAAGATTCCGAGTTAGAATAGATCCCCAGCAATCTATGCTGGTCGTAAGAGGCGACCAAATGGATCGGAGGGTCAGGCTCGCTGACATTGCTGATGGCCTACCATTTTACCCCATCAGCGTGGATCGTTTTCCATGATATTAATCTCTGGATTGTCTGGTCCAGGCTCGATTATTTACAGACCGCCGTCAAAAAGCTGGAATAGGGCTGAATGTGGCATAAAACAACAAACACATGTCAGAAAGTATCGTCCAGATTCATGCTGGTTTATATACTAAAGTAATAAATAATTCACCACAAATCTCATCTATTGCAGTTCCAAAGATCTTCCTGGACAAGTCTAGATGGGTCGGGTCGTTCACCCAAAAGCCGACGGCACAACCATGGTCCATCCACAGAAAATATTTTGGAAATTTTCTTCCTACTCCGCGTCTGGCTCCTGTCATCGGTTCAAGGTCATTACATGGTCTCCAACAGGGCAACTTCCGCCCTGTCCCAAACACCAACCCACATTCTGCTGTTGGCGCTTCCCCTCGCCCCAGACGCAGACGACAGTCGTCACGTGATCCAGCTGTTGCTGAAGTGTTGGTGATCATCGACAAGGAGATGTTCAAGAGCTTCAACTTCAGTATGACCGAGCTGGGCCTGTTTCTTCTGCACTTCTGGCATGCGGTGGGTGGCTGGCGGTTTATTCCTCATATTCATGTCATTTACTTTGACTGTTTGGTTAAGAGTTCCAATATTCTGATGTTACCCTCCTGAGGAACTTAACAACTAATGTTAAAGACGCTGTCGATCAGTGTTTTCCTTGCTTTTATCGAGGTGTTTTATCTGAGTTATGTGTCCGATCTTGACAATAAGGATGTGGTCTGTCGTCTGCTGCTGATACTCGAGATGAACAAAAGAGCGCAATATTGGAAAAAATAATAATGTGAGGATAATGAAGGGAACGCAACAGTGAGAACCTATGCTTGAAAACGCATTATATTTAATGAGAGCGTCAAAGTGGGAACGCAATAATGAGAGCGTAATACTAGGAACGCAACAACGAGAGCGTAATACTAGGAACGCAAAACTGGGAACGCCATCCTGAAAAAGCAAAAGTGGGAACTCAAAACACAAAATACAAAAGTGGGAACGCAAAACTTGAATACTCATTGGTCATCGTGAAAAAATATCCCCATCTTCTTTAAGACACATTCGTACTTAAACACCTCACCATCCCATGCCTCGTCATTGAATCAATGACCAGGGGGTCGTCTCATAAAGGGTTTTGTTAGAAAATGTGTACCTGTTTGTAGGAATTTTTTTTCCGGATATAGTCTGATCTCAAGCATGCAAACGTGACATGTTTAACCTTAATACTGATATATGCCATCAACTTGACTTCAGGTCGACTTCAAGTTTCGTACTCTCCCCGACCCCCAGATCAGACTGAAAGTGAGACAATATGGAGCGTTTCAGGTACGTTTTGCACGTGATATTTCTGTCCAATATGTACATTATTATTATTATTATTATTATTATTATTGCTATTAACCATGCTTCATTTATGTATTTCAAGGGAACACTTCGACGGCTGTACGTTGATTACTTTTAAAGCTTGTGTTGATAAGAAATATATCTTTAGAGTAAATGAGACTTGATAATGATATGATTAAAATGGAAATCTTTATCGGCTCAACGTCGTCTATCTGAACGAGGGGCGGTCGGGTAGCCTAGTGGTTAAAGCGTTCGCTCGTCACGCCGAAGACCCGGGTTCGATTCCCGACATGGGTACAATGTGTGAAGCCATTTCTGGTGTCCCCCGCCGTGATGTAGCTGGAATATTGCTAAAAGCGGCGTAAAACCATACTCACTCACTATCTCGATGAATATCAAGAACTAAAAACTTCGCGGGTGAGCTGGATAGCACGCCTAGAGTTTACCGCACTCAGCAATATCCCAGCTACATGACGGTCCATGCAATTGGGATACGATGACATGCGTCAACCAAGTCAGCGTGCCTGACCACCCGATCCTGTAAGTCGCCTCTTACGACAAGCATAGTCGCCTTTGACGGCAAGCGTGGGTTGTTGAAGACCTATTCCGCCCCGGATCTTCACGGGTCTTCACGGGTCTTCACGGGTCTTCACGGGTCTTCACGGATGCAGTGGAATAAGTAACTGGTTCATCCTCGCGTTGCTCCTGTTCTCTAAAGGCAGCCTTTATATGTCTGCAGTTCGGCCAGTACCAGCCGTTTATAGAGGAGAGCCGGATTGACCAGACCTCCAAGCAGATCTCACTGTACGACACTCTCACGGCCTTCAGGAACTGGATGAAGAAATACGAGAGCAACACAAACTTTGTCAGGCACGACATAGCCGTGCTGCAGACAGGGTAGGTGACGTCCATGTTGTTCAGTCAGACACGGCGTCGTCGTGCTGCGGACAGGGTGGTCGACGTCCATGTCATTACAGTCAGACACGGCGTCGTCGTGCTGAAGACAGAGTAGGTGACGTCCATGTCGTTACATTCAGACACGACATCGCCGTGCTGCAGAGAGGGTAGGTGACACTCATGTCGATACAGTCAGACACGGCGTCGTCGTGCTGCAGACAGAGTAGGTGACGTCCATGTCGTTACATTCAGACACGACATCGCAGTGCTGCAGACAGGGTAGGTGACGTCCATGTTGTTCAGTCAGACACGGCGTCGTCGTGCTGCAGACAGGGTAGGTGACGTCCATGTTGTTCAGTCAGACACGGCGTCGTCGTGCTGCAGACAGGGTAGGTGACGTCCATGGCGTTACATTCAGACACGACATCGCAGTGCTGCAGACAGGGTAGGTGACGTCCATGGCGTTACAGTCAGACACGGCGTCGTCGTGCTGCAGACAGGGTAGGTGACGTCCATGGCGTTACAGTCAGACACGGCGTCGTGGTGCTGCAGACAGGGTAGGTGACGTCCATGGCGTTACAGTCAGACACGGCGTCATCGTGCTGCAGACAGGGTAGGTGACGTCCATGGCGTTACAGTCAGACACGGCGTCATCGTGCTGCAGACAGGGTAGGTGACGTCCATGGCGTTACAGTCAGACACGGCGTCGTGGTGCTGCAGACAGGGTAGGTGACGTCCATGGCGTTACAGTCAGACACGGCGTCGTGGTGCTGCAGACAGGGTAGGTGACGTCCATGGCGTTACAGTCAGACACGGCGTCGTGGTGCTGCAGACAGGGTAGGTGACGTCCATGGCGTTACAGTCAGACACGGCGTCGTGGTGCTGCAGACAGGGTAGGTGACGTCCATGGCGTTACAGTCAGACACGGCGTCGTCGTGCTGCAGACAGGGTAGGTGATCAGAACCTTATTTATTTCAGGCATCAATAAAAACTGTTCATATATGGTACATTTGAAAGTACCCTTTCAAAGTACCAGACTGTACAAACAAGTGATATTATCCGCCGCTTCTATTAATGTTCATGCAATGGGTATATTAATGGCGATATACTGAACGAAGTCTAAATCCGGGCACCTGTTCTTTTCGCAGCGAGGACCTGTGTGAGAAGAAGGACAAAGGCGAATGCTCCAAACAGACTTCCGGTGAGTCTACGCCATTTCTACGCCGTTGTTTTTCTGGCAATTTATGAACAGACTTATATGGGTTTGTGTTTGTAGTTTAACTCCAGCAACATTCCAGCTATATGACAGCGGCATGTAAATAATCGAGTCTGGACCAGATAATCCAGTTATTGATAGTATGAGCAACACTGCACGCCATCAGGGAACGATGACCCGCAATCAACCAAGTCAGCGAGCCCGACCACTCGGTCCATGAAGTCACCACACGTATATACTCCCCCACGGCATAAGTTAAAACACGAAGGAAAACTGAATCATATACAAGCTGGTCTTGTTCCTACTGAACGTGGGTTCGATCCCCGGCCGCGTCATACCAAAAGACGTTAAAATATGGTACTTGTTGTTACCCTGTCTGGCGCTCGGCATTAAGGGGCTAAAACAAGGACTGGTCGGCTCGGAGTCAGTATACTGTGTCTGAATGGGGTATTCATGTTAAACTGCGGCATGGTATCTCATAATCATGGCATGGTATATAGTGACCTAGCACTATAAATCGGCATCAGTCCGGACTAGTACAAGCAGACACACACACACACACACACACACACACACACACGCACGCACGCACGCACGCACGCACACACACACACACACACACACACACACACACACACACACACGTACATGCGCGTCGCTATATAAGTGCAATAATCTTGGACGCGACGTTAAACCCCATTTCACCTCACCTCACAGAACGAACTTAAGAGTTCACGTTTCCCGACTGCGCCAAGACGGGTATTGCTTCCATCGAAAGAAGGCTTGTACAGTGTTAAAGTTTTCTCTTATCAGGAATTGGTTTCGTGGGCGGCGCGTGCATCTCCGCGCGGAAGTTCCCCGGCTACACATATGACGTGGCCATCAGCGAGGTCGGCAAGAGCTTCAAGGGCGTGCTGGTGACAGTTCACGAGATCGGGCACCTGTATGTATTATGTTAGTTGATACAGTTCACAAGATCGGGCACCTGTATGTATTATGTCAGTTGATACAGTTCACGAGATCGGGCACCTGTATGTATTATGTCAGTTGATACAGTTCACGAGATCGGGCACCTGTATGTATTATGTCAGTTGATACAGTTCACGAGATCGGGCACCTGTATGTATTATGTTAGTTGATACAGTTCACGAGATCGGGCACCTGTATGTATTATGTCAGTTGATACAGTTCACGAGATCGGGCACCTGTATGTGTTATGTTAGTTGATACAGTTCACGAGATCGGGCACATGTATGTATTATGTCGGTTGATACAGTTAACGAGATCAGGCACCTGTATGTATTATGTTAGTTGATACAGTTCACGAGATCGGGCACCTATATGTATTATGTTAGTTGATACAGTTCACGAGATCGGGCACCTGTATGTATTATGTTAGTTGATACAGTTCGTTGATACAGTTAACGAGATCGGGCACCTGTATGTATTATGTTAGTTGATACAGTTCACGAGATCGGGCACCTGTATGTGTTATGTTAGTTGATACAGTTCACGAGATCAGGCACCTGTCTGTATTATGTTAGTTGATACAGTTCACGAGATCAACACCTGTATGTATTATGTCAGTTGATACAGTTCATGAGATCGGGCACCTGTATGTATTATGTTAGTTGATACAGTTCACGAGATCGGGCACCTGTATGTATCATGTTAGTTGATACAGTTCACGAGATCGGGCACCTGTCTGTATTATGTTCGTTGATACAGTTCACGAGATAGGGCACCTGTATGTATTATGTTAGTTGATACAGTGCACGAGATCGGGCACCTGTATGTATTATGTCAGTTGATACAGTTCACGAGATCGGGCACCTGTCTGTATTATGTTAGTTGATACAGTTCACGAGATCGGGCACCTGTATGTATTATGTTAGTTGATACAGTTCACGAGATTGGGCACCTGTATGTATTATGTTAGTTGATACAGTTCACGAGATCAACACCTGTTTGTATTATGTCAGTTGATACACTTCACGAGATCAGGCACCTGTCTGTATTATGTTAGTTGATACAGTTCACAAGATCGGGAACCTGTATGTATTATGTCAGTTGATACAGTTCACGAGATCGGGCACCTGTATGTATTATGTTAGTTGATACAGTTCACGAGATCGGGCACCTGTATGTATTATGTCAGTTGATACAGTTCACGAGATCGGGAACCTGTCTGTATTATGTTCGTTGATACAGTTCACGAGATCGGGCACCTGTATGTATTATGTTAGTTGATACAGTGCACGAGATCGGGCACCTGTATGTATTATGTTAGTTGATACAGTTCACGAGATCGGGCACCTGTGTGTATTATGTTAGTTGATACAGTTCACGAGATCGGGCACCTGTATGTATTATGTTAGTTGATACAGTTCACGAGATCGGGCACCTGTATGTATTATGTTAGTTGATACAGTTCACGAGATCGGGCACCTGTATGTATTATGTTAGTTGATACAGTTCACGAGATCGGGCACCTGTATGTATTATGTCAGTTGATACAGTTCACAAGATCGGGCACCTGTATGTATTATGTTAGTTGATACAGTTCAAGAGATCGGGCACCTGTCTGTATTATGTTAGTTGATACAGTTCACGAGATCCACACCTGTATGTATTATGTGAGTTGATACAGTTCACGAGATCGGGCACCTGTATGTATTATGTCAGTTGATACAGTTTTCGAGATCGGGCACCTGTATGTATTATGTTAGTTGATACAGTTCACGTGATGGGGTACCCGTTTGTATTATTTTAGATGATACTGTTCACAAGATCGGGCACCTGCATGTATAATGTTAGTTGATACAGTGCACGAGATTGGGCACCTGTATGTGTTATGTTAGTTGATACAGTCCATGAGATCGGGCACCTGTTTATATTATATCAGTTGATACAGTTCACGAGATCGGGCACCTGTATACATTATGTAAAGGCTCAGTTCCGTTTCTCATGATAACATCTTTGTTAAAAGAGGCTGGTTCCACCTTGACCAATGGAAAAACCGGGGTAGGGTCAAAGTACAAACGATAGATTCTGAGGTAGGGTTGTGGACAATTACCAACTTGAGGGACGCTACTGACAAAAATGTATAAGTATTGTGTTTCGATATTCGTAATGTGTGATGATTGTGTTAAACAACAACTTTGGTAATGTTGCGTCCCCGGGGAGAGTCAAGGTCAAGGGTCAAGAGTGAGAGAAAGTGAATGAATGTTGTTAAACTATATCACGGCTTCCCGTAATAACTATCTCTGGAACAGACAGATCATCAGCAACAATCCGATATTGTCCGACCCATACCACAAGCATGACATACTGGAGACTGATTTTACTCGCATTACCATAGGTTATCGTGGGAAAAGTCTACAAATATAATGTGAAATCAGTACTGACTCACTTTAATTTAACTGGACGTAAGGCATTTTATCTTAGTATTGGGGGTACTGGTATCCCAGTAGTCTAAAGCGCCAAACATCGCTGTACAGAGTTGCTTCCCTTAGGCAGGCCACAAACCAGTGAGCGTGAGTTCGGATCCCACGTTCGCCCTGATTTTGTTTCTAGGTTTGTCAGCACCTTACCCCTGGGCACATGTGGTAAATATCTAAAACCTGCATCACTAAGGGCTTTCCTCTCACATCAAGCTGACACGCAGTAATATAACGGAAAAAAATGGGGGTAATGGACGTCGAGTTAACGAATCCGTTGCACTACATGCTACGACGGTCGTAAATGATATACTTTCACATTAATCAACTGCGTTATAGCATTGTGAAGGCCCTGTTCCTTTTTGTCAGTGTTGGCAGCCTCCGTGGTCTAGTGGTAGAGCGTCCGCCCGGCGAGCGGAAGGTCGGGGGTTCGATCCCAAGCCGCGTCATACCAAAAGACTTTGAAAGATGGTAATTATTGTTACCCTGCTTGGCGCCCGGGATTAAGGGGCTAAAACAAGGAATGGTCGGCTCGGAGTCAGTATACTGTGTCTGAATAGGGTATTCATGTTAAACCGCAGCATGGTATCTCAGTGCACTATAAATCGGCATCGGTCCGGACTAGTACAAGCAGCCACACACACACACACATGCATGCATATATGGACGCTATGTTAGTGCAATAATCTTGGACGCAACGTCAAACCCCATATCACATCACCTCACTTCTGGTTATATCCATCCATGGGGACACGGGTGGCCCAGTCGTCTAAGGCGCCGCGATTCGCTGGTTCGAATCCCGGTTCGACCTGATTATGTTTCTAGGTTTGTCAGCACCATACCCGTGCTCGTGGGTTTCAGCGAAGTGGTAAACTTCTAAGACCTGCACCACTTCGGGCTTTCCTCCCACATTAAGGTGACACGCCGTGATATAACTGGAATACTGTTAAAAGCCGTGTTAAACCCAACTCACTCACTTATATCCATCCATATTGCCCGCAGACTGGGTTCACATCACGACGGCGAGGGTAACAGCAAGGCTTGTTCCAGCAAATCCGGCTACGTGATGAGCTACCAGAGGGACAACGCCTTCAACTTCAGCCGCTTCTCGGACTGCTCCAAGACCAGCATCAAACACTTCCTGAGCAGGTGCAGTATCCCCTTAGGTTACCGCGTACCCTTAACTCTCCATCGTTTTCTTGTCACAATGGTTATGTCCCGAAGGTAATCTATAAGGAAACACATGCATATGTAATCATACCTCGGGAACAGCATCCCTTAACTACCCCGAACATGGTTATTTGAGTATGACATTTAAGTCATGTCTTAAACGTCACTTTTTCATTTTTCTTTTTACGAATACGACTGACTGTTAAAAAAAGCCACAAATGGAAATTACATTTAAAATGTTATATTCCGCCCGCTTTATCTTAAAAAATACAAACGGTACAACTACAAATGTGAAATAGTTACCTGTTTACCTAATACTTTATCATTGTTTATTATTGATCTCTGGCCCCTGTAAACACAACCACAAAGTTCAATAATTATAATTCATTCAGAATATAGGCCTCTCAGCTCATAATTCTCAATACAAGCAGTTTATGTGATAAATAATTATACATTATCGTAATTTCCCCACACAGCACGTGGTACTTCCAGTGTACACGTGGTGGCAGGATGTAATGTATGCCTGACTTATCCCACCCACCACGTGGTACTTCCAGTGTACACGTGGTGGCAGGGTGTAATGTTCGCCTGACTTATCCCACCCACCACGTGGTACTTCCAGTGTACACATTGTGACAGGGTGTAATGTATGCTTGACTTATCTCACCCACCACGTAGTACTTCCAGTGTACACATTGTGACAGGGTGTAATGTATGCTTGACTTATCTCACCCACCACGTGGTACTCCCAGTGTACACGTGGTGGCAGGGTGTAATGTATGCTTGACTTATCCCACCCACCACGTGATACTCCCAGTGTACATATGGTGACAGGGTGTAATGTATCCTTGAGTTATCCCCACACAGCACGTGGTACTTCCAGTGTACACATGGTGACAGGGTGTAATGTATGCCTGACTTATCCCACCCACCACGTGGTACTCCCAGTGTACACATGGTGACAGGGTGTAATGTATGCCTGACTTATCCCACCCACCACGTGGTACTCCCAGTGTACACATGGTGACAGGGTGTAATGTATGCTTGACTTATCTCACCCACCACGTGGTACTCCCAGTGTACACATGGCGACAGGGTGTAATGTATGCCTGACTTATCCCCTCACAGCACGTGGTACTTGCAGTGTACACATTGTGACAGGGTGTAATGTATGCTTGACGTATCCCACCCACTACGTGGTACTTCCAGTGTACACATGATGACAGGGTGTAATGTATTCTTGACTTATCCCACACAGCACGTGGTACTCCCAGTGTACACATGATGACAGGGTGTAATGTATTCTTGACTTATCCCACACAGCACGTGGTACTCCCAGTGTACACGTGGTGGCAGGGTGTAATGTATGCCTGACTTATCCCACCCACCACGTGGTACTCCCAGTGTACACATGGCGACAGGGTGTAATGTATGCCTGACTTTTCTCTCACAACACGTGGTACTCCCAGTGTACACATTGTGACAGGGTGTAATGTATGCTTGACTTATCTCACCCACCACGTGGTACTTCCAGTGTACACATTGTGACAGGGTGTAATGTATGCTTGACTTATCTCACCCACTACGTGGTACTTCAGTGTACACGTGGTGGCAGGGTGTAATGTATGCTTGACTTATCCCAACACAGCACGTGGTACTTCCAGTGTACACATTGTGACAGGGTGTAATGTATGCCTGACTTATCCCACCCACCACGTGGTACTCCCAGTGTACACGTGGTGGCAGGGTGTAATGTATGCCTGACTTATCCCACCCACCACGTGGTACTCCCAGTGCACACATGGTGACAGGGTGTAATGTATGCTTGACTTATCCCAACACAGCCCGTGGTACTTCCAGTGTACACATTGTGACAGGGTGTAATGTATGCTTGACTTATCTCACCCACTACGTGGTACTTCCAGTGTACACGTGGTGGCAGGGTGTAATGTATGCTTGACTTATCCCAACACAGCACGTGGTACTTCCAGTGTACACATTGTGACAGGGTGTAATGTATGCCTGACTTATCCCCTCACAGCACGTGGTACTCCCAGTGTCTGCGGGAGACGTCCAGTGACGGGTACGACTTCCCCAGCACGCTGCCAGGACAGTACATGACCATCGAGGACCAGTGTCGCTACTACGTGGACGGGACGCCATGCTCAGTATGTATATCCTAACTCAAACAAACGCTTAAATGCACATTGTCAATGCGACGCCTGTCATGTAAATCCAATACTTGAGTAACTCCCGGAAAACGAGTTTAGCTGACATCTATCTCGAATAACGACCCACCTTTGGATAAAGTGTTCGTCAATATTAAGTCTCAGGTTCGATTCTCTTCATGTAAACCCATTCTTACTGTCCCCGACCATGATGATGCTAACATATGTCTTAAAGCGAGGTATGTATTGTCGTCACTGTGATAGTGATCCATCCTCTACATGCTTTTACCCGTGGTTATAATATTATTAGTAAATGTGTTATTTTCTCCTGTACATATTTTATATGTTTAATATCATATATTTTCTTTTTTTCACATTTTACTTCTAATCAGCTGTGCAAAATGAATTTCCCCCGGGATAATAAATTCTGTTCTGCTGTGCTTTGCTGTGCTCTGTTCTGTACTGTTGATCTGGCTAATGTTAGCCTGCCTATTGCAACGGTGTAGTATATCACGTGTACCTACAGGAGAGGGCCTACCCGCTGTCAGAGCGATGTGAGCGGCTATGCTGTGAGGCCAAAGGTTACAGGATCAAGCGGCGGGAACCGGCTGTAGATGGCACGGACTGCGGAGGAGACAATGTGAGGATTTTTAATATCTTACAATCTCCATATTTCTTGGAATTGACTTTGTTAATAAGCATTCTTGTTCCTTGTCTGGAAGTTAAAGTCAGTCCCTGCTGTGGTAATCACAGTAAATGCAGTAGAACCATCAAAATTTGAAATCTGTGCGGCCCTCGTTTGGATTTCCGTGTCAGAATAGGTCCACAGCAATCTCTGCTGGATAGATCGGGTGGTCAGACTCGGCGACTTGGTTGATTGCGTGTCATCATACCCCGACGGCGTGGAAAGTTGCTCATAATATCAATCTATGGTTTGTCTGGCTCAGACACGATTATTTACAGGACGCTATCATATAGTTGGAGACCCGTGAAGATCCGGGGTAGAATAGGTCTTCACCAACCAATGCTTGTCGTAAGAGGCGACCATGCTTGTCGTAAGAGGCGACCAGTTGGCAGTTTAAAACCGTGGCATAAGGGTTTTAAATGTCATAAAATTCCGAGGGGAAGTGTTTTATCTAACTTATAAAGAAACGTTTTACATTTATCAACCTTTTTTATGTTTCAAACATACTTTCCACGAACCTTAGGAAACGGACGTAAAATATCTGTTGCTGGCGTATGACATTCTTAAAAGCATTGTGATTTATCGCATGGGTACACTCACTGGGCTACAGATACTAAGGTTGCGTGTTCGATCCTCGAGAATATAAAGAAAACATTTGTCATTTGATTGTACATTTCATTACATTGTGTTCAAAAGCAAAATAAATTTCTAGCGAGAAACATTAATATGTTACAATCATAGGAAGTTGTATTCATTAATTTCCCTGCATATTATGTAAAATCCCGGGGATATTATAACATCTCTGTATATGAGATTTAACCTGACTGGAGAGCAATAGGATGACGTCACTGGAGGTTTATAAGCCGAGGTATCCCTATTTAGAGATGAGCGGGGAGCCGATTAAGTCCCCAATGTCGCTAGGCCTTCTGCGAGGAACGTCTTAAAGATAAATGGGGTTAATGGACGTCGAGTTAACAAATCCGGTGCACTAAATTCTACGACAGTCGTAAGTGATATACTTTCACATTAATCAACTGCGTTATAGCATAGTGAAGGTCCTCTTCCTTATTGCCAGAGTTGGCAGCCTCCGTGGTCTAGTGGTAGAGCGTCCGCCCGGCGAGCGGAAGGTCAGGGGTTCGATCCCAAGCCGCGTCATACCAAAAGACTTTGAAAGATGGTATTTGTTGTTATCCTGCCTGGCGTTCGGCATTAATGGGCTAAAACAAGGACTGGTTGGCTCGGAGTTAGTATACTGTGTCTGAGTTGGGTATACATGGTAAAATGCGGAACGTACCTCAGTGGGCTAGCTCTATGAAATTGACATTCTCCCGGAAAAGTACAAGCAGCCACACACACACGCACTATATACAGTGAACTTACGTTTAAAACGAACACACTTATAACGAACTGAACGATATAACGAACCTATTTCTGAGTCCCGGCCATTTGTTGTATATATGCTTATAACGAACTACGGTTATTACGAACTACAATTAGTGGCCCCTTTGAGTTCGTTATAACCGTAGTTTACTGTATTAGTGCAATAATCTTAAACGCGACGTTAAACCCAATTTCATCTCACCTCAACTATTGCCATACAGAGCAATATCGGCTGATCATGCGGTAACGGCCAAGTTTTGACAGAAGGAACACAGGTCGCTTGTGGTGGAATAGATCGTCAAGCTATACACCCGGGTTCCATTCCGACTATGAGTAGATTATTAAATGCAATACATGTATGATGAAGACATTTTGATCTTCATCAGCTAAAATCTACTTTGTCTTTCTTACTAGCACAGAGCTGTTTTCCATATTTCTTCTTTATATGTGTGTGTAACTGCAGAACGTCTTGCTTTTTTTCTCAGGTCATAACTCCATTCTCATTAGGGGCGGCCGGGTAGCCTAGTGGTTAAAGCGTTCGCTCGTCACGCCAAAGACCCGGGTTCGATTCCCGATAAGGGTACAATGTGTGAAACCCATTTCTGGTGTCCCCCGCCGTGATATTGCTGGAATATTGCTAAAAGCGGCGTAAAACCATACTCACTCACTCACTCGCCCCATTCTTCTTAAATCAGTCTATTGGCTGTTTGCATTTAAGAACAGAACATGGTTCTTCAGAAATGTTTTCACTGGTCCTGTGTTTCAGGTGTGTTACAATGGGGAGTGCGTACCGAAGACTGACATAAGGCCTTAATGGCTGGAGATTGCTATACACAAGAAAAGAAGAAGAAAAATCATTAGCTGTACGGTTAATTCTTTCATAAAAATGAATATTTAAAGGCATATTTGCTTATGTTCGCTTATTTCTAGTACCTGTGATTTGTATATTTGTATTTACCTGTTCCAATTATCTTAAAAATGCAGTTATTATTAATACAATCAAAATATTTCATTTTAATGATATTACTGTAATACTATTTACGTGACCTATACATAGATATTTGTTTAGTTTGGCCACACATTATCGAAAATGAGAACATTGTAAATTAAAGATATATTAAGTCATAGATCAAGAGATTTTTTATTGATATTGTCCTTCATGATTCCCCAAATATTTTCAATTGGGTTCCGGTCCAGACTGTAGCTGGACCATTCCAGGAGTGTAACATTAAACCATTGAACCATTTCTGAGAATGCTTTAATTTTCTCTATGTTTTGGATCATTGTCCTTCTGAAATACCCATCAATCAACATACAAGATGTGTGCTGTTGGAAGGAGATGTCCTTGTATAATATCACTGTATATTTTACTGGTCATGTTACATTCCAACACCTGTTTCTGTACCTTTGGTCCACATTTTTAAGCAGATTGCATTTAGACACAATGAGCTTTCATCTGAGAACATAACATTGTCCCTACTGAAATTTCTATTCTCCAAACTCCAGTTCAAACGTCGCTCAGGTTTTAGAAATGGTGATGGAATTCCTCGTGATTTCTGCTATTCCATTGCATGCAAATGCGTTCTTATTGTCTCTTTAGAAACATGAACTGTTCTCCTAGTAATCATTTCATGCCTAATATTTTCTATGCTATGCGCCTGTTTTTAGACGCTAATTTACCAAGTCTTTCTATGGCCTACCTGCTCCCTTTTTGTGCTCAATTCCATTTACACTATCATTATTCTTCAAAACACAGTACACAGTTGATAGTGGAATGTATGTTCTCTCTGTAATGACGTGTGTGCTGATAAGTCCTTGATTGTATAATACAAATTGTTATATACTTTAGTGTGACATACTGAGTTTTCCAAAGTTGAGAAAGGAGATATTTTCATTGCAGTGAACATTACACATGATATTTCATTACTGTGAACATAACACTTTCACGGAACTTTTGTCATACAAGAGTTACCTTCCCCCCAAATTGTCTCCCTTTCTCGTAAGTGTCTGGCCCTTACAAAAACTGTCGACTTCCTTTATATGTTCGTTCCACATTGACAAGGCCAAACGATGACAGATAGCCATTTATGGAGTTTAAATCGCTCCCGGCCGTTTGTTATTCTCTTGAAATACTTCGAGATAAACTGTAAAGTTTTCATATAACTCGTCAATCGAGAGTGTTCGTTTCGCAAAGCGCCATTTTTGTTACTTGACCAGCGTGTATTCTTTCGCTTCCAACAGCGGTGTCGTAGTTTTCAAGATTATTTTTGGTTAAAGTTGATTTTGTATTTAATCTATCTATATGTATGATACAGAATTTTCGTACCCTGAATATTGTTTGATACTTTGCTTTATATTTTAAAGATTTTGCAAACACGAAACTACTTTTTTAGTCGCAAATACACGGGGTTGTGAACCGTCCGTGTGTTAGGTAGGTAGAATTAACGTTTCAAGGTTTTACATTTGTAATGAAATAATTTAATTATCCTGTAGACAACTACACAAAAAGTATATAATAAATAGGATTTTACATGTGTCTCGTGAAATATGTTTCTCTCATCTCGTTTCCCCACTCGTGAAAATATATCCTTTCACCCGTCAATCGATGAGAGAAACGTGATACTTCAGTCGACGCATGAAATGTCGCTAATATATTCTTTCTTTTTTCCCGAAAGCTGCCATTTCCAGTGGTCTTGTTTGCCGTCTTCAAGCTTGTCAAACTCCTCACAGCGATATCCCGTTCGCAGAGCTCTCTATACCGCGAGTGTAACGAAGGTGTCACGTGCTGGGGAGGAGCTTGCCAGCTTATTTTCCAAGGGAGACAACTCTGGTCATACTTTATATACATGACAAGCGGAGTTGTCTCCCTTGAATCAAAGTCAGAATAATTTCTTCACAAACCTTTGATCTAGTTAATATTGAAGCCGTAATGGTTTAAAAATTCTCAATAATTTCTGGTCAACCTATTACCTTTCTTTAACCGAGACTGACAGTCGATTATTGAGCAGGGAACATCCCATGATTGTTGTACTTCTTGAGAAGTGTGCACCAACAATATCACCTGACAAGAGTCCTTGTAATCTTTGTGAACAGTTAGCTGTGTTCACGTAAGTTTCATCACAGCAGTAAATAGTCTGGTAAACTGGTATGTTTTAATAAATTTTAATGATGTTTGTTTGTTTATTGTTTAACACCACACTCAGCAATATTCCAACTACATGAGGGCGGTCTGTACATAATCGAGTCTAGACCAGACATCCAGTGATTGACATCATGAGCATCGATCTACGCAGTTGGGATCTGTGACATGCATCAACCAAGTCAGCGAGCCTGACCACCCGATCCCGTTAGTTGCCTCTTACGGCAAGCATGGGTGGCTGAAGAACAGCCCAGTGGCAGACCACAGTTTGAAGTGTGTTCAGGTGTGTTGCATGTGTCAACACTGAAACAGATAACCATGTGGAAACACACCCAAGAAAAAGAAAACACTGATGTTGAAGACAAGTTTTAATGTGATGCTGTACATACTCATACAATGTGCTTCTGAGTTCTTTCATACAAAGTCATTTCTCCTGCCACAACCTCCATTTTCACACACTATTACTCTTGTTCTGACTCTGAGGCCCATAGCAGGGGCCCAATACAATACATGTTTATGTTTTTTTGTCACTAAAGATAAATTGTTTGTCCAGACATTTTCTTTCAGTGATTGGCTCTTGATTTTAAAATACTGCCAAAAGATGTCACTGTAAAGATTATCATTGTTAATATCATTCTTGATGTTCACCATGAAGGTGCTTGACAATCAATACTATTGATCCTTGTGATCAATATGCACATCCTTCTTCAGGAATATGACAAGTTGTATTAATCAATCTGAAGATTGTTTCTCAATAAGAACATCCTTGATGATCAAATGACATCTTTGATGATCAAATGTGACCACCCTTGATCAAATAAGAACATCCTTGATCAAATGAGAACATCCTTGATGATCAAATGACATCTTTGATGATCAAATGTGACCACCCTTGATCAAATAAGAACATCCTTGATCAAATGAGAACATCCTTGATGATCAAATGACATCTTTGATGATCAAATGTGACCACCCTTGATCAAATAAGAACATCCTTGATCAAATGAGAACATCCTTGATGATCAAATGACATCTTTGATGATCAAAAGAGAAAATGCTTTAGGATCAAATGAGAACACCCTGATAAAACGATAACACCCTTGATCAAACGAGAACACCCTTAATGATCAAAAGAAAACATCCTTGATGATCAAATAAGATCATCCTCTATTATCAAGTAACATCCTCAATTATCAAATGAGAACATCCTCAACGATCAATAGGGCACCCTGGATCGAAATGACCACTTGATCAACAGGAACACATGATTGATGATCAGTATTAAATAACCTGGGTTACTAGTATGGATTACCTTGCTGGTGTACATGTCATGCTGTTTCATACAAGTTAGCAATGATGGTTATTAAACAACAATGTCTCGCCTCCGATTACACATTTGATTTTCACTTGCAAACAATCATCAAGTGTTTATTCAATTTGACACCAATGCTGGTGTAAACATGAGTATTGAATTAGGTTCCTCCTACCTTCAACATAGAGAGATTCAGAGACATTTGTGAGCAAACATCTACATCACCAGTCCACTGGCAGTGTAATCCAGTCAAAGAAAACAGGTTCATTAATACCAATCGGTTATAACATGAAGTCTTGGATAGGCATTATAACAAATAATACAATCATGAGACTAAATACATCTTGTTTCATAAATGAATGACCCAGCTAAAAAATGGTGTGAATTTGTTTGAAGGGTTGAGAATTGAAGTTGGGCTATCTATAGAATCCCAACATTAACTTTACCGAAATGCAGATACACTGTTTTTGTAGTCAATGCTAAGACAACTGTACCTCTGAAAACTCGACTGAAAACTGAGAAATCAATAATTTGGAAAGAAGGGGGTGAATGTTTTGCCAGGTTGATACTTGAAATCAGCTACTGGATATTTCTGTTTTATTCAATTATCTGAAATAAACATCTTTTATGGTTCAGATGGATGTCGTTGATATGATTATTCAAATAAGAACACCCTCAATCATCAATAAGTTCCTTAATGATCAAAATGAACACTTGATGATCAGGAAGAACACTTGATGATCAGTGAGAACATTCTTGATCAATGAGATCATCTACACGTCCAACATGTGGGCAACAGTCTCACTGCTATTTCTCATTCTGTATAACAGGGTTAGTCATCCTCGATTATCCAGTGTCCAGTGTCTCCATCCTGTTACAATAAAGTCCCTGGACCCAGTGGCTGCCCTGGCTTCATTGTGAGCGCAATCGGAATGGAAATAAACTAAAACCAGCAATCGAGTCCAATAACTGCATCTTCCCGAGGCAAGAGAGTTAACTGACTACATGTATATAAGTCCAGTTTCCACCCTTGCTGAAATAGTCATTATGGTATTATGGAGTTACATTTTCACTGGACTAACGAGTCTATGCATAGTCCAATCAAAATCTTGCAACAAAATCGAAATCCGGTTCATAAACTGTCATGCAGATTTCGGTCAATTACAGGATTTGTAAAGCATGTGCACGCCAACTTGTCGACAGATATTTTCCACATCTATTCAAATTTTTAATGAATGTGCTCACGGGATTTGATGCACTTCATGATGTAAGACCTGTTTATATATATATATATATATATATATATATATTGATTATCGATCACATTGTCTTGACTGGGCGCCGCCATTTTGTTTGAAGCAAATGCAAGTGATACGAGAGGTGGCATCTGATTGGTCCATAGGAGAGGCTTAGAAGGGACATAACTTGTAATAGCCACTGTGGTGCTGCGATCGAGCCCAGGAATTCCAGCCTAGTTCGTCAAGGGTGGAAACTGGACTTTTAACGTCAATTAACTCCCTTACCTCGAGAAGATGCAGTTATTGGACTCGATGGCTGGTTTTAGTTTAACTGGGATGAGTGATAAAACAATGTGCCATGTTACTGACAAGGAGAGATGGAGATAACATCATCACCATAGAAACAAAGATCTGAGGTCAAATGGGTCCATGTTAGTATCATAACAGAAAGAACATACACACTGGATAATGGAGATTGTAAAAGTAGTCTCATGGAGTCGGGGGAGACAGGGAGCCTTGAGAAAGGTTTATTCTGTTGGTAGAAATTATCTTTACTGACCTTTACATCTTCTCCCAAAGAGTCTTCAACTCATTGTACAAGGCATTTAGTAGGAACTGTACTAGTTCCCTAACCACTGAAAGAGAAGGACTGCCCCATGACGTGACCCCTTCTTCACCAATCTACTTCAGTTTCTGTGAACTGTCAGTGACGGAATGGAAAATACTTTTTAGTCCTCAAAACAATGAAAGCCCACTTCCACTCTCAAATTTGCATGATTCAAATCAACTTTGTGGTACCTGCCACATTTCTGGGATGCAAAACTATAGCACTGTTATCCCACACGTTTCACACCAAATTAGGGAACACGCTCCTCTACATGTCGTATATCTCACACACAGGAACACTTCAGGAACCACACACACGTCTCACACAATATCAACACAAAATATACATATCACATTATTATCAAGGGAAAATGTAGCATCCTGTATGACGAGTCATACATAACAATCAACATCAGTGATACAAAGGGAGATAACCATGGTAATGCACAGTGTCATATCAACATAATGGCTAATATGTATACTACTCAAAAGAAGTTAAAGAATACCCAATTCTTTCATATCACTAAAGTGAGTGAGTGAGTTACACCAGTTTCAGCAATATTCCAGCATTTCACGGCGGGGTGACACCAGAAATGGGCTTCACACATTGTACCCATGTTGGGAATCGAACCCGGGTCTTTGGTGTGATGAGCGAACGCTTTAACCACTAGGCTACCCGACCGCCCCTTATATCACTAAACATAATCTGCCACGGCATGAGTCAGTGAGTGAGTATGGTTTTACGCCACTTTTAGCAATATTCCAGCAATATCACGGCGGGGGACACCAGAAATGGGCTTCACACATTGTACCCATGTCGGGAATCGAACCCGGGTCTTCGGCGTGACGAGCGAACGCTTTAACCACTAGGCTACCCGAACGACCCTGTCACGGCATGACAAGTGAGTGAGTATGGTTTTACGCCGCTTTTAGCACACTTGGGTCTTCGGCGTACATGGCATGACAAAATAACTATAGTAATATGAAAGAATTGGTGGTTCTTAACTTCTTTTGAGTAGTATAATATTGATAAGTTTTAAGCTTATCCAAACATGTTCAATATAGGAATGAAGTAGCAGGATAGGAACCAATACAAATTATTCATAGAGAAACAAACTATTCAGAGTTATGTTACACAAAAGATGATAGGGGTCATCACTCTGTCCAGATCCACCATTGCAGCAAGCCATGCACTCATGACCAAGCAAGCACAGAGGACTGCTCTCATTCTTTAGATTACATGTACCCTGGGTACATGAAAATGATCATCTGAAATATTCTGTGGACAGCCAATGGTGTTTGTATCACATACCTTATTCGATGTAATAAGTGCCCGACTCTAATAAGCGCCCACGGCGATATTTGCTAATATATTGGCAAGTGAACAATCCCAATTAGCACCCCTTCCGACTGATCAATGTACACTTATTTATTTGTGTATAATACGCACTCATGTGTTATATGCACCCTAATTATGTTAATTATGGGCAATTAAATTCTGGAAAATAAATCTGTCGTGTATAATACGCACAGACTTTTCTTTTGTATCATTTCAGGCTGTCAGCGTAAACCATGAAATGAATTTCAACTGGTTTTTTTCTCACAAAATTATATTCTTATAAGAGACCCCATTTCTAATTTTGGGAGCACCCTGGGAGCTTATTACGTCGAATATGGTATATGAAATGCACATACATTGTTAGAATGATGTACACTTGGTGTTTAATATATCATGGGACTGTATACAGCATTACCTCATCACAATGCATATGAGGCATTATAAAAGGTTATACTGTACAAAAATTACAATTTTCAAAATTGTCGGCTTTTGTTTCCAGATTGATACACTTTACCTTGTGAAACCAGACCAGTTCAACAAAAATCTCATTAAAATCTAAAAGTTCTCGCTACTGCTAAACAAAGATCTGAGAGCATCCCATTACAGGTCAAGTCAGAACAACTTTTCGCGAACATTGTCCGACCAATTGAATGACTAACATAGTCGACAATAGCCAATCAGAAGGCAGCTTAATCAAGCTTTTCGGCACAATTTCAAACTGGCGACTATGCTTCAAAACATATTTTGACATATACTCGATTAAAAAATTAAAAACTGAAGAAAGAACATTCTGATATGGCTAAATGATGGTCTAGATTGTATGAATACAGACATAAAGCCCATTACTGTCGTTAGGAATACCCTGTGTGTTTTTCAAGGTTGCACGATCAAAAATTACATTCCAACTGTCACTTTCATGATCTGATAAGCGATGCTCTGATTGGTCAGATGAAAGGTCGTTCTGACATGACCCGCAATGGTATGTCCTCAGATCTTTGTTTAGCGGTAGCGAGAACTAAGATCTGATTTTAATGAGATTGGTTCAACAACAGAATGTCGCATCCTGAAGATGCCTCCAGAGACGAGGAAGTAAACACAACCTTCAGGACACTGGGAAGAAATTCGGGAAAGTATTTTTAAAACTCTTTTCACCACTATTGCCAGGCCAGCTGGAGATACAACAATTAATATTTTGCAAATTGAAATCAGTGCGAGATCCACAGAACAAGGAATGGAGTTGGTCAGTAGGGCTGGGACAAGTCCGAAGTTGCTACCCTCCTCCCTTTTACCCGACCCTACCCGGGTACCGTCCACCCTATTACTCGACCCTACCTGGGTATCCCCCACCCTATAACCCGACCCTCCCCGGGTTCCCCTTCACCCTATTGCCTGACCCTACCCAGGTACCATCCACCCTATTACCCGACCCTACCCAGGTACCCTCCACTCTATTACCCGACCCTACCCAGGTACCATCCACCCTATTACCCGACCCTACCCGGGGACCCTCCACCCTATTACCCGACCCTACCCAGGTACCCTCCACTCTATTACCCGACCCTACCCAGGTACCATCCACCCTATTACCCTACCCTACCCGGGGACCCCCCACCCTTTTACATGACCCTACCTGGGTACCCCCACCCTATTACCCGACCCTACCCGGGTACCCACCACCCTATTACCCGACCCTACCCGGGTACCCACCACCCTATAACCCGACCCTACCTGGGTACCCGTTGTAGTTTATATTTAGAGATAGGTACAAACTGTCCGATTTGGAAAAGTTTGACCGTAGCCCTGGCAAGGAAAATGTATTTAGATACACATGTAAAACGATCTGGTCATGCATACACTGTTTACTGCATGAAGTTTTATCTTTATTCAAACATATAAAAGTCAGAAGGAATGGGTGCATTGTCAGGAAGAAAGGGGATCATTAGTGACTTACAGTTTAACCATAGAGTTTTAGATAATTTTTGACCTTAAGCAATATATCACGTGACTAACCACGGGTGCGGGTAGTCCTGTGGGTACCCAGGTCCTTCTCAGGACCCACCCGACCCGATTATCTCAGTTACCCGTCCCAGCCCTATTGGTCATATCTTCAAACATGATTTTCATAGGAAGGACCAACTTAATACCTTGTCTTTTAAAGGTCTACATACTTAAAGGCAGGCAGAAAAAACAAACTAAATTGTCAATCAAACAGAAATAACAAAGTGTAGGGTATATACATTCCCAGAAAAAGAAGGTCTGGCCTGAAAGTTCATTTTTCAAAAGAATACATGCCAGTGTTAAAGGCATATGGTTATGTTTTTCCACTTCTGCAGTTTGTACACATGGCTGGTGATGAAAATATAATTACTGAAATGTGATGACAGTTATGATATAAAAACTGTTGTAATACTAAACACTCCAAAAAGCAATATCTGAAAAAAAATGTGATCCATGAACTGGATGTGATGACCAGAGAGGTGATCACCACTTGAATGACCTCCCTCTAAAGTCAGCGATGTACCCTTAGACATGAAGACAATCTGGATTACCCTGTAGGCTAGGTGGGAGATTATAACATACAGGTTATAACAAACTGTCCATATATACAGTAGCAGCCAGTGCCAATATATCATGACATCAATTGTAACTATGTAACAGGTGTGGGATGCCAGGGTTAGAAACTAACAGTTTTTGTCCACTAGTCCTTATAATGATTACATATAGCAAAACCCTTAAAATAGGCCAATTTCTACTAGTCCATAGGATACCTTTACTATTGGGCAGATTTGTAAGGACTACAGGACTAGTGCCAATTTCTAACGCTGGATCATCATACAAAGTTATAACTTCCTGCTGGGTTTGTGATAACAGTGGAAAAGATGATGACAACTTCACAAAAAACAAACATTTGGTTTGGTATAAAAAATAACAAACACACAGAACAACCCAAACCTTTTTAACTTGGACTTTTGATTTTGATAACAGTGTATGGATTAAGTACATCGTTAATGCTGGAATCTATCTGAACAAGTGATTCTAAGAGTGAGTGAGTGAGTATGGTTTTACGCCGCTTTTAGCAATATTCCAGCTACATCACGGCAGGGGACACCAGAAATGGGCTTCACACATTGTACCCATGTCGGGAATCGACCCCGGTCTTCGGCGTGACGAGCGAAAGCTTTAACCACTAGGCTACCCAACCGCCCCAGTGATTCTAAGAACTATGTTTGACCATGGAAGGGATCTACATATGAAGGCTTGTTTAACCCTGTGGAAACCCTACTTCCAGACAGTTATTGTCTGTACCGGTATTTAAATTCAGGGATATTACCCCTGACTTGTTCGTACAGAAATGTGGATATCAATGGGAACAATTTTGTCTGAACTGACACGATTTCACTGTACCATGATTTAAATAATACATTTGACCTCCAAAAAACTCAATACCCGAAAGCTAAGTAACATTTAGAAGGTCATCGGTGCTAGCACAGTGAACATCCGCTAATAATGTAGATACAATACGATCTAACCCTCAATGTGTTGTTTCCAGATAGATGACTTTCCCATCCTTGAATAAATGGTGCATATTAAGAGGATGAATGTCAACATGGAAATAGTGCCTTATTGTATGAGATGCTACAACACTTTGATGATATCATCACATGCTCACTATTAGATCATACTTCATTGCAATACATATGGTAGAATAAATATAGTACTTTCAGTGGGTGAATTGAGTTTCTCACTGCTTTGAACAGTATTTCAGTTGTAACAATATCATCGAAGTGAGTGAATGAGTGAGTATGGTTTTACGCCGCTTTTAGCAATATTCCAGCAATATCACGGCGGGGGACACCAGAAATGGGCTTCACAAATTGTACCCATGTTGGGAATCGAACCCGGGTCTTTTGCGTGACGAGCTAACGCTTTAACCACTAGGCTACCCGACCGCCTCCAACATCATCGAAAGTCAACTCTGGGAGGAAAGCCTGAAGTGCCTCTTAGACCTCTTTACACCTTTGGTGAAAACCAAGCTGAGGGTCTGGTACTGAAAGACCAAGGACCACGTAGGGTGTATTTGTAGCCACACACAGCAAGATCAAACAATAGTATCATTGTTAATATTTCAAAGAATATTACCTCTATTACATCACAGCCATAAATCCTCACACAATAATATCTTCAGATTTTCAACAGAAGTCCTCTTCTGTCAACTATCTACAATCAGTTGTGCACGTAATACTATCTTGCTGCCTGTACCTCATGACCGAGGCGGTACTAATACAGTAGCAACAATAAAATCATTACTGATTGGGACTTTTGGCTATGATACATTTGCAAGAATTATGTCGGCTATATGATGTTGGGCTGTAAATAATCGATTCTTGACCAGACAATCCAATGATAAATATTAGCAACAATTATTAGGGTACAATAAGGTGCAAACTAGTCACCAAGACTAACCATCCTATCCAATAAGTTGCCTTTTATGACCAGCATATAATAGGGACCTATTTTAACCTGGAATCGCTCTGGATGATAGATCATAACAGGAAAGCAAATGTAGTATTTGTAATCCCTTTAACATTTTATTATCAACCAGTCCAGGGCCCCTTTCCACAAGGCAATCTTAGCGTAACTCCCATACTTTAACATAGGCGTACAGCAATCATAGCGCTAAGATCTCTTTGTGGAACAGTTTGTTGGTTTGTTGTTTAACGCCGCACTCAGCAATATTCCAGCTATATGACGGCGGTCTGTAAATTATCGAGTCTGGACCTGACAATCAAGTGATTAATATCATGAGCATCAATCCACACAATTGGGATCGATGACAATGCATCAACCTAGTCATTGAGCCTGACCACCCAATTCTGTGAGTCGCCTTTTAAGACAAGCATAGTCACCTTTTACAGCAAGCATGGGTTGCTGAAGACCTATTGTACCCCGGAATTGTTGAACGGGCCCCTGGTGTGGATTGGTGACAAGAAGAGCTAACAAGTAAAGATGAAGATGGTGAAAGGTATCTCATAGCATATACATTTTGCTTGTGTCTGGTGGAATGAAAACAGGCCACATGAAGACTGGGACACCTACTCGAGACAGACTGAGTATTTCACATACACCCCACGTATCGTTCTGAAACTGGAGGGAAGCCGAAAGAATCGCAAGTCATACCTTGGTGTTTTTACAACTTAAAAAAACCAACCAGGGATATATGGTGTATATACACCAAGAATCATAACCAGTAGATCCAGGCACTACTAAGGGACATAACTCTGCACAGCAAGGTGCAACGCCTTAGACCTGTGTCCTGATAAGGTGACAAGTTTACATCTAAATTAATGAACTTGTATGCTGCTCCTTTAATGACTTTCAGAATGTTGGTTGCTTGGCAACATATTGAATCAGCACATGGCATAATAAGCAGACATCCTCCACGTTTATCAGGGTTTATTAAACTCCCAGTGATAATTAAACCTGTCAAGATTGCCATAATTTCCTCCATCCATCATGTAATAAATCTTCATTATAAAATGTCAAAGCTAATTGGCAGAGAGTGGAGATATAAAACATGCGAAAATATTTCCTTCAGCGTGAAACATTCATATGCATTGAACGTGTTGAATACATTTGCTAAATACTGAAACATCAAATCAAGAATGTGTCAGGATGAATGAACATTTTTATGAACGAATGGTAGGCATCTGGATTAATAGCGGGTCAAGGTCATTTTGATATATTTCAAACATTTTCAATGAACTGCTCTTCATTGAGCAAATAATCATAATGACCCTATACGATGTGACTGTTATAAGTTATAACAACTTATAACATCACTTTATCAATGAACACTGCTTTATCATTTAACACCACTTTATCAGTTAATACCACTTTATCACAATAGGACGCATCAAGATGAAGCTCCACATAATGAGTGAGTGAGTGAGTGAGTGAGTGTGGTTTTACGCCGCTTTTAGCAATATTCCAGCAATATCACGGCGGGGGACACCAGAAATGGGCTTCACACATTGTACCCATGTCGGGAATCGAACCCGGGTCTTCGGCCTGACGAGCGAACGCTTTAACCACTAGGCTACCCGACCGCCCCGCTCCACATAATGAACCCATGTGGAATACTGGGATACTTCTAACTGAAAGGATGTGAGCAATGACTGAAAACCCACTTGGACGACCCAATCCCACCTTGGTCAGTATGTGAAACACCCTTGACTTTGCAGATTCAATGCGTCATTCATGCACACAAATTCACAGGCAGTCAAGAAACCTTGAAATCACCAAACGAAAACTAATTCCTCCATAAACAAACTAGAGCACAGATGGTGTCTATGAACATAATAACTGACCCCTTTGTCAGTGGGAATCCAACTTATAGTCAAGAATACAGAATACCCTCTTATCCATTGCAACATATTCATTCAGCAACTCAAGATGAGAAGTCTCTCTCCTCAAGGCAAACTAGTAACCATAGCAACCACATGTGTGACAGTATTTGAACATCTAGCGTATATCGGTCAATCATAGTGATATTAACAAACTTTAATAAGTAATAGCATTGTGTGCTTGGTTGAAGAACAAACGGTGCAAGACACCAGGTTATCAAAACTCTAGTAAGTATTTGATGGTATGATATAAATGGACATACTGAATGATATAGGGAAAGTGTCCCAGAGCTGAGTATTTATGCAGGGATCTGGAACAATTAAGAAGAAATTCTGAAGGGTTTGTGTCAATTTAACACTGACTTGGATAAACTAGGACTCATTGAATCATGATGAAAGAGCTTCACAAGCAAATGGAATAGGTCTTATGTGCTAACTTGTCTGCAGTTGACACTGATCCCTCAACAGATATAAAACAGTTAGCACTCTGTAGATTCACGTGATGTCTCAACGGTCTATGCCTTCCACTGATGCCGCAATGGTCTGTGCCTTCTACTGATGTCTGAATGGTCTTTGTCTTCCACTGATGTCTCAATGGTCTTTGCCTTCCACTGATGTCTCAATGGTCAGTGCCTTGACCTGATGTCTCAATGGTGTGTGCCTTCCACTGATGTCTCAATGGTCTGTGCCTTCCACCTGTGCCTCAATGGTGTGTGCCTTCCACTGATGTCTCAATGGTCTGTGCCTTCCACTGATGTCTCAATGGTCTGTGCCTTCCACCTGTGCCTCAATGGTGTGTGCCTTCCACTGATGCCTCAACGGTGTGTGCCTTCCACTGATGTCTCAATGGTCTGTGTCTTCCACTGATGTCTCAATGGTCTGTGCCTTCCACCTGTGCCTCAATGGTCTGTGTCTTCCACTGATGTCTCAATGGTCTGTGTCTTCCACTGATGTCTCAATGGTCTGTGCCTTCCACTGATGTCTCAAAGGTCTGTGCCTTCCATTAGTGTCTCAATGGTCTGTGCCTTACACTGATGTCTCAGTGGTCTGTGCCTTCCATGGATGTCTCAATGGTCTGTGCCTTCCACTGATGTCTCAGTGGTCAGTGCCTTGACCTGATGTCTCAATGGTACATGCCTTCCACTGATGGTCTGTACCTTCCTCTGATGCCTCAATGGTCTGTGCTTTTGACTAATGCCTCAACGGTCTGTGCCTTCCACTGATGTCTCAATGATATGTGCCTTCAATGGATGTCTCAATGGTCTCTGCCAGACTAAGCTGTGATTCTGATGTTCTTCAATGACTTGTTCTGTTGACCAATTTCCCCAATGACTTCTAACACTGACCAAACCCTCAGTGAACTGTATCTTTGATGGATCCATCAATAATGTCTATCTGATTCCTCTACAAACAAGTATATTTATTTGACAGACCAATCATTCCTCTGTATTTTTGACTGATCCCTCAATGACTTGTGCCATAGGCTGTTCTCTCAAAGATCCTTACTGACTGATCCTGCAATGATCTATATTATTTCCAGATCCTGGGTGATCCATACCTTTGCTTCATCCCTCAGTGATTTTGTGCAGTTAACTAAGCCCTGTAATGATTTATGCTGCTGACCAACTCCTTGCTGATCTATATAGATTTCGTCATTTGTGGTTGATTACTATTTCCTCTGTGATCTTCGCAGACCCCTCTACTGCCCAGACTGGTATCACTGTCAGCACGTGTCCTCTTCGCCGGCAGCATCTGCCTGGTGTTCTGCCAGGGCAGGGCGACGTAAAAAGGATCGGTGAAGAATGATTTTCTGACATCCGAAAGCACTTGCAAATGGGTACAGTTTGTCTCTCATGACAACAGTTTCCTTTGACAGTTTTTCCTTGTCATCAATTATCACTTGGATCATGTCATCGAAAGCACCAAGGCCTGATGGGTATCGAGTGTCACCCCCAGTGACAACAAGCAATCCCCTGTGTAAAAAAACACCAAAATTGTAACGGTCAAAATTGGGCATTTTTGCAACATTAAACACAGCACCATCTTCAAAGATTTTCATGACACTTCCGTTTGTTGTGCACACAAAGGCTTCATCCCCGTCACTTAATGCCCTGCTTTCGGTGATGGGAGTCGGGAACAGATGAACTATCGTTGCTGTTCCATTTGTCAGATTCATGGCTTGAACTTCTTGTGTGCGTCTGGAACCCATTCCACGTCCACCAAAAACAAACAGAGTGTTACCGATTACTGCACAAGACGTAGAATAAACACCAAACAGAAGGTGGCTAAAATGATGCCACTTCCTCTCCAAGATGTTGTACACATACACACTGGCTAGAGCTCCATCTCGCTTGTTGCAGCCACCGATAACATACAGGGAGTCGTTAGATGCAACCATTTCATGGTAGCACCGATTGTCCGGCATCTCTGGGCAGTGAAGCCATTGGTCTACACTGCTATCGTAGTCCAGGAGGTAAGTCTTGCGACCGTGCCGCCCTGATATGTAGATGTGATTGTTGTAAGCACAGACTGCAAATCCTGCCCCGGGGTCTAGAGGGAGTTGCTCAAGAGCGAACCACTTGCCCTCTAAGAAGCTGTAAGCATTTACAGAAGGCAAGAGTCCTGCAGACACTCGCACACCAATTGTCACTAACACTTCCTCATAGTTGCGTGGCTTCTGTGACTGCTTGAGATCAACATATGTATGCATTTCTTTGTTGCAAATATCTTCATCAACAATAGTTAGATTGTTTTCACCGTCGGCACTTCCTTCAGCGCGATCAGCTAGGGTTAGAAGTTTATGCAAACACACATCTGATAAAAGAGATGTCCTGACAGTTTTACAGAGGTCTCTGAGGAAGCATTTCCGTCTCTTCCAGTCATGCTGCACCCACCGCAGGGCGATATCACAAACCATGTCCTCACTGGGCACCTTGAGGTCATCGTTGGAAAGCACCTCTAGGAGGTCAGGGCACTCCAAGCCTATGATCTCCTCCTGGTTCCCGACCTCCACAAAATACTCCAGGACAAAATCCATCGCTTTTTTCTTCAAGGACTCACAGTTGAGGCATTTAGCTAGCTGCCATATTCCAATCGCATTTTCCACAGACAACTGATCCACATAAAATTCCTCACATCTTTCTTGTAGGCATCCCATTTGTAAAAGTGTTGCGGCTCGAAGGATCTCCTCTACATTGTCAGTGCAAACGATGTTTCCCTGACTATCATAATAGAAATCTAATATATCTCGGAATGTTTCAATAGTGATGCCCTCAAGCGTCACTTTTCCATCCAGGCTTTCTCGCATGCCGGAGGAAAACATGGCATGAAAGTAGTCAGATATGGCCGACAGGAACACCTTGTGACAGCGGAAGATCGTGCCCTGGATGTCGATCTCCGTGTCGGTGAAGGAACCGGCGTCATATTTCCGTTTGAACCCTTCCAAGACCGAAATGGCAATACGGCTTCTCCAGTTGCAGGTCATTGTCCTGGCCTCAGGGAAACCTCTGTACCACTGCAACAGAAAACAGTTTGTTAGACCAGCAATAGAAAAGACTGACAATAGGCTGTATTCATACACTTTGTCGTAAAACAATACACATCTTGACATTCATGAAACCCCCAAACTCTAAATGTAAAACATGAGGTACTGTGAACCTATCCTGACCCAGACCATCGAGTCAGACCATCAGGGAGTTAACTGACTATAAAAGTCCAGTTTCCACCCTTGCCGAACTAGGCTGGGAATTCAAGAGTTACATTTTGGTTGGACTTGTGTCTCTATGCATAGTCCAATCAAAATCGCGTAACGAACGACATGGATTTCAACATGCTGATCTAGGACAACTGCAGGATTTGCATATCGTCGACATATCACATGCATATATTTTTCAATATTTGTCACGTTTTATATCAAGGTGCTCAATATATTTGATTCACCCCGCGAGGTAAGACCCGTTTTATTACAATATAGATCTTGATTATCAATGAGATTGACTTGAACGAGTGCCGTCATTTTCTTTGAAGCAAATGCAAGTAATATGAGAGATGAAATCTGATTGGTCAATAGGAGGGACATAGAAGGGACATTACTCGTAATAGCCACTGGAGGCGCTACGATCAGGCCTGGAAATTCCAGCCTCGTTCGGCAAGGGTGGAAAATGGACGTTCATAGTCAGTTAACTCCCTTGCCTCAGGAAGATGGCCCCAGACTGTAGTCAGACACATTATTGGTTGGTTTGCTGTTTAACGCTGCGGTCTGTAAATAACTGAGTCTGGACCAGGCAATCCAGTGATAGACATTATGAGCATCCATCCACGCAATTGGGACTTGATCACATGCATCAACCAAGTCAGCGAGCCTGACAACCCGATCCCGTTATTCGCCTCATAAGGCAAGCATAGTCGCCATTTACGTCAAGCATAGTCAGACACATTAGCCAGCAGTCAAAAAATTATAATTTTACGAAGAAACTAAGCTAATAATAGTCCACATATTATTCAACAAGAAAAGTGTCTGCATTTCATAAAAAAAATAAAAACAGAAGCATCCCATTCCAACTTTTTCCAAGAGATCTGATAGAATAAATACTTGTCTGCTATGAGATGAGGTGCAGTTGAGTTAAGCAAATGTCTTGAGAAACAAATTTGACCTCGAGGTTTAGACTCCCCCAAAGATTGGGGCGACTTGCCACTGGAGTGTTAGGAGTGTATAGGAGTGAGTGAGATATGATTCAACATTGCTTTGAACAATATTCCGGAAACATAATCTGGATAAACTGGGATTCAAACCCACAGTCCTAGGTTTCTGGCATGTCCAAGGGACTAAACTCTGCACAGCAAACTGCTGCACCTTAGGCAATTGGGCCACCCGTGCCCCAAATGTGTATATGCCTGCTGATTGTAATTAAGCAAGCAGAGAAATGTCCCTGAAAACGCATAAACATGGCCTCCTTGTAATTTTGTACCCAATAGGGAAATCAAAAAGCATTTGGCGAGAGGAGCCAACACTTTAACTACTGTTCTAGATGGCTAATCATCTAACTTGGTTGTGTACAGGCTTGTGTGTGTCTAGTTCACATCGATATCAATTCTGTAGGCACATGTTTAAGATTATAGACATTATTACACATCCTGCTACAAGGAACACAATTACAGCGAGCAGGAAACGAACACACTGACAATTGCTCATTTACCTGTTCATTTGAGTAGATATCAATCTTCTTTGTATCGACATACACAACTTGCCAACATTAACGTGTGTACATGTTTACATCGATGGTCACTTCATTCTAAAACGTTAGGTCAACTTCTCGGGGGAAAAAAAATACAGTTTCTCATTTGCCTTTCAAAGGTAGGAATGAAGTCTTTTCAATTTTGTCATGATGTAACTCAGGTAGTCAACACTCTGGTAATATGTCATTATTGTCACAAAAGAAGTTGGTATTGGAAGTAATTCCGTAGGAAATTTGTTGAATATGACGTGTTTTCTCTCGATGTACCAAAGCGGAAGTTTACAGGCATAAAATGTCTGCAGTTGCCTCCCTTTGCTAAAACTGCTTTACGTACAACACTTTATGGCATTAAAATATGAAGAGCGGACGTAACGTGATAAAGTCACTCACCGATCGACGCTTTACCGTCGAATTTAATGATACATGTGTATGCGGGATAAATTGGAAACGGCACAATAAGTACAATGACTTATTGTTTCTAAGATTTTAGGTAAAAATTATCGTGCTTTCGGAAATTATGGTTTATAGATTTTTGCTTGTATTCGTGTGAATAAGTATTAGATAATCAACGCATGTCATAAAAGTCTCCCAAACTCCACGTAGTTCAAACATTTAGGATAAATCTATCTTCCTGCTACCCTCGTGGATAGAGCGTCTTCCCAGAGAGCATACGGGCGGTGGTTCGAATCCCGGATCCGTCATACTATGATGCGTTAAAACATGGTAAGACAGAATACTATGTGTGAGTGGTGCATTCATGTTAAACTGCAGCACGATACCCCAGTGGACTTGCACTATAAAACCGGCATTAGTCGGGGCTAGTACATCTAGAATAAATACTACACGAGCTCCCGTGGAATACCAGTCTCATGTAACGAGTGAATAGTTCTGGTATCTGACTCGCTTTCGCTGTTCACGAGGGTTTGTTTGTTTGTTTCTTGTTTACGTCGCACGCAGCAATATTCCAGCTATATGACGGAATCGAGGGAAGTGTTTAGTAAGTTGGTCCCCATAGATGTAACTGGGATACGCAGATAAACGCAATGGCCGCACGATCGCATCAAAAAGTGGGAGACCAATGACAATTGGTATTTGGAGAAAAGGTACAGTTAATCGACGTGAGGATTCTGAGAATATGCGGGAAATACCAAACTGAACCCACCTGTTCGTAAAATGGACCTATCCGACTTAAGTTCCTCTCAGTGATTTACGCATCTCTGCATGCCGTGTCGTTGAATAAGCCAAAGGATATTGGGAGTTTTCAATGTTTGTTAGTGAAACTTGTTCACGCAGTACATAAGCATGTGCTTTAGTGTTACACAATGTGTAATACAGCTAAATGTTTAATGGACAGCTAAATGGACAATCACTTCGCGGGCGAGTATTCCTTGTATAAAGCTTTATATATACTTAAGCTTCAGGTATATCGATGCTCGTTCAATAACAGTTAAACAGCCAATTCCCTTCCACTGATTTAGATAAAGGAGACCAGTGAGACAGACTCATCTGTTTCATATTTAGATCTATGCATGTATAGAGATTCAGAGTGACAAAGCACTCTCTACAAGACTGTATGACAAGAGGGATGACTTCAACTTAATAATAGCCAACTTTCCCTTCATGTCGAGCAATATTCCAGCAGGTCCAGCCTTTGGTGTTTACATTTCACAACAATCGAGCATGCTCTTTCTACCAAGATTTCAAAGGGCGTCATACGACTCTTGCTCAGAAGTTGTTTGATCAAGGTTTCAACATTCATCGCCTCAGTAAAGCTTTCATGCAAAAAAGTTTTTATGGTAGAGATGTGGACATTTCGAAATCTGACGCACCAGTGACCAAACATATGTCTGATGCAATTCCCTTTTTTTACTTGTACCGTATTCCTATGTTTTTTTTCCAACTGTACAATTGACTTGCCTGTGCATGTGTTTGTGACGGGTGCCACCGGTGGGGCAGGATACGCTTACCTTTTCACGAACACCTGGTATCATTACTATGTGATAGTGATTCATAAACACATGCTCATGATATAGTCGGAATCGTAAATCGACTCTGCTTTATGCAGAGAATTCTATTGGATATGCAAAGGGTTTGATCGCTTTATTTAATTATATAACTGCATTAATCTTGACCGCGACATATAACCCTCAAGGTGCCTGGTTATTAGCTGGCTTTGCATACTGCTCGACCCGTGAAGATCCGGGTTAGAATAGGTCTTCAGCAACTCATGCTTGCCGTAAAAGGCGACTATGCTTGTCGTAAAAGGCGACTAACGGGATCGGGTGGTCAGGCTCGCTGACTTGGTTGATGCATGTCATCGATTCCAATTGGGTGGATCGATGTTCATGATGTCAATCACTGGACTGTCTGGTCCAGACTCGATTATTTACAGACCGCCGTCATATAGCTGAATATTGCTGAGTGCGACGTTAAACAACAAACAAACAAACCAAGCATACTGCTCAGTGCCGCACTGTGATGACGTCGCGGTTTCAAAAAAAGAATACATGGTATCAAAAGTGTTACAACGTTCTTATTTCTTCACACAGTATAACCAAATTGTTTAACATTCAAGTCAACAAATCCAAAGGATCTATGCACTGCCAAGCCATCGATAAAAGTGCTGGTGTTGTAAGTTTCCTACTTTTCTACATAATCGTAATGTGGAAGCACCCGAATGCTCTTGTTTGAAATCTAAATGTTCAATAATGCATATAATTCACAGTACATATCCTAAAGGTGATAGACATATGACATATATGTTTTGTTTGTTTGTTCTTTAACGCCGCACTCAGGAATATTCCGGCTATATGACGGCGGTCTGTAAATAATCGAGTCTGGACCAGACAATCCAGTGGTTGATATCATGAGCATCGATCCATGCAATTGACATGCATCCACCAAGTCAGCGAGCCTGACCACCCGATCCCGTTAGTCGCCTCTTACAAGCATAGTCGCCTTTTACAGCAAGAATTTGTTGCTGAAGACCTATCCTAGCCATGAAAGGTAAACAGCACAGGCAACGTGTGTATTTTCAGCAAGCATGCATATATACGTGCAATGAATGCTTACAGTTTAACATGTTTAACGCCGCATGCACTCAACAATATTGCAGCTGAATGCTTATAGTACCGACTATCACATCTATAATGCGTACCAACCTTTCACACACTTGTACGTAGTTAAAGCACTACTCAAGAAAAGAAGTAAAGACAGAAAATATCACACGTTTCGGACATTTTATTACAATACATCATACTTTATAGGAATCGGTACCCGGGCTACAGATACTACAGCCCCTCACCTCTTCACCAGACTGATGGCCCCGATCACAGTATCTGTTACCTCGGGTAAAATTTAGTTGCCGCCGGGATCCTGACGGTACTTCTTCCTCATCCTCAAATATGACGAACTCACCATTGCTGTCGTTTATTTGTCCTCTTTGGCGGGGTGACTGGGGTGACTACGGCTGACGGGCGTTTCCTTTTGGAGCTGTAGAAGCACGCTGTGAGCAGCGTCTGCACTCCCACGGAGGAGAAGGTTTTCTCTGACTCTTCTTCCTCCAGAGGGAGCGACGGCGGCGGTTCTGTGACGGTTGTAATCCCCTCTGCCTTTGGAGGTGTTGCAGGGGGTGTAACAAGTACCACTTCCTTTGAAGGCGGCGGCTGGGTAGGTGTGGTAGGTGTGGCAGGTGCGGCAGGGCGTTCGGAACAATGAATAGCTTGGTGCCCCGGTGTATCCATCATACACCATCTACAGGGCAGGTTGCAGCCTGTGGGAAGATGTCCCCTATTTCCACACTTGTAGCACTCCCAGTTCACCAAATGTTGTAAAGGCCCGCCCCGCCTCTGCCTCTCTATCCGTATGGGGCAGGTGTAGGAAGTGTGTTCGGTACTACCGCATCCTGGCTCACCGCATGGCTTCGTGCACTTCCCCGCCATGTGCCCAAGCTCTTTGCAGTTGTAGCATGTGATGGTGCTACCTTTTGCAGGTGGTGTCCCCACACCAGGGCATCTAGGAGCGGCGTGCCCTTTTTCTCCACAAGTGCTGCAAGGCTCTGGACAGTGCCAGGACCAGTGTCCGATCGGATTAGCACACTTGTTAGTACAACTGGCATTGGGGCGAACATTGCTTTTTAGCTAATCAGAGCGGCAACGTCGGCATTGGATATTCGTAGACATGGTGAGTTGTAAAGAGCAGTAACGAGATATTACTAGTGCAGCAAGGCTGTTGTCCAAATAGTGGAGTGGAGTGTCACCACTAACAGCGCGTGTCTATATACCCCTTGAGGCGCCAGGGGGCCACCTAATCAATACACGCAATTCTACAGGGCCGCCATGAAGCGTGAACGCCATGTAAGCGTACAGGTGTATTGTGTATCATGTTATGATAATAATTCCATTTTCCGAGGAGATTTATCATGTGTATTTGATAATATATTCAGAAATAATTAGCTTTCAAGTGACCCATGAAGATCCGGGGTAGAATACGTCAAATTAAAAAATTAAAAATTTTATAAGTCTATGAACGACGTAATTTGACGTTCATACAATTTTCACGAGACCGTATTCTTGAAATGACGTTAACACGGACGGACTACTCCCACATTCCTGGAAAAACCCTTGGAAATTCAAATACATACAGAAGCGTTCTTTCTTAATATTTAGACCCTTTAATCTTGAACTCAGCATTTCAGTATACATTGAGAAACGTCAGAGAGTTTGACTGCATGATCGTTCACGAATATTCTTACTACGACCCCTCCTAATGAACAAAACGAAGAAATGCACTTCCAAACTGTCGTAAGTATCGACTCGATCCGTGTCTAGGCTGACAGTGACAGTCTACACCAATCTATGAATTTACCTTAGTGTCTATTTGACACATCTTTTATCACCTTTCAATGATCGACCAGTTGATCAATGATGACTAAAACATGTAACCCCCACAGGTTCATTAACAACTTCCGAAATCTCTCCCGTCACGTTTATCATGTCGGCCATTTTGACGTCTTGTACTTGATGTAAATATATTACGACGCACTGTCATTGTGACTGACTTATTGTCACACATACTAAATTTAATTGTGTATAGATCAAGGTGTACGTCCTTTGAGGTAAAAATAGTGATGTACACAATTATAAAAATTGACTTTCACTTTGTGTGAGTTCATGGGAGTATGAACCTTCATAGAGTGAGGGCCAAACGTTGCATGAACGTCGTCGCAAGCTCGACGTACATACAGTTTGGCCCTCACTCAATGAATTTAATTCTCAGATGAACTCACACAAAGTGAAAGTCAATTCTTAAATGAACGACAATTTCGCGGTCATGTGACCGACCTGTCCTCCAATGGAAAAGCTGTATATCGTGTAAACTTCAAATAAAAAAATATATATTTGTTTAACACAAAAATTTGTAGATTTAACACCAGTCAAAACCATAGGATGCTGCTCAAGATGCATTCAACATAGTCAGCTTTCTCCGATTCTTCATGTTAATTTGTGAGTCTACTCATTATGATTGCAAGATTATACTTGATGTATTGTTTTCGCCGAATGTATATAAATAGATGACAAACTAATAGTAATGAAAGAGCTGATGTAATTGGGCTTATACTCCAAATGCCATATACAGTTCATCCGTAATTCCTTTAGTTGTAAGGTGTTGTAAAACAACTAGTACAATACAACTATACGGATTATCCCCCTTTAACACACTCAAAGGGAAAGAACTCTATTGTATTTGAGTCTTGCAACATGTGTGGAATATGTTGTGTTTTCCAAAAGGGGAACGAAACCACTTTAGTAAGATTTGAATATTTTTTATAACATTATTGTCAGTATGGAAATTGTGATTTATGTTATTGACGCAAAGTGGTAAATTAATAAATAAACATCTTACCAGCTGCTTACGCAGCATCGATCACACGTCTCGTACAAAACTCGTAGAACTGCAGTTTCAAGGAGACTACGGTCTGACAGTGACCTATTGCCAAGTATCACCAGAGCATTACGAAGAAACGCCTGATACCCAGGCAACAATAGTAATATCCCCAGCTGTTGAAAGCCTGTACCAGCTCAGTCAAAAGAATTAATCCTTGAGTTTTACAATTAACCCTGATTAAGCAAGGGAGGATCCAGCATTTTTAAAAGGGAGGGTCCAAAATATCAAAATCCTGTCTCAGATATTTTTACTGCCAGCAACATACAACATTTTTATTCAAAAGTCGGGTGCGGTCGGGTAGCCTAGAGGTTAAAGCGTTCGCTCGTCACGCCGAAGACCCGGGTTCGATTTCCGACATGGGTACAATGTGTGAAGCCCATTTCTGGTGTCCCCCGCCGTGATATTGCTTGAATATTGCTAAAAGCCACGTAAAATCAAACTCACTCACTCACTCAAAAGTTGGTTGGGGGTCCGGACCACCCTGTGGATCCACCTTTGTTAAGCCTTAATAATTAATCATAGTCACAATGGAGAATAGGCTGAACCTGTGGAAAATCTAGACTTGCTTCATTCAGGGCTTAAGCATGACAACAACAACAATAATAAAGTGCAAACAACAACAACAACAATAATAAAGTACAAACAACAACAACAATAATAATGATAAAGTGCATATTTACAATGCACCAAATCCATACGCTAATGCACACTCATAGTGCTACATTATTACCCCAGTACATGGATCAGTGTGCATTCCAATTCTCAATGTTCATTATCCACCTCTGGGAGGCCCCAGGTTAACATGCAGTCACATTACCCTCTCATCCTACCGGGTACCCTGGTAAACAGGCATATTTCGAACAAAGTTGCTTGCCTGGGGAGTGAGTGAGTGAGTGAGTGAGTATGGTTTTACGCCGCTTTTAGCAATATTCCAGCAATATCACGGCGGGTTGCCTGGGGAGACACAACATGTATTACATGTAGTATTTCAAAGTATAGGACCTCTGAAGAAAACTGCAATGTTTAATATTTATTCCTTATTTCTACCCAACAGAAATGCATCACAGAAAATTCCCTTATACAGAATCGTGGGCCTGACTACAGCGGTAGCCATGTTGTCAGCATTTCCAGTGAACCGTCTCTTCTGTTTGGTGGATTTGTCCTTCACCTGCGAGGAAGTGCCACGCCTCAACCAGTCAGGGACGACAAGGGCAATACCCTGCTGTGGAATGGAGAGGTCTTTGGAGGAATGGAAGTCAGTAACCTTTGCTAATCAGGTTTAATACATCATTTGTTTACCCTGCTAGTGGCTGCGATCACCATTTGAAACTTCAGAAAAGTCCTTCTGTGTACGGGGGCACGGGTGGCCCAGTCGTCTAAGGCGCTGTGATTCAATGTGCAGAGTTGCGTCCCTTGGGCATGCCAGAAACCTATGATTGTGGGTTCGAATCCCGGTTCGCCCCGATTATGTTTCTAGGTTTGTCAGCACCATACCCGTGCTTGTGGGTTTCACAGAAGTGGTAAACGTCATAAGACCTGAGACCTGCATCACTTTGAGCTTTCCTCACACATTAAGCTGACGCGCCGCAATATAACTGGAATACTGTTAAAAGCGGCGTTAAGCCCAACTCACTCACTCACTCACTCACTCTCACTCACTCACTCACTCACTCACTCACTCACTCACTCACTCACTCACTCACTCACTCACTCACTCGAATCGTCATGAAAAACAGGTCCATGCTTCAACTACAAGTGGGAGTAGTTCACTTTACCCATCTTCCCGAGGCAAGGGAGTTAACTGACTATAAAAGTCCAGTTTCCACCCTTACCGAACTAGGCTGGTATTATGGAGTTACATTTTGGCTGGACTAACGAGTCTAAGCATAGTCCAATCAAAATCGCGCACAGAAATTGAAATCCGGTTCGTAAACTTTCGTGCAGATTGCGGTCGATTGCAGGATTTGCAAAGCATGTGCACCGCCAACTCTTTGTCAGCAGATATTTTCCATATCTTTTCATGTTTTTAATCAAGGTGCTCACGTGATTTGATGCATTTCGCGATGTAAAACCCGTTTTATCACAATATAGATCTTGATTATCGATCGGATCATCTTGACCGGGCCCCACCATTTTGTGTGAAGCAAACGCAAGTGATACGAGAGGTGAAATCTGATTGGTCCATAGGAGAGGCTTAGAAGAGACACAACTGGTAATAGCCACTGGTGGCGCTACGATCGAGCCCAGTAATTCCAGCCTAGTTCGGCAAGGGTGGAAACTGGACTTTTAAAGCCAGTTAACTCTCTTGCCTCGGGAAGATGACTTTACCAGGTGCACTTTTACAGGGGGCCACAGGGGAATGACTGTGCTTTGCTGGCTTATTGGTTTTATGTAATTAGAAAAAAGCCGATGCTCTACCACTGAACCATGAGTGCCATCACAAGTAATCAATGCTTGTTTAACGAGTCCTTAGGACCACATTAACATGCATGAGCAATAAGGTGAAAAGGAACTGTGCATGTGTGTTGATGATGTCATAGTCTCCCCCATTATCTTTTCACGAAGCCTTACCCGTCGTCAATCAACATGTGCGGCCAATCCAGTGACACCATGGTCAGAAAAGACATATTTCGTATCACAATTGATGTCAAGACTCTTGTCAACTGGCTCACTACCCACGGTGTGATAGGTGACTTTGCAGGAGCCTGTCCCTGTTGTGGTAGTAGCGTTGACTCGTAAGAAGAATTTGAGCTTTGGAAGAGATTATCTACTTTCACAATGTCAGACTGTGGCCAGAAAGTTAAGAGGGTAGCGGGTTTTCGGCCTCGGCTCTCACCCTGCTGCAGTTGTGGAAACATCTCTGCTGCTGGTCTACATGCCTCTGAGACATGGGATCTGGCGCGACCTCAGAGTTGGGTCCATGCACACCCTGGTCAACTGTAACATGAATCCTCCCAGACAGGCGCCCATACCAATACCATCACGTCCACATGGTGTGCTGTTGAGAACTGTGCCATACCAAGCTCCAGAACACAGAATGCTTTGTCTGACTCATACTTTTTAGAGTACATCTTCAGAAAGCAGTATCTTTGTGGAGCACCCAATAGGTTTCTGACCTTTCTGGATGCAGTGAAGAAAGTCTACATGCCTTAACTGGAAAAAGTAACAGCCCGGCTACGTAACTGTCAAGCAACGCCACTGTTTAAGCAATTCCTTGACGTGATTCGGCCCAAAATGACACTCCACAGAGACAGATTACTGAAACATGTCTGCAGTTTCCCTCCTGGAATCCAAGCTGCACTGATGAGTCCTGGTGGGACGAAACGTGTTAAAACAGTAAATAAGGATCACTCCAATAGGTTTACCCTGATTGGATTATTGGAAACAATGTGAAAAGGTAACATTTATGGCTACCCTAGCTGTACACTGGCTACTTCTAAGGATTGAAAAGGTGTATTGGATTGGAAAGGCATGTCAGCTCCCTGAGGCTGAAAAGGTATGTTGGTTCAGAAAGGCATGTCAGCTCTCTAAGACTGAAAAGGTATGTTTGATCAGAAAGGCATGTTTGCTCCCCCAGGCTGAAAAGGAGTGTTGGGTTAGAAAGGTGTTTCAGCTTTCTAGGAAGGAAAAGGGGTGTTGGATTGGAAAGGCATTCAGGTCTCTGAGACCGAAAAGGGGTGTTGGATGAAAAGGTGTGTCTGCTCCCTAAGACGGAAAAGGAGTGTTGGATTGGAAAGGCGTGTCAGCTCCCTAAGATTGAAAAAAGGGTGTTGGATGGGAGATGGGGCAGTGCATGTGAGTACTTTCAAACGTGCAACGCTATAGTCTGACAGTACTTGGAATGCACCAGGTAGACTGCATTGTTGCCCTACTAACCCTTTTACCTACACACCTTACACTGGGACTGAATTATGGGTAGCCTTCAATACCGCTCAAAATAGAATTGCTCTTAATCGGCCAATAAGAAGGTTTTTTCAACAAGCTTTAGAAGATATTGGGAAGGGATGTAACTCTGTATACTTATCAGCAGTTGTTTGACCGTGACCTTTCCTCTGAAATTACAAGGCCTAAAGCTTAAACTTTTTGTGAATGATCCCAGCTAAGATGTCTCTGAACCTTTCCAATCTGATTGAAAACATGGCAACCTAGGCGGCCATTTTGAAAATGTTGTTTTTGTCTCTTTCGTGACCAACTCATGTTATTCCGGGACAAGCCGAATAGCGACTCGTGCCCCTCTCATGGCCATTTTTGTGACCGGGTTCCGTCTTAGCGCAAACGGGCATACCTAAAACAATTGTCAACTCGTTGCGTAATGGTTCACATATTGTTCCCCATATATTATATATATTTCAGATACAATTTAAAGCACATCGGGACATGCGGAATTATACTGTATGATTAAAGACATTTAACTGTGTCTTGGGTATATTTTTAGATAAAAGACATATCTAAAATCAAAAATTATTTCTGAGGGATTCTTTGACAAAGAACTTGAAATCATACGCGCATTCTGACTGGTTTGTCTTTTTTCCGCACATAACAATCATCGATAGGGGGACGAGTCTTCTTGCAGGTTACGGAAAGAGGCGAGTGGTGACGAATGGTTTTTGTCTATTACTCAGCTATTTCTGCATGTATCATGAAATGCAGCAAGTATTGTGTTTTCATAATAACATAATATGCTTTTAGGCAGATTTTGTACGGTTATTGTCTTTGTCCTTCAAGGCATCACTTTTTGCTTTCAACATTGTTGACTTTAACAATGTTGCATAAATGCCTTTTTTGCTTTTTCCAGAATCTTTTGCACCAATTTTACTTGAACGCACTATAGATATTTGTACCAAAATAAGGTTAAAATGTAACAAAATTGTAACTTCATCGGGTGAGCTACAGAGCCTTGTGGCTCAATTTTTATTCAATCAATCGGCCCAAAGCTTTTTGAATTTCTAATTTGTGATTTTTATGCTTATGAGGGGCGGTCGGGTAGCCTAGTGGTTAAAGCTCGTCCGGCCGAAGACCTGGGTTCGATTCCCGACATGGGTACAATGTGTGAAGCCCATTTCTGGTGACCCCGCTATCATATAGCTGGAAAATTGCTAAAAGCGGCGTAAAACCATATTCACTCACTCACTCATTATGCTTATGAAAATAGCTGTAAGTTATAAGGGGAGAGTTCCAGTGCATGCCATTAGATTTATTGTCAATAGGTTTGATAATCTGTGTAGCAATGAATTTGTGTTTATAGTAAAAAATATAGACATGCAAGGAGCATAACTTATCTACAATTGTGAGCCCAAATCCGTTACACCTGAGACCACCTCCGTAGCCTAGTGGTAGAGAGTTCGCCCGGAGAGCGGAAGGTCCGGGGTTCGATCCATGGCCGCGTCAAGACGTTTAAAGATGGTACTTGTTGTTACCCTGTCTGGTGCTTGGCATTAAGGGGCTAAAACAAGGACTGGACTTACTTGAAAACAAAATGAAGGGTACTGTCATGAAGGGTGAATGCAATGCTACACAAACCCTGTATTCTTGTTGCCCTGTATAGCTGAGATATGTTAACTCATTCACTCACTCACTCAGATGGGGAAGGAGGAGAATGACACCCAGGCTTTGTTTGATCACCTGACCCGGACTGCTGACACCCAGGGCATCCTGACACTGATGGCTGGCCTCCAGGGACCCTGGTCCTTCATATTCTGGCAGGTGGGACTCACTGAGTTACAGTTTCAGGGGTTAATCTAGACCAGCTCACTGAGTTACAGTTTCAGGGTTAATCTAGACCTGCTCACTGAGTTACGATTTCAGGGGTTAATCTAGACCTGCTCACTGAGTTACAGTTTCAGGGGTTAATCTTCTAGACCTGCTCACTGAGTTACAGTTTCAGGGGTTAATCTAGACCTGGTCACTGAGTTACAGTTTCAGGGGTAAATCTAGACCTGCTCACTGAGTTACAGTTTCAGGGGTTAATCTAGACCTGCTCACTGAGTTACAGTTTCAGGGGTTAATCTAGACCTGGTCACTGAGTTACAGTTTCAGGGGTTAATCTAGACCTGGTCACTGAGTTACAGTTTCAGGGGTTAATCTAGACCTGGTCACTGAGTTACAATTTCAGGGGTTAATCTTGACATGCCGAGATGCTGATATTCGGCTCCAAGTCTGCAGCCAATGCCAGTGCAGAATCCTTAATTGGAAGTTTGTTTAAAATTCTGTACATTTTTGAGAATAGAAAAGTAAATGTTTCTTAAAAACATAATGAGTCTTAAGGAAAGTCTTTAAACTTGTCTTGTGAATAACCTCAGTGACATGTCAGCAGTCATCTTGGACTGTATTGTGTTGTGTGTGAAGGATCTATATTGCCTCAATCTTATTGTGTGTGCAGGATCTATATTGCCTCAATCTTGTATATGAATGATCTTTATTGCCTCAATCTTGTGTTAAAGTTCTATTTTGCCTCAATCTTGTTGTGTGTGAAAGTTCTATTTTGCCTCAATCTTGTTGTGTGTGAAAGTTCTATTTTGCCTCAATCTTGTTGTGTGTGAAAGATCTTTATTGCCTCAGCTTTGGTTTTGAGAGATCTTTATTGCCTCAATCTTGTGTGTGAAAGATCTTTTTTGCCTCAATCTTGTTTTGAGTAAAAGATCTTTTTTGCCTCAATCTTGTTGTGTGTGAAAGATCTTTTTTGCCTCAATCTTGTTGTGTGTGAAAGATCTTTATTGCCTCAATCTTGTCGTGAGTAAAAGATCTATATCTGTGTTATATCAAGGCCTCTGAGAGCAAGCTGTGGTTTGGCCGTGATGTGTTTGGACGTCGGAGTCTGTTGTGGCATCTCCCTGACAGTGACACTGACGTGTTTGTTCTGTCGTCTGTGCAAATTCAGCCTCATGTAAGTGATAATTCCACATCAAACATGATACCAAGCACTCTCTTGTCATGCTTGCCAATAAATGGTGCTTGTATCGATTATCTTGTTTATGTTCTCAAGTACTAATGACATGTTTACCAGGTATGTTTCATATGATTTGTTTTATTATAGTTTTTAGGTCGTTGTAGGAATTAAAAGAAACAACATGCACTTTTTTTAAATTCTGCAAATAATAAGGAAATCTTTGTATGATCTCTCTCGTTTCACTTTTATGTGTAAATAATAGCCCCATGGGGTTTCTGGTGTAGAATTGTCCCCGGTAACCTAGACTTGTCACGGAGGCAACCATAACAAATCAGGTGGTCATGTGATCAGGGGGTCCAGGGGGTCCAGGGGGTCCAGGGGGCCCCCAATAATTAATTTTTAGGGTCCGTGCAGGCAATATGAGGGTCCTGTGAAGTTATAAAATGGTGAAGTGTTCTGTACATTTTGATAATTACTTTACTGCATGGAATGCATCAATGATCATGTGGACGGTGGCCATGATGGATGGGTGAAATAACAGACACCAATATCTGCTCTTGATGCGCTGTCGGTGCAGTGATTATTATTATATGCAGTATGTTCTTTTTCTGCATCCATTCTCAACATTGGTGCATACTGGATGCACATCGGTGCATCACATAAACCCCTCAGTGTTGGTCATGCTCCCACTCACTTGTTTGCCTGAACCAGACCTGATTATTGACAGGCTGTCGTTCTATAGCTGGAATATTGCTGACTACAGCGTTATATGCCATTTACTCGCTCACATCACTGATTTTTATTATACATTATCGTTTATGATTGTTGGTGCAGTTGTACCACGTGCACTACATACATGTGCAAATGTCATTTATGATTATGTTAATATTTTGGGCCCAGTCTTATAAGGTGCCACAATGTACCCTCTGTGCAGAGGTGCATGCCCGAAACCAATGACTATGCCATGATAATGTTCCTAGTAGGGCTGGGATGGGCAACTCGGGTACCCGGGTCGGGTGGGTACTGAGTAGGACCTGGGTACCCACAGGACTACCTGGACCCGTGGTTAGTCAGGTGATATATTGTTTAATGACCAAAATTATGCACCCATTCCTTCTGACTTTTCATATGGTTGAATAAAGATATAACTTAAGTCAACTTAAGTGTATGCATGACCAGATTGTTAAATACAGGTGATACATTTTGCCAGGGCTATCGTAAAAAATTCCCAATCGGACATTTTGTACCTATCTCTTGCGGCCTACAGTGGGTACCCGGGTAGGATCAGGTAATAGGGGGGTGGGTACCCGGGTAGTAAAATTGGACTCGTCCCAGCCCTAGTTCCTAGGTGTGTCAGCTCCATATCTGTGTGTGGGGGTTTCACCAAATGGGGTGAATGTGGCCGATATCCAATGTATATCAACTCACTTGTTCGTAGTGTTGGATACTGGTGTAAAATATTATCAATGCATGAAGACCATCTCTCCCAAAAAGCGTACATTATGTTACTTTAGTTGGATAATGTGGGGTCTAAAAATTGGGCTGTAAATAATATTAGATATCTTCTATTTTCTCATGGTTTTGGTTTTGTTTAGCTGTTACAAACAGTTGGAGATAAAAAATGTTTAATAAATATGTTGAAGGATTGTGCTATAAATGTTTCATCAAAATTGGATATCTACTATTAATAAAAGTTCAAGATATAACCTTTATAGAGAATATAAAAGTTTTTTAGAACCAGAAAAGTATCTTTATGCAATTAGCGAATTAAAGCTTCGAAATATTTTAGTGAAGTTTAGAGGGGGACTATTACGGTTGAGCTTTTATGAAGGTAGGTGTAAAAAATTTGATATGTGCATGAGAAACTGTCCTTTATGTGATCGAGGAATAGAGAACGAATTTCACTTTCTACTTGTATGTGCTACTTTTAATGCTATCAGAAGTAAATATCTACCAAAGACATGCATAACTAATGTAAATATGCATACATTTATAAAGGTAATTGCCACAAACAATACAGAACAAATAAAATCACTATGCCTGTTTATTTATCATGCATATCAAAGAAGAAAGTATTTGTTAAACAATGTTTAAAATTATGTTTATTGTCTCTACCATACTTGTCCACTGTTATTTGTATATGGGCCTATGGCCTTCATATTGATTGATTGATTGATTGATTGATTGATTGATTGATTGATTGATTGATTGATTGATTGATTCGGATGTCAGCTCGCCAAATGTGTAGGACTTGCATCATTTTGAAGGCCTCAAAGTTGTGACTAAAATGGTTGCCGATGCCACCTAAATTTCAATTTGTCTACAGTTTAAAATACAGAGGTAGCCAAATGACTACCTTGAAAAATATCTTGTGGCGACTAAATTTTATTGCTACACATATGTAGACACAAAAATAAAAATGTCTGCTACTAATTTTACTCGCAAATAATTCCTCCTAAAGTCAACAGTAAACCGAAATACATAAATATTAATGTAATTAGTATTATATTTTAGTTGATATATTATTGGATAAGCAAGGATATACATATATTATCTAGTAACATAAATTGCGTCATTGTTTGAGTCACAAATAACAAAACTCAAGTACAGTTTCCACTAATATACAATTCGTAGACTAGTACTATGACTTGTACATATAATAGTTATTTGATAAAAGATCATTTTAAATGCTTGTGGCTACCTACACTGTTGGCTTGACTTCTTAATTTGACCACTGGCTACCTGGAAAAAAATACTTGTAGGTAAAAATTTAAACTTTGAGGCCTGCTTGGGTTTTCCTCCAACCTCAAGCTGACATGCCTTTATATAAGTGAAATAACTGTTCTAAGCAGCATAAATCTAAACTCCCTAACTCCCTCATGTTTGTATTTTTAAGTGTCTGCTTTAACAAGACTTTATATCTATACAGCATTACCAGGAACTGCCATCATTAGGTGTGTACTGTCTAGACCTGGGTGTATCACAGACTGGTTCAGATGGAGCCAATGCAAGTTGCATCCCCGTGTTGACTGTGTTTCCATGGAAACAAGGGACATGGCCTGGAACTATGGAGCCAGTTTGGGCTGATGATTTTACCCAAAAACTGTACCCCACTTCTACATATTTTGATATAAAATTGGATTCTGAATTCCATCTTCATTCATGGATGCCAGCAACTAATAAGGAGTTACCTACCCCTGGGCATGAGTTAACTCCCCTTGAGAATGGTGAACAGTGTTACCAGGACTACATTGGACATATCCTTGACAACAGTGAGATCATGAAAAGAGCTGTTGAACAGTTAATGGAAGTGTTACTCAAATCTGTTCAAAAGCGAGTGTATAATCTACCCAGACCAGGTTGTGTCACAGATATATTAGATGGAAGTAGTTCCGCCATTGCGGAGGGCGTCGAGAGGATGAAACTGTGTGAGATGCGAGAAGGAAAGGGTGATGGACAAGGTCTGGATGAAGAGGCAAACACTTCTAGTGGAAAAGCCAAAGTGGCCATTTTGTTTTCGGGTGGAGTAGATTCCACTGTGCTAGCCGCTCTGGCAGACAGGTGAGATATACAAATCTGTGTCCAGGTACTGTACTGCTCTGAAACTCTGTGATCCTGAATAATTACGAATGATATTACTCAAATAATTCTCATCTCATTCTATTGATATTGTTCATGTCTATGCTATGTCTGTTTGAACTTCATTTAAACCACACCATACACATTCTAGACTTAATGTGGACTGCCTCCGTGGTCTAGTAACAAGACGTTAAAAGATGGGATTTGTTGTTACCCTGTCTGGCGCTCGGTATTAAGGGGCTAAAACAAGGACTGGTCGGCTCGGAGTCAGGGTGCTGTGTCTGATTGGGGTATTCATGTTAAACTGCGGCATAGTATCTCAGTGTGCTTGCTCTATAAATCGGTATCAGTCCAGACTAGTACAAGCAGCCCCACGCACACGCACACCCACGCACACGCACACGCACGCATGTCGAAAAGTAAGTGCCATTATCTTTGACACAACGTTAAACCCCATTTCCCTTCACCGCCTCACCACTTAATGTGATTGAGATCCTGTTCATTTTCCAAACATTTGAATCTGTAATTTTCTTGATTTTTGTCTGGTTTCAGATGTCTGCCTCCAGATGAATGTATTGACCTCATAAATGTAGCATTTGAGCAGCTCCCGAAGCAGCCACCTGCCAGCAAAAAGGGTAAACAGAAGTGAGTTTGTCTTGTGTGTGATACCCCTGACACAAGGAATTGTTATACTGCTCTTTAGAATCTGTGAATTTCATTGGTTAATACCTACCATGTGACAGAACAATGAATTTCAATGTTTTGACCCTTTTAAGATCTGGGGTAGAAGAGGGTTTCAGCAACCCATGCTTGCTGTAATATAACGGGATCCGGTGGTCAGGCTTGCTGACTTATTTGATGCATGTCATCGATCCCAAATGCGTGAATTGATGCTCATGATGTCAATCACTGGATTGTCTGGTCCAGACTCGATTATTTACAGACCAGGTAAAGGTAGACATGTGTCTTCAGTGTATCTGTATGTTTCAGGTGTGGAGCGGTGCCTGATGTTCCTCCAGATAAGTTCAGTGTCCCAGATCGACTCACAGGATATGTTGCTCTCTCAGAACTCAACCCAAACAGGAAGTGGAACTTTGTAGAGGTCAGAGGACTTTATGTTTGTAGATACTGCTTTATATTGTCAAACATGATTGTTGTGTTGAAGTGTTGAAGAAAGGACCATGTGAATTATTATTATGATGCCAGATGTTCACAAAAAGGTGTGCATATCCTGCCCCATCAGTGGCACCCATCACAAACACATGCAAAGGCAAGTCAACTGTCCATTTGAACAAACAAGGGAACATATGGTACAAGTCAAAATAGGGAATTGCATCTGACATCTTTTTTGTCACTGATGCATCAAATTTGTGTGTGCCCCCTCCCCACTTGATAATCTGTCATGTCATGGATAATCTGTCATGGGATTGTTAATCTGTCATGTCATGGAATATTGGTCATGTCATGGTTAATCTGTCATGTCATGGATAATCTGTCATGGGATTGTTAATCTGTCATGTCATGGATTATCGGTCATGTCATGTATAATCTGTCATGTCATGGATAATCTGTCATGTCATGTATAATCTGTCATGGGATTGTTAATCTGTCATGTCACGGACTATCGGTCATGTCATGGTTCATCCGTCATGCCATGACAGATTATCTATAATAATGTGAAAGAACTGGCTGGTCCATACCCTTTTTGAGTGGTATATAAATGACTAACATCAACACAGATGCAGCCCAAAGCTTGAGTCAGTATTCTCCTGGCCAACAGGTCAGTTAGAATTCTCACCTCCTTGTGAGTTACCCTGCTAGGTTTCTGGGTTAGAAAATGTCCCCAGCACCTAATGAAGGTTGTGAGAGTCGACTTGATAGACCAGGTGGTCAGGCTCTGTGTCTTGGTTGATTGCATTTCATCGTATACCGATAATGACGGTTGTGAGAGTCGACTTAATAGACCAGGTGGTCAGGCTCTGTGTCTTGGTGGATTGCATTTCATCGTATACCGATAATGACGGTTGTGAGAGTCGACTTGATAGACCAGGTGGTCAGGCTCTGTGTCTTGGTTGATTGCATTTCATCGTATACCGATAATGACGGTTGTGAGAGTCGACTTAATAGACCAGGTGGTCAGGCTCTGTGTCTTGGTTGATTGCATTTCATCGTATACCGATAATGACGGTTGTGAGAGTCGACTTGATAGACCAGGTGGTCAGGCTCTGTGTCTTGGTTGATTGCATGTCATCGTATACCGATAATGACGGTTGTGAGAGTCGACTTGATAGACCAGGTGGTCAGGCTCTGTGTCTTGGTTGATTGCATGTCATCGTATACCGATAATGACGGTTGTGAGAGTCGACTTGATAGACCAGGTGGTCAGGCTCTGTGTCTTGGTTGATTGCATGTCATCGTATACCAGCAGTGTGGATCGTTGCTCATAACATCGATCACTGGTTTGTCTGGTCAAGATCCAAATATTTACAGGCCACGTCATACAGCTAGAATATTGCTGAATGTGGTGGTAAATCACAAACAAAATCTTACTGACCTAGAAGGGAAAGTTATTAACATTAATGTAAACAGGATTAAGCTCTGAGATTCATATCAGGTTCATGAACATTTTTACTATCAAATTATCATCTGATGGCAAATCAAGATATGTCTCAGGTTGCGCAATCTGTACAAATGTTGCCTGTATTCTTTAACAGACGACCACCTCCGTGGTCTAGCGTCTGAGTTGGAGATTCAAGTTAAACTTTGGCATGGTATCTCAGTGAGCTAGCACTATAACTCGACATCAGTCCAGACGAGACAAGCTGCCACACACATACGCACACGCATGTGCATGCACGTTGCTATAGAAGTGCAATAATCTTGGACGTGATGTTTAACCCCATTTCACCTCACCTCACCTTATAAACAGACAAGATGTACAGTATGACTAGAAATTATTGAGAATTTAAAGATTGTAATTTTTTCACTCATTACTCACGTACCCGGTATATGTCCAACAGGGGACTTCTGTTATTGGCTCATCTAGTAAATGTCCCTATTTAAACCATGAATAAAAGCTATTTAATTGATGTGAACCTGAGAGTGTTTAAAACATAATTATCACTACTCAGATGTAGTTCACACAGATTAATGATTGAACGAAGGAGGCACAGTAATACACCAAGAAATAGGAGATTGTGCACGCAATGTAATTTGAGTTAAGTATAGGATGAATATTAAATTTTATAATATAATATATAAATATAATAACTTGAGAAAAACAAACCCAAAACGTACTGTTTTATAAATTGAAATGAAGATAATTTTTTCTTTGATGCAATACAGATGCTGTTTGCAACGTATCAGTGTACAGTAAACTACAGTTAAATGACCTCAAAGGGACCACTAATTTTAATTCAAAATAACTGAAGTTTGTTTTGAACAGATAAACAGCATATATACAGCAAATGGCCCGGGATTAAAAAAACAAAGTTTGGTATATCAGTCTGTTCATTTTAAGCGTGTTCATTATAAAAGTAGTTTACTGTATATGTATCTTACCATGTAAATTAGGAAGTAATGCTGTGTACAGCCTGCCAGCATATCCATTGTAATACATGTACTATGGGTCTGTAGCCTTTCAGTATTGGGGGGCACGGCTTGCCCAGTCATCTATGGCACTGCACTTCGCTGTGCAGAGTTGCGTTCCTTGGGCACGCCAGAAACCTATGATTGTGGGTTCGAATCCCAGTTCGCCCCGATTATGTTTCCAGGTTTGTCAGCACCATACCCATGCTCGTGGGTTTCACTGAAGTGGTAAACGTCTGAGACCTGCATCACTTCGGTCTTTCCTCCCACATTAAGCTGACACGCCGTGATAACTGGAATAATGTTAAAAGCGTCGTTTAACACAACACTCACGAACGAACGAACTACCGAGCTCACAAGCTTACGAACGGGCTCACGAACGAGCTCACGAACGAGCTCACGAATGAGACCCGTGAAGATCCAGGGTAGAATAGGCCTTGACAGCAACCATGCTTGCCGTAAAAGGCGAAGTAAGCGTATCCCAATTGCGTCTCACTCACTTTCAGTATTGAGAATAAAATGACTTTAAGGAATAGACCGTACTTCACATTGTTGATTATTTCTACAGGTGAATGTGACCCAAACAGAGTTGCAGAAATTCAGGTAATCAAGTTGTTTTTGTCAGTTGCCTGTTTGAATTAATAAGTACAGATGTTGAGAACAAAACGGATGCTGTGTCATGTCTCCTGGCTTTCAATGGAAATAACAAGCAGACGGCTTACAGTATCATTTCCATCCTAAATCTGATCTTGTAAGGACCAAAGTGGTACCGAGTTAGGCTTAACGCCAATTCAAACAGTAATTAGGTTATGTTATGATGTGTCAGTTTGTTGTCATCTTCCTGAGGCAAGAGAGTTCACTGACTTTAAAAGCCCAGTTGCCACCCTTGACGAACTAGGCTGGAATTCCTAAGTTCGATCATAGCGCCGCCAGTGGTTAATAGGAGTTATGCCCCTTCTAAGCCTCTACTATGGACCAATTAGATTCCATCACTTGCATTTGTTTCAAGATGATTTGATTGATAATCCAGATCTATATTGGATAAAACGGGTCTTACATCGCGAAGTGCATCAAATCACGTGAGCACCTTGATTAAAAACATGAAATGTTTGGAAAATATCTGTTGACGAGTTGGCAGTGCACATGCTTTGCAAATCCTAAAATTGACCGAAATCTGCAAGACAGTTTACGAACCGGATTTCGATTTCATTGTGTGATTTTGATTGGACTATGCATAGACTCATTAGTCCAGCCAAAATGTAACTCCATAATACCAGCCTAGTTCGGCAAGGGTGGAAACTGGACTTTTATAGACAGTTAACTCACTTGCCTTGGGAAGATGGTTTAATGTGGGAGGAAAGCCCAAATGATGCAGGTCCTAGACATTTTTAGATGAAGACGGGCATGTTGTTGAGACTGTTTAATAAGGCCATATATATTATTGGTTGACATTCTAGAAGTCAACATGTCCGCCACCTTCTGTACCCGTTGACCTCAGTGCTGGATGACAGCATCGGCTGTGCTGTGTGGTTTGCTGCTCGAGGACAGGGCATTCTGGGTAATGGAGCAGGTCAAGGCCAAGCGTACAGATCTGATGCCAAGGTAAAAATCGTAATAATGCATTTGTAACAGTCGATAGATAGTTTTCGGATAAATGTAGTTAACTGTCACATAAATGTCTAGCCTGAAATACATTATGGACTGTATTGATATGGCTCATGGTGTCTGTCATATAAATTGTGGCGGTTGGGTAGCCTAGTGACTGAAGCGTTGGCTTGTCTTGCCGAAGGCTCGGGTTCAATTCCCCACATGGGTGCAATGTGTGAAGCCCATTTCTGGTGTCCCCTGCTGTAATATTGCTAAAAGTGGCGTAAAACCAGAGTCACCCATTCATTCAAATTGCCCACTTGAGTTCAGTTTACAAAACTCTTTGTAGATGTCCTTTATCTTGAACTGTGTCTTGCAGGCTGTCTTCTGTTAAACATTGTGTAACGTGTGTTGCAGGTTGTCTTCTGTTAAACATTGTGTCACGTGTGTTGCAGGCTGTCCTCTGTTAAACATTGTGTAACGTGTGTTGCAGGTTGTCCTGTGTTAAATATTGTGTCGTGTGTGTTGCAGGTTGTCCTGTGTTAAATATTGTGTCGTGTGTGTTGCAGGTTGTCCTGTTTTAAATATTGTGTCACGTGTGTTGCAGGTTGTCCTGTGTTAAATATTGTGTCGCAGGTTGTCCTGTGTTAAATATTGTGTCGTGTGTGTTGCAGGTTGTCCTGTGTTAAACATTGTGTCACGTGTGTTGCATGTCGTCCTGTGTTAAACATTGTGTCACATGTGTTAATTGCAGGTCGTACTTGTTAACATTGTGCCATGTGTGTTGCAGGTCGTCCTGTGTTAAACTTTGTGCCATAAGTGTTGCAGGTCGTACTTGTTAACATTGTGCCATGTGTGTTGCAGGTCGTCCTGTGTGGTATGGGAGCTGATGAACAGCTGGCAGGGTACTCCAGGCACAGAGTCCGCTTCAGGTAGGTTCCACAGTGCCTGACTCACTTGCTGACTGACAGACTGACTGACTCACTCACTGTCTCACTCACCTGCCCACTCATACTTGCTCTCTCAACTCACTCACTCACTCACCTGCCCAGTAATTCTTGCTCTCCCAACTCACTCACCTGCCCACTCACTCACTCACTCACTCATTCGCTCACCTCCCCACTCATACTCGCTCTCTCAACTCACTCACTCACTCACCTGCCCACTCACTCACTCACTCACTCACTCATGGTGTAGCATGGGTAAACGCTCTTATCAAACACTGGTGTTCCTTCTCAAAACACGCATTCACTGTTTCAGGGATCACGGCTGGCAAGGCATCATCAATGAGGTGGACATGGAAATGAAGAGAATCTCCGCTCGCAACCTGGGCAGGGATGACAGGTGAGCTGACAATGACTTGTGCTGCTCCAGTGTGGGATCAGCATCAAGCCCCAGACTACTGTGAAACATTTGACTGTCCCAGTGGCTGACACCAGACAAACTGTTGCTCACACTGTCGACCACTGGTTTGCTGGTCCACGTGTGACCTACTGTCAGCTGTGATACAGCTCTTACACTGGTATCTAGGGTATGACATTCTCTCAGGTTTGTGGTTTGTTTCTTTGTTGTTTAACGCCACACTCAGCATTATTCCAGCTTTATGATGACAGTCTGTAAATAATCGAGTCTGGGCCAGACAATCCAGTGATTGACATCATGAGCACTGATCTACATCAACCAAGTCAGCGAGCTTGACCACCCGATCCCGCCAGTTGCCTTTTACGGCAAGCATGGGTTACTGAAGTCCTATTCTACCCCGGATCTTCACGGGTCTCTCAGGTTTGTGAACGTACTGAGCAGTATATGAAGTATGCAACAGACGATTGCACCAACAGCTCTCCTTTATTACCATGCTGTAACTGAAGCCCATTTGTGATGTCCCCCGCTGTGATATTACCGTAATATTGCTAAAAGTGGCATAAAACCATACTCACTCACTTACTGAGCTGTAACAGGGCCAAAGGTGAGTAAGACGCCCAAGGGCGGATCCAGCGGATGAAAATCCGTGCTCATATAATTTTGCTGCCTACAACATACTACATTTGGTTTCAAAAGGAGGGGGGGATCCGCCTGTGATGCCTTATGTCTTTTGTCCGCTGTAGTGATGACATACCACAATAACCTAACTCAGTTGGATGTTAATATCAGTTACCAAAATCACAAACCTATAGGTAGAAATATTACTGTCCACAAGTTTCAGACAACTGTTTCAATTATTTGCTGCCAGTCACTTCATGACAGAAGTTGATGTTTGTTCATTGTTTTACGTCGCACTCAGCAAACTGGTTCAACTCAAGTTGGACTGGGTGGCAGTTGTATTCCCGACTGTTGTTATCTCTCTATACGTTCCTGTACAGTACTTAGTTTCATATGAGCCCTGGGCCCACAGGCACAAAGCGATCTTAGCGCTAAGACTATCGAAAGCCTATGTTAAAGTATGGGAGTTACAATCATCTTAGCGCTAAGATCGTTTTGTGCAAGTGGGCCCAGAATTAACTTAAAGTTGGACTGGGTGGCAATTGTATTCCTGACTGTTGTTATTTCTCTATACATTCCTGTACAGTACTTAGTTTCATATGAGCCCTGGGCCCACTGGCACAAAGCGATCTTAGCGCTAAGACTATCGAAAGCCTATGTTAAAGTATGGGAGTTACAATCATCTTAGCGCTAAGATCGTTTTGTGCAAGTGGGCCCAGAATTAACTTAAAGTTGGACTGGGTGGCAGTTGTATTCCTGACTGTTGTTATTTCTCTATACATTCCTGTACAGTACTTAGTTTCATATGAGCCCTGGGCCCACTTGTACAAAGCGATCTTCGTGCTAAGACTATTGTGAGCCTATGTTAAAGTATGGGAGTTACAATCATCTTAGCGCTAAGATCGTTTTGTGCAAGTGGGCCCAGAATTAACTTAAAGTTGGACTTGGTGGCAGTTGTATTCCTGACTGTTGTTATTTCTCTATACGTTCCTGTACAGTACTTAGATTGATATGAACCCTGGTCCCACTCGCACAAAGCGATCTTAGCGCTAAGACTATCGTAAGCCTATGTTAAAGTATGGGAGTTATAATTATCTTAGCGCTAAGATCGCTTTGTGCAAGTGGGCCCAGAATTAACTTAAATTTCATGGCAATTGTATTCCTGACCATTGTTTTTTCTTTATACATTCCTGTACAGTAATTACTTTGATATGAGCCCGGGAATTAACTTTTATGATAAGGTTTTCACTGTGGTGTGAGTACTTTGATGTGCAGTTGTGTCCTGTTTTCTATATAATCTTTGACTGATCCAGAATCATTGGCGATCATGGGAGAGAATCTCGCTTCCCTTTTCTTGATGAAGATGTGGTGGCCTATCTCGCTGGACTTCCGATGTATTTGAAGGTAAGCACATTAAATAACAGGTGCTTGTGATCATAAATGTATTTGAAGGTAAACACATTAAATAACAGGTGTTTGTGATCCTGAATGTATTTGAATGTAAGCACATTAAATAACAGGTGCTTGAGACTTCCAATGTATTACATAACAGGTGCTTGTGACTTCCAATGTATTAAATAACCAGTGCTTGTGATCATAAATGTATTTGAAGGTAAGTACATTAAATGACAGGTGTTTGTGAACCCAAATGTATTTGAAGGTAAGCACATTAAATGACAGGTGCTTGTGATCATAAATGTATTTGAAGGTAAGCACATTAAATGACAGGTGCTTTTGACTTCCAATGTATTAGGTAACAGGTGCTTGTGATCATAAATGTATTTGAAGGTAAGCACATTAAATAACAGGTGCTTGTGATCATAAATGTATTTGAAGGTAAGCACATTAAACAAAAGGTGCTAGTGAACTCAAATGTATTTGAAGGTAAGCACATTAAATAAAAGGTGCTAGTGAACTCAAATGTATTTGAAGGTAAGCACATTAAATAACACATGCTTGTGAACCCAAATGTATTTGAAGGTAAGCACATTAAAATAAGGTCTACTAGTCTAACAGCTGTCCAAGGGATGATCACCATCATGTTTGTTTAAGCAATATACATCCGTACATCCAGAATTTGTTTACTTTAAAATATAAAATACATAATTGACAAAAAGAAAGAGCCCTGTATAAGATTTATATTGTCTTTTTTGTCCAATTTCACATTTAGCAATTTGTTTAGCAAGCTGCTATTTTGACTTTACTTGCCCTTTTACTCACACACTCACTGACCCTAGGCTGACCTGTCCCTGCCCCACAGCTTTACCCCACCCCACCCTCTCACCATCATGTTCTGCGCCCCCCAGGCTGATCTGTCCCTCCCCCCCAGCTTTACCCCACCCCACCCTCTCACAATCATGTTCTGCACCCCTAGGCTGACCTGTCCCTGCCCCGCAGTGTTATCCCACCCAACCACTCACCATCATGTTCTGCACCCCCAGGCTGACCTGTCTCTGCCCCGCAGTGTTATCCCACCCAACCACTCACCATCATGTTCTGCACCCCCAGGCTGACCTGTCCCTCCCCCCCCAGTTTTACCCCTCCCCACCCTCTCACCATCATGTTCTGCACCCCTAGGATGACCTGTCCCTGCCCCGCAGTGTTATCCCACCCAACCACTCACCATCATATTCTGCACCCCCAGGCTGACCTGTCTCTGCCCCACAGTGCTCCCCTACCCCTCCACTCACCATCATGTTCTGCACCCACAGGCTAACCTGTCACTGCCCCGCGGTGTGGGGGAGAAGCTACTTCTCCGACAACTAGCTCTCCAGCTTGGACTGCGTTCCACCGCTGTACTACCAAAACGAGCCATCCAGTTCGGATCTAGGATTGCTAAACTGGAGAACAGCAAAGAGAAGGCCTCTGACGTTTGTGATAGACTGAAGGATGCACACAAGGCTGATTGTGCAACAGTTTCAGGATGTGCTGGGGACATGGCTAAATCCCAGATGTTGACTGACAAACATTGATAACATTTTTACTTATGAAATGACAAATGAAATCACCTGATGAAGGAGCAAGAAGTAGCTCTGATATGTTGTACGAAGAATAAAAGAAGTAGCTATCTATAGAAAAAGTGTCATGTATTCTAAATGCCTAAAAAAGACTTTACATATTGATTATTGTTTTGTTATCAGTGAGATCAATTTTGAAGATATATCATCCATAATATTACTCTTTTACAGGTTACAGTAAATATCATTTTTCATTGTTTGTGTGAAAATTCTTCTGCTTTATATTATGTCAACTTTCAAAACAAAACAAATAAAATAAACTCATCAATGCAAGTTTTGCCATCTTACTGCTTGAACTCTGTCTTCTGTCCTTGGGTGGGATTTCAGGGCAAACTAGTTCACTCTCAGACATGAATCTGCGGTCTCTCCGTAAGAGTTGGACCATCAGTATCCCATGCTTGTCTCCCGTGTGGACTAACTGAAGATTGGGTGGTTCCACTGGTTTGCCTGTGCCAGTTATATAGCGGAAATATTGCTGATTACCATCCAAACAACATTCACTCAGTTTGTGAGGAAACAATACAATCCAATGTTAATGTGTAGAATGTTAATTACTGTTTAGATTACAATGTTAAAGTGTACAATCCAATGTTAATGTGTAGAATGTTAATTACTGTTTAGATTACAATGTTAAAGTGTACAATCCAATGTTAATGTGTAGAATGTTAATTACTGTTTAGATTACAGTGTTAAAGTGTACAATCCAATGTTAATGTGTAGAATGTTAATTACTGTTTAGATTACAATGTTAAAGTGTACAATCCAATGTTAATGTGTAGAATGTTAATTACTGTTTTGATTACAGTGTTAAAGTGTACAATCCAATGTTAATGTGTAGAATGTTAATTACTGTTTTGATTACAGTGTTAAAGTGTACAATCCAATGTTAATGTGTAGAATGTTAATTACTGTTTTGATTACAGTGTTAAAGTGTACAATCCAATGTTAATGTGTAGAATGTTAATTACTGTTCAGATTACAATGTTAAAGTGTACAATCCAATGTCAATGTGAAATATAATGAAATGAATGTGTACAGTACGATGTTAAGCTGAACAATCCAATGGTAACGTTAAAAATTGCATGTAAATGTGTCGATATTAACCTGTAATATACCATTTGAACATCCAATATTAACTTGTACAATCCAATGTAAACATGTACAATCCAATGTAAACATGTACAATACAATATAAACATGTACAATACCATGTTAACATGTACAATCCAATGTAAACATGTACAATACAATGTAAACATGTACAATACCATGTTAACATGTACAATACAATATAAACATGTACAATACCATGTTTACTTGTACAATACAATGTAAACAGGTACAATACAATATAAACATGTACAATACCATGTTAACATGTACAATACAATGTAAACATGTACAATACAATATAAACATGTACAATACAATATAAACATGTACAATACCATGTTAACATGTGCAATACCATGTTAACATGTACAATACCATGTTAACATGTACAATGCCATGCAAACAGTTACAATACCATGTTAACATGTACAATACCATGTTAACATGTACAATACCATGTTAACATGTACAATACAATGTTAACATGTACAATACAATGTTAACATGTACACTATAATGTTAACATGTACAATACCATGTTAACATGTACAATACAATATAAACATGTACAATACCATGTTAACATGTACAATACCACGTAAACATGTACAATACCACGTTAACATGTACAATACAATGTTAACATGTACAATTCAATGTTAACATGTACAATACAATGTTAACATGTACACTACAATGTAAACGTGTACAATCCAATGTAAACATGTACAATACCATGTTTACATGTACAATACCATTTTAACATGTACAATACAATGTAAACATGTACAATACCATGTTAACATGTACAATACAATGTTAACATGTACACTATAATGTTAACATGTACAATACCATGTTAACATGTACAATACAATGTAAACATGTACAATACCATGTTATCATGTACAATACCACGTTAACATGTACAATATCATGTTAACATGTACAATACAATGTTAACATGTACAATACAATGTTAACATGTACACTACAATGTAAACATGTACAATCCAATGTAAACATGTACAATCCAATGTAAACATGTACAATGCCATGTTATAATGTACAATACCATGTTAACATGTACAATACCATGTTAACATGTACAATACAATATAAACATTACAATACCATGTTAACATGTACAATCCAATGTAAACATGTACAATACCACGTTAACATGTACAATACCATGTTAACATGTACAATACAATGTTAACATGTACAATACAATGTTAACATTTACAATACAATGTTAACATGTACAATACAATGTTAACATGTACACTACAATGTAAACATGTTCAATCCAATGTAAACATGTACAATACCATGTTATAATGTACAATACCATGTTAACATGTACAATACCATGTTAACATGTACAATACAATATAAACATGTACAATACCATGTTAACATGTACAATCCAATGTAAACATGTACAATTCCATGTTAACATGTACAATACCATGTTAACATGTACAATACCATGTAAACATGTACAATACAATATAAACATGTACAATACCATGTTAACATGTACAATACAATATAAACATGTACAATACCATGTTAACATGTACAATACAATGTAAACATGTGCAATACCATGTTTACATGTACAATACAATATAAACATGTACAATATAAATACAATATAAACATGTACAATACAATGTAAACATGTACAATACAATATAAACATGTACAATACAATATAAACATGCACAATACCATGTTAACATGTACAATACCATGTTAACATGTACAATACAATATAAACATGTACAATACAATATAAACATGTACAATACAATATAAACATGTACAATACCATGTTAACATGTACAATACCATGTTAACATGTACAATACAATGTTAACATGTACAATACAATGTTAACATGTACAATACCACGTTAACATGTACAATACCATGTTAACATGTACAATACAATGTTAACATGTACACTACAATGTAAACATGTACAATCCAATGTAAACATGTACAATACCATGTTAACATGTACAATACCATGTTGACATGTACAATACCATGTAAACATGTACAAAACAATATAAACATGTACATTACCATGTTAACATGTACAATACAATGTTTACATGTACAATACAATGTTAACATGTACAATCCAATGTAAACATGTACAATACCATGTTAACATGTACAATACAATATAAACATGTACAATACCATGTAAACATGTACAATACAATGTTAACATGTACAATACAATGTTAACATGTACAATCCAATGTAAACATGTACAATACCATGTTAACATGTACAATACCATGTTAACATGTACAATACCATGTAAACATGTACAATACCATGTAAACATGTACAATACCATGTTTACATGTACAATACCATTTTAACATGTACAATAAAATGTTAACATGTACAATACAATATAAACATGTACAATACCATGTTAACATGTACAATACCTTGTTAACATGTACAATACCATGTTAACATGTACAATACAATATAAACATGTACAATACAATATAAACATGTACAATACAATATAAACATGTACAATACCATGTAAACATGTACAATACCATGTAAACATGTACAATACCATATTAACATGTACGATACCATGGTAACATGTACAATACAATATAAACATGTACAATACCATGGTAACATGTACAATACAATATAAACATGTACAATACCATGTTAACATGTACAATACAATATAAACATGTACAATACCATGTAAACATGTACAATACAATGTAAACATGTACACTACAATGTTAACATGTACAATACAATGTTAATATGTACACTACAAAGTAAACATGTTCAATACCATGTAAACATGTACAATAGAATATAAACATGTACAATACTATGTAAACATGCACAATACCACGTAAACATGTACAATACAATGTTAACATGTACCCTACAATGTAAACATGTTCAATACCATGTTAACATGTACAATACCATGTTAACATGTAAAATACCATGTTAACATGTACAATACCATGTTAACATGTACAATACCATGTTAACATGTAAGATACCATGTTAACATGTATAATACCATGTTAACATGTAAAATACAATGTTAACATGTACAATACCATGTTAACATGTACAATACAACGTTAACATGTACACTACAATGTAAACATGTTGAATACCATGTTAACATGTACAATACAACGTTAACATGAACAATACAATATAAACATGGACAATACAATGTGAACATGTACAATACCATGTTAACATGTATAATACCATGTTAACATGTATAATACCATGTTAACATGTACAATACCATGTTAACATGTACAATACAATGTTAACATGTACAATGCAATGTTAACATGTACACTACAATGTAAACATGTTCAATACCATGTTAACATGTACAATACCATGTTAATATGTACAATACCATGTTAACATGTACAATACAATGTTAACATGTACAATACAACGTTAACATGTACAATACAATGTTAACATGTACAATCCCATGTTAACATGTACAATACAACGTTAACATGTATAATACCATGTTAACATGTACAATATAACGTTAACATGTACAATTCAATGTAAACATGTACAATACCATTTTAACATGTACAATACCATTTTAACATGTACAATACAATGTTAACATGTACAATACCATGTTAACATGTACAATACCATGTTAACATGTACAATACCATGTAAACATGTTCAATACCATGTTAACATGTACACTACAATGTAAACATGTACAATCCAATGTAAACATGTACAATACAATATAAACATGTACAATACCATTTTATTGTGTACAATACACTGTTAACATGTACAATTTAGTTCGAAGAAGTGAACAGAGCAATGTAATCATGTACCGTACGAAATTGATCATTACAAAAATACGGGAACAAAAGGAAGACAACATTCAATTCTTTTGTACAATTTTGTGTCGATATCAATAAAATCAATCAAAGCGCTCGGTGTAATGTACTACTCAAAGGGCCAGGCGATTCTTTCATATCAATATCGTCAATCCGCCATGACACCCGATTGTGTGATATCACTGTAATTAATTAACTGTAGTAATATGAAAGAATCGGGTCCTCCTTAACTTCTTTTGAGTAGAAGACTACTCCGACGTGATAGCGCACTCATTGTGCCTTTGTTTGGAACACCACCAAGTGCGCTTGTTTCAAATCATTCTGTTTCCCATTAATTTAGATGTATATTTGTTTAGTCATCTGAAAGTTGAAGCAACCGATTTAACACAGTTGCTCCTTCATCACGTGAATGCTTAAGCCCCCTTTACACAGGGCTGCGACCTTTGTGCCACCTTTGAGCGATCAAAAACTGGCCAGGACGCTCAATGGTCGCCTAAACCCAGAAAATAATGTTTCTGTGTAACTGCTCCAGCAGTTGTTCAGCAGTAACTGCTCGAGTTGTTCAGCGTCTGCAACCACAGTGAAACACTTCAGGTACAAGCCCTCTATTTATAGGCAGGCTGAGGAGTCACTACAGGTAGCTTAAAGGAGGCAGAAAAGAGGCAGAAGCATTGCCATGGGTTGCCGGGGTCGTCGAATGGAGGCACGGCGGTCGCTACAGTCATCATTCAGTGCACGCTGTTGGTCGCCCAAAGGAGGCACACGGGAGGCAGAAGCATCGCCCAGATTAACGGAATACATTTGCAGCAGAACGCATCTTCTACCTGGCGACCATTGGGTGACCACTGTGCCTTCATTCTGCAACAACGGCAATGCTTGTGCCTCCTTTGAGCAACCTTTGAGCAACCAATCTCCTTGGCGACCTTTGTGCATCTTCCCGAGGCAAGAGAGTTAACTGACTATAAAAGTCCAGTTTCCACCCTTGCCGAACTAGGCTGGAATTAATGGGCACGATCGTAGCGCCACCAGTGATTATTACCAGTTATGTATCTTCTATGCCTCTCCTATGGACCAATCAGATTCCACCTCACGTATCACTTGCGTTTGCTTCACACAAAATGGTGGCGCCCAGTTAGGACGACCTGATCGATAATCAAGATCTATATTGTGATAAAAGGGGTCTTACATCGCGAAATGCATCAAATCACGCGGGCACCTTGATTAATAACATGAAAGATTTGGAAAATATCTGCTGACAACGAGTTGGCGGTGCACATGCCCTGCAAATCCTGCAATCAACCGAAATCTGTACGACTGTTTACGAACCGGATTTCGATTTCGGTGCGCGGTTTTGATTGGACTATGCATAGACTCGTTAGTCCAGCCAAAATGTAACTCCATAATACCAGCCTAGTTCGGCAAGGGTGGAAACTGGACTTTTATAGTCAGTTAACTCTCTTGCCTCAAGAAGATGCCTTTGTGCGACTGTTTTGAACATGTTCATTAATTCACGGCGACCATAGCGTCCATCGCGATGTCTGAACCTCCCGTGTACCACCTTGGAACGACCTAGGCAGCCATTCTGCCTACGTTGAGCCTCCAACGACGACCTGGCAAATTTCATGGTCGCACACGGGAGGCACAAAGGTCGCCATCCTGTGTAAAGGCCCCATTAGTAAGAGTGGCGGTCGGGTAACCTACTGGTTAAAGCGTTCACCCGTCACACCGAGGTTCCGTGTTTAATTTCCGACATGGGTACTATGTGTGAAGCCCATTTCTATTGTCACCAGACGCGATATTGCTGGTATATTGATAAAAGCGGCGTGAAACCACACTCACTCACTCACTGCTCAGTACGAGTCAAGAAGTAGCCCTGAAACGTCGTGACAAAGAATAAAAGAAGTTGCAATCCATAAAAAGTGTCATGTATTCCTGTTTTCCCAGCTTCCTAATGCGTATCAAGGACTACAAACACAAAGAGAGTAAACATTCTTCATACTTGTTCAAACGTCGACGGAGGATCCTTGGCTCTATTGGAGGCAAACAGACAGTACAAGCACATCGTTAGAAACAGTGTATTTAAATACGTCCACTGACATTGATTTGTGTCGGGCAGAGCTTACTTTGCCGAGTGTGTGTACAACAAACATAATACGTGTGTCTGCAGGCAGGCTTAAAAAGCAGTGCATCCGACCAGGGTCTTGGCTCATATAATCTATTATCGTATTTCCTCGTCGATAAGGGGCGGCGGGGTAGCCTAGTGGCTAAAGCGTCACTACGATGGCTCGTGTTCGAGTCTTCAAGCGGGTACATCAATGTGTGAAGCCCGTTTCGGATGTATCCTGCCGTGATATTGATTCGGCTTCAGACTCCATACCTCCAGTATGCAATTATACAATTCTCAGACGGAGACATCTCGAGGGACCTGGTACCGGGAACCGGTTTCGTAATGGAAATTGCTGAAATAATGGTGTACTTGGACGACCTGCAAGTTTTCATTTATGAAGTGGTTGTTGAAACTTGTTATGCCTCCTCCTTCAACAGTACTTCACTGATTGAACAGTTGAAGGATGCTGATGTTGTTTCACGTCATTCAGTGTGGCTATGGTCGTCGTCCAGACAAGCCTTTTAATGAAGGACGGGCATGACAAAAGTCTTTTTTGATCGACTGAAAATGTCAAAAAAGGAAAACTTTGAAATAGAGGCATGGCAGTTTTCGGAAATTTTCTTTAGTTCACTGGCAGCATTTGAACTTCTAAAATGATGAAGTAAACAAATATATCTTTAATGACTTACAAAAGCCCAAATTAATGAAATGTGAAGTTCGTGACCCAAGATAGTTTTACCACAGAAAGTGAGTGAGTGAGTGAGTATGGTTTTACGCCGCTTTTAGCAATATTCCAGCAATGTCACGGCGGGAGACACCAGAAACGCTTTAACCACTAGGCTACCCGACCGCCCCCACCACAGCGACCTGCAATTTTTCATTAGTGGTTGTTAAAACGTGTCATGCCTCCGACTTCAACAGGATTTCATTGATTGAACAAACAGTTGAAGGATGTTGATGTTGTTTCACGTCATTCAGTGTGGCTATGGTCTCCTCCAGACAAGCTTTTCATTGAAGGACGGGGTATGACAAAGGTCCATTTTGATCTAATTGAAATTTTCAAATGGCTGATACCTAGCTCTTTTCTTTCTTTCACTTGCAGCCTTTTGGACTTCTGATATGATCAAGCAAACAAATATATCTTTAAAGAGTTACAAAAGCCCAACTTAATAAAATGTGAAGTTCGTGACCCAAGATAGTTTTACCACAGAAAGACAGACATGTTCTTTATTTCCTCCATTTGACGAAGAGTACTTTATGGACTTGTTTATGTTCAGAAAAAAGAAGGGGCTGTCGGGTAGACTAGTGGATAGAGCGTTCGCTCGTCACGCCGAAGACCCTGCTTCGATTCCCGACATGGGTACAATGTGTGAAGCCCATTACTGGTGTCCCCCGCCGTGATATTGCTGGAATATTGCTAAAAGTGGCGTAAAACCTCACTCACTCACTCACTCAGATAAAAGAAAGACCTACCTTCGTTATCTCCCCGTGCGCAATATAGTCTGTGATTTCGTCACATTTTATCTTTGCCGTTACATTTAGTGTTATAAATCCAAAGTTTTGAAAAGTACAAAATGTTATTTTCGTTCGTATAAACACGCGTGTTAAAATTCATTTCCATTTGCAAACATTCTTGGCAGTGAACAGGAAACGATTCCGTGTCATGCCGTGTCCATTGTATGCTGGCCTTGCGTATAAACATTGGTAAGGAGTGATATCGATCTTACAGGCGCTGTGCCACTCCACTGCTTCCGACACGCACGGCAAGCCTACATTGGTATGACACCATCACTTTAGGTTTTTCGAAGGGTGTTGCCATACCTTTAACAAATTCAAATTATCAAAGGCTGTGACAATATGAAAATAACAACGATTGTACTTTGTGAGTTTCTAATCGGCGTAGTTTGTCAAATCTCCGGACTTCAAGAATGTAAAACTTTCTTTAATCTGGCGGATGAAACGGACAGCTTTTCGTCTACAGACATCCTCTCTGTGGTCAACAACTCAGAGCTGCTGGACTGTGTCAGTAGATGTTTCCGACACACCCGATGTGTCGGGGTGAGGTTTGCCCCCAGCACCGGTCAGTGTCACATGTACGCAACCTACCAGACACAGACAACCACGGGGACGGGAACGACTGGGGACAAATACTACATCATAAAACGTGAGTTCAGTGTTTAAGTTCATTTCAACGAATGATTAATCCGTATCAACAGAGCATTAACTATTTTGTGAATTCTTGTACATTATCTCCAGTGTATCATTAACAAAACGCCAATGGCTTAAAAAGCGACGAAAGCATGTAAGGGCCTGAATTCTTGATATTAATTTGATTTTTTTTACCTGGGTGCCGTTTTACAAAGTGATCTTAGCGCTAAGGTGATCGTAACTTAACAAAGAAATCCGGGGTAGAATATATCTTCAGCAAGCCATGCTTGCCATAAAAGGCAATGATGCTTGTCATAAGTGAGGGAGTGAGTGGGGGTTTACGCCGCTTTTAGCAATATTCCAGCAATATCACGGCGGGGTACACCAGAAATGTGCTTCACACATTGTACTCATGTCGGGAATCGAACCCGGGTCTTCGGCGTGACGAACAAACGCTTTAACCACAAGGCTACCCGACCGCCCTCTTGTAAGAGACGACAAACGGGATCGGGTGGTCAGGCTCGCTGACTTGGTTGATGCATTTCATCGTGTCCCAATTGCGTGAATCGATACTCATGATATCAATCACTGGATTGTCTGGTCCAGACTCGATTATTTACAGACCGCCGTCATATAGCTGGAATATTGAGTTCGGCGTTAAACAAACAAACAAACAAACAAACAAATGAGAGTATTTAGTACTGGTGTATTTGCTGAGCAGTTTTGACTGAGCATGTCCTTCACAATTCATTAATACAAACTTGACAGTGGCGTTGTTGCTAAAGCTGATAACAAACTGTTCCATACATGCCTCTGGGTCACGGATATCCTTGTCTTCTAATTCCCCAAACGAGTGCGTCTGTTTAATCACATGACCCTGAGGAGTGTCAGAAACCTATCATGGTGGGTTCGAATCCATTTTCGCCCAGAATTTGTTTCGAGGTTTGTCAGCACCAGCCCATTGCTCGTGGTTTTACCAAACAGATAAACATCTGAGGCCTGCCTCAAATCGGACTTTCCTCTCACATCAAGCCGACACGCCGTGATATACTGTAATACTGTTCAAAGCCGCGTTAAACCAAACTCAACTCCCACATGCATTTCCCGTCTCGCCAATTATAGATACTCGCTGAAGAGCCACATTATTAAAACATTGTCGCCTATCCCATGCCGTGTATCTTTGCTTTGTTGTTTTCAAATCAATGTGACTTTAAATTTACTCACTCATTGAACTTTTCCTCTCAGATCTCTGCGGTTCCCCAACCCCGTCTCTTCCCTCAACATATTGGAGAAATGACGTCATTGCTACGTCTTCGGCGTGCAACGATACAACGGCTTTTGTTGGAACCAGTGCCGCGATATTCTGTGTTCCGGGATCGTCAGTCTGGACACAAGCAAATGGAACTTGTGTTAACAAAGTGGGTATTTGGCAATATTTGGTACCTCCCCTCTACTCACTGGTCAGTATACGGTTAAAACCTGTACCTTTCCTCCCACACCCGCGAAGATCCAGGGTCGCATAGAACCTCAGCAACCTGCTTGCCATCTCCCCGAGGCAAGATAGTTAACTGACTATAAAAGTCCAGTTTCCACCCTTGCCGAACTAGGCTGGAATTCCTGGGCTCGATCGTAGCGCCACCAGTGGCTATTACGAGTTATGTCCTTTCTATGCCTCTCCTATTGACCAATCAGATTCAACCTCTCGTATCACTTGCATTTGTTTCAAACAAAATGGTGGCGCCCAGTTAAGACGATCTGATCGATAATCAAGATTTATATTGTGATAAAACGAGTCTTACATCGCGAAGTGCATCAAATCACGTGAGCATCTTGATTAAAAACATGAAAAGATTGAGAAAATATCTGTTGACAACGAGTTAGCGGTGCACATGCTTTGCAAATCCTGCAGTCGACCGAAATCTGCATGACACTCTACGAACCGGATTTCGATTTCGGTGCGCGATTTTGATTGGACTATGCATAGACTCGTTAGCCCAGCCAAAATGTAACTCCATAATACCAGCCTAGTTCGGCAAGGGTGGAAACTGGACTTTTATAGTCAGTTAACTCACTTGCCTCGGGAAGATGCCTGCTTGCCGTAAGAGGCGACTAACGGGTTCGGGTGGTCAGGCTCGCTAAATATGTTGATTTAAGTCATCATATCCCAGTTGAGTAGATCGATGCTCATGTCTTGTCAATCGTCCTTTAGCTGGAATATTGCTGAGCGCGGCAATAAACAACATACAATCAAATATCAACTTACTGGCAACAAATAATTGAAACAGTTGTCTGAAACTTGTGGACGGTGATATTTCTGCCCATAGGGTAGTGATTTTGGTAACTGGTATTAACTTCTAACGTACAGTGGGCAAGGGGGCACGGGTATGATTGTTGGTTCGAATCCCGGTTCGCCCCAATTATGTTTCTAGGTTTGTCAGCACCATACCCGTGCTCGTGGGTTTCACCGAAGTGGTGAACGTCTGAGACCTGCATCACTTCGGGCTTTCCTCCCACATCAAGCTGACACGCCGTGATATAACTGGAATACTGTTAAAAGCGGCGTTAAACCCAACTCACTCACTCACTACAGTGGGCAAAAGACATCAGGCATCATAAGCGGATCGATAAGGGGGTCCAGGGGTCCAGACACCCCCTACACACACCTTTTGAAAATCAAATGTAGTACGTGGTAGGCACTAAAAATTATCTGAGAGAGGATTTCGATATTTTGATCCCCTCCCTTATAAATATGCTGGACCCTTGCTCGTCTCACTCACTGTTGGCCCTGTTACAGCACAGTGAGTGAGTAGGTATTGTTTTATCGTATCATCGTATCCCAATTGCGTGGATCGATGCTCATGGTGTCAATCATCAGTGATTAAATAATACATCTTCTCAGCCAAGTGAACATAAATGTCTATATCATCTGCCAAGACTTCCTGGCCAATGGAAGTCGTGATGCAAAAGTAACATATGAATCCCTTTATTTGCCTGTACATAACAAAAACGACTGCACCCTTTCCATTGCTTGCCGTAAAAGGCGACTATGCCTGTCATAAAAGGCGACTAACGGGATCGGGTGGGCAGGCTCGCTGACTTGGTTGATGCATGTCATCGTATCCCAATTTGTTACAATATGTTTGCACTGTCTTTCCCGAGAAAACTAGCTGACTGCTGGTGTGCTATCACATCTCATTGATGTATGTTGCCAGGGGCGACACTACCACTGAAGCAGAAAAGCAATTGCGTACACCTAACAAAAAACCTGCACTATTTGTTTATTAGGTAAACCTCAATGATAAACCATCTATGCTGTAAATTTTTAATTCAAACTCTACATGGTCGGACAGGATATTCATTGTCTGACCTGAAAATCGGAATTTTTACGCACTTCAGAATTCAAGTGGTAGATGGTTTGTGACGTAAGCAAACCGCGCTCACACAATTATTTTCATTATTATGATAGGTCGGCTCGCGTAAAAATATGAACAAATAAATAACAGTAACATATTTCGAACGAACATGTAAAAACACATAACAGTAATATTATCGATTCGTTTTTATGTTCAAAATTCTTTTGTCATCGTAGATGTTTCTTGAATGAAAGTCGAAAATGTGTTGATGAAACACGTAAATATATTACTAATAAACAACAATAACAAATACATTACCAATATTAATTTTGTTACAAATACAATTTAACATAAACGATCCCAAAAAGAAGGAAGTAGCGTTTAGGCGCATCTTATTTCAAAAACTTTCGGGGGCACGGGTGGCCCAGTCGTCTAACAGGCGCCGCGATTCGCTGTGCAGAGTTGCGTCCCGTGGGCACGTCAGAAACCTATGATTGTGGGTTCGAATTCCGGTTCGCATAAATTGTGTTTCTAGGTTTGTCAGCACCATACCCGTGCTCGTTGGTTTCACCGAAGTGGTAAACGTCTGAGACCTGCATCACTTCGGCTTTCCTCCCACATTAAGCTGACACGCCGCGATGTAATTGGAATACTGTTAAAAGCGGCGTTAAACCCAACTCACTTACTCAAATACATTCTTGGGCCTCGTAATATTGGTTTTGCTTACACTTAAGATTCGCCTCGTTGTGACCCTGATTGAATGTAAACGTGTGTGAAAAAGCAAAAATTGTAATATTTCTATATGCAGTTTTTCGTTAATGTTACTTCTTATCATAAATGTCACAAGTGACATTCTGGCAACATTTCAGCCGCAAACTCTATTTATCCGAATTAAGAAGAATAAAATCACAAATAATTAATTAAAAACGGATATTCCCATATTCACAGGAAATCTTACAAGTTAAAAGCAGAGTCGGGTGTACTATTCCGACTGTATCAGGTGCATGTGTTTATGAAAAACTATCACATTGTGATGAAATCAGGTGTTCGCATAAAGATGATCGTAACCTGCCCCCATTCGTGACCAACTCGTGTTATTCCGGGACAAGCCGAATAGCGACTCGTGCCCCTCATGGCCATTTTTGCGACCGGGTTCCGTCTTAGCGCATACGGGCATACCTAAAACAATTGTCAATTCGCTGCGTAATGGTTCACATATATTTCCCCATATATTATATATATTTTAGATGCAATTTAAAGCACATCTGGACATGCGGAATTATACAGTATGATTGAACACATTTAACTGTATCTTGGGTATATTTTTAGATGCAAGACATATGTAAAATCAAAAATTATTACTGAGGGATTCTTTAATGAACAACTTGAAATCATACGCGCATTCTGATTGGTTTGTCGTTTTTCGCACATAACATTCATCGATAGGGGGACGAGTCTTCTTGCAGGTTACGGAAAGGGGCGAGTGGTGACGAATGATCCTGCCCCACCGGTGGCAGCCTGTCACATTTACAAACAAACGTCTGGATGTAACGTGGGGTGGTGAGGTGAGGTGAGGTGAGGTGAGGTGAGGTGAGGTGAGGTGAGGTGAGGTGAAATGGGGCTTAACGTCGCGTCCAAGATTATTGCCCTTATATAGCGACGTGCATGTACGTGTGTGTGTTTGTGTGGCTGTTTGTACTAGTCCGGGCTGATGCCGATTTATAGTGCTAGCTCACTGAGATACCATGCTGCAGTTTAACATAATACCCCACTCAGACACAATATACTGACTCCCAGCCGACCAGTCCTTGTTGTAGCCCTTAATGTCGAGCGCCAGACAGGGTAACAACAAGTACCATCTTTTAACATCTTTAGGTAGGACGCGGCCGGGGATCGCTCTCCGGGCGGACGCTCTACCACTAGACCACGGAGGCGGTCCCTTGGAACGTGGGGACTCCCAAGTGTAGTATGCTGGTCGTAAGAGGCGCCTTAATGGATGGTCAACCTCGTTAAGTTGGTTAATTGCGTACCATCGTACCTCGTCCGCGTGGACCATATGTCGAGTGAAATATCATGTCTCTCTCATCGAGTGACGGGGGTCGAAGGAGATATTTTTGAAATATTTTGGTTTTGTTTATTTTTTGAAAATATCTCCTTGTTTCACGTCACGTCTTATCTCTTAACGAAAGCTTCCTTTTATTCGAGAGATTTCTGTTACACATTTCGAAATAATTCACTCGAATTTTGGCGTTATGATTTGTGGGATCGGGTGGTCAGGCTCACTTGGTTGAAGCATGTCATCGTATCCCAATTGCGTGGATCGATGCTGATGATGTCAGTCACTGGATTGTCTGGTCCAGAGTTGATTATTTACAGACCGCCGTCATGCAGCTGGAATATTGCTGAGTGCGGCATTAAACAACAAACAAACACACAAAACTGTCTATCAATTGCACTGAAACGAAAAAAAGACCCATCGGAGGCGGAGTGTTTTTAAAAAATATAAATACAGGCTCCATTTTAGCTTTTTATTGGAGGTCCTCCAAAATTACATGGCTGATCACACAAACCTGCCCCTCCGTTCGGGGTCATAGTAAACTTAGCATAGCAACTTTGCAGATTTTAATACTTTAGGGCATACCCAATCTTTTACGAAGATTGCTGACAAGGTTCACTCTGGTTTCATCTTCAGGCGGATGGTTATGTTCCGACTGATTGCAAAGAAAGTCACCGACAGTTGTACATTTCCCATTGCACGTCTTGACGACACATCTCCAATGTGTGCAGGTTTGCCTCTCGCGGTTTCTGTTGTAAATATATCCATCTAATATCAACTGCTTACTTCCACGTCGAGAGGTGATGTACTCTACTTTCCTTAAACCAGCCATATCGATACTGATAATGATACGTACCCCAAGATCATTTTTATTTGTTGGATGAGTAGATAATCTAAACTCAACTCCTTCAACTGATCATACAGTAAGACAATTAAGCTACTCCATAGTTTACATAGTTAATCTCATGCCTATTGAACCTGTGCTGAGAGTAAGGTAATTTAGGTTAAT